TCGCGTCTCGTGTCGATATTTTCGAGACAGGGTTGAGCGCACAACCTTATGTTTTTTAGCCAGCGCTGTCCACGGGATCTTATTGCATGGTATCATAGAGTCTATCTCTTCAAAGGCAGATTTCATAGTCATTGTGGCGTTGAGTAATTGTACAGTGAAGTATGGGTACAAAAAGGTGGTTTGGCGCATTACGCGAATCCGCGCATTACGCGCACGGACACGGTAGCGTACTTGACCAAAATCTTACATCTGCAACTTGCAACTTGTAACTCATGTCACGACACAATAAGCAACTAACAAACTCACTCCTATGTGTTCCCGTATAGTCAGCATTTTGGCTTTCCAAGATGACATTCCTCGATGCTTGAGAGATGGAGTACCAACAATCGTCGTCATGGGGTTCAGCCGCTAAATTTCGACCGGTATCTCCGTGCCAAATGAACCGCGGCTCCCACAATGCGTCTCGTCCTCACCTCAGAGCAATTGACATCAAGATTCCAATTGAAAACGACTGAATCTTCTCAGCCTGATTTCTCGGACGATTTGCTGGCCTTGAAAAGTAGCACCAACGTCGGCGTTAAGCATTACGGAAAGCCTTGCGTCATCACTTCCCAGCGCACGCTATCAACCATCCATCTGTACTTTATCCTTGACGTCTCTAGAGCTACCCCCTTCAATTGGAACCCCCAAAGGCCATCGACCTCACCACCTGAACCCCACCTCTTCACTCCCACCACCCAACATGGGCAACCAAATTTCCCAAATATTCCCGCCAACTGCGGCCTTCACTGAATCCACCCTTCCCTCCGGCTCCCTGAAAGACAAAGTATACATCGTCACCGGCGCATCCGCCGGCGTCGGAAAGGAACTAGCACGCCTTCTTTTCTCCCTGCACGGCACCGTGTACCTCGCCGCGCGCTCAAAAGAACGTGCCACCACCGCCATCGACTGGATCAGAGAGAGCCACCCAGAGTCAAAGGGACGGCTGGAGTTTTTGTACCTCGAGCTCGCAGATCTGGAGAGTATCAAACCCGCTGCGGAAGCCTTCCTCGCAAGAGAGAAGAGGTTAGACGTCCTGTTCAACAACGCAGGCGTGATGGTCCCCCCCCAGGGCTCCAAGACAAAACAAGGCTACGAACTCCAAATCGGAACGAATTGTCTGGGGCATTATGCATTTACCAAGCTCTTGACTCCCTTGCTGGTCCAAACAGCGAAGACCAGTGAGGCGGGTAGTGTGCGCGTTGTCTGGGTGTCTTCCTCGGCCGTCATGGGAGCTCCGACGGGGGGCGTGGATCTCGACAATCTCGACTACAACAAGGATAAATTCGCGTTCCAGAAATACTCGGTTAGTAAAGCCGGAAACGTGCTGCATGCTCTACAATTCCGGAATTTGTACGAGAAGGATGGGGTTATCAGCGTGGTAAGTCACCAGCAAGGTTTGCGAGCGAGCTTGAATACAAAGCTGATACAAGCAGTCTCTCAACCCCGGGAACCTCAACTCAGAGCTCAACCGGCACACCGGCTGGCTCGGCGAGATCGTCGTCAGACTCTTCACGTATCCAGCTGTTAATGGCGCGTACACCGAGTTCTTCGCTGGACTGTCGCCGGAGGTCAAGGCGTTGAAGCAGAATGAATGGGGCAAGTTACTACTCGCGTCATTTCGAGCTCGGTCGCATGCTAACAAACGTACAGTGATTCCGTTCGGTCGGATATCGCCCTTGAGAACGGACGTGGCCGAAGCGGGTCTTGAAGGCGGCAAAGCAGGGAAGTTCTGGGAGTGGAGCGATTCGCAGGCCTCACGGTACTTGTGAGAACCTCACTCAGCCGTCGCCCATGTGTCACAGCCGGTACATATATACCAATGCTACCCTGGCGCGAAGCAGGTCGTGCCGGATTCCATACTCGGTCGCGTGCCATCTGTCGATATCCGTACCCTCATTCCGCACCCGAAAAAGGTCTCAACAGGTACACTTCTCCATCTAGGTTCCTCACTCTGTCAGCCAGGTCCGCATCGCGACCACGGTGTAGTCGAACAACAATGACTCCGTCTCGTATTCCAGCCACGTGTCAGCATCCAACACCTCAATCATGGCCGTAAGGTCGATGTAGACGATGTGTTATCCCACGATACAGATGCAAACCAAGCAGACCACACGAGTCACACTTTGAAGTCCATGAAGAAGCTTCGTAACTGCTGTCAGAGTAAACACGACTTCTCAACACCGGACTGAACGCGGTGGGAGTTCTGAAGGGCTCTGTGTGATGTCTGAAGTGTGTGGGTTGTCAGAAGACCGAAGTGTGTGGGTTGTCAGAAGACTGAAGTGTGTTGATAGGGTCTGTGCTAATCGAGCACACAGGTCGCGCGGAAGTTGCTCGCATGCCTTCGACCTGATCGAGACGGGTGCTGGTGACATGCTTTGTGACGAGTGGATAGGAAGACGGGGTGTTTGTGTGTTGTAGACACAATCAATCTGGGCTACGTTCCATCTGCGCATGACGGCCCTATCATCAAATGCTTTGACCAACAACCACCAAAGAATCGTACATGGTGTGTACAACGCTCAACCCTCATTCCTGACCACGCCCGAATTCGTCCTGACATCAAACTCCACCCATCTACTCCTCCCCTCTCTCCCCTTGGTCCCTCTGCTAACGTCAACAGGACCGGGATTCATGACCGTACATCCGCAGTACTTGACCACAAACGCCGGGGCCTCGGCATCTGCCAGCACGAGACTGGTCGGCAGCGGATACAAGCCCAAACTATGCGCCAGGTCCCAGTGCAGCGGCCTCGCTGACAGTGGGAAGGGACTCAGATGGCTCTGTGAGAGGATAGTCCGTGTAAGCGCCCTCGCAGTCTGCGTGTCCGTATCTACAGGCGGTTCAGGATGGGGCTGCACGGCCTGAGGCGGCGGGAGGTCGATGTCCATAGCCTCGTTCACGTCGTGTATCGGAGCAAAGGGCATCTCGTCGTCGTCCTCTCCAGGTTGCGGTTTCGGGAAGCGAATCGAAGTCCGATGTAAACGGCCAGCCAGGTCGTCGCGCAGAATCGCCATCTCGCCCTTCACCCCAAACCAGCTCAACCGGCTGGGGTTGGAGGTCCAAACCACCTCCCCCTCCTTCCCCCTCGCCCTCCCGCTGCCCCAAACCTCCCGATTCGCCTCGGCGACCACGCGGCGAATCCTGTTCGTGAACAGACTCGGCACCGGTTTGCGCGGTAACGGTGCCGCGGCGCCCGCAGAGAACGCACTGGGCCAGGCGTCGTTGTCGCCCGGCACGAAGACGAGGCTCGTGTGCGCGATCAAGGGCTGGAACTCGGACAACACGGAGGCGAGGGCGTCGAAGTGCTCTTTGTATTCTATACTCCCCGCGCCCGGGACGCCGGCGAGTGTGGCTTTGGAGGAGAAGTTGCCCATAAGGATTATGGCGAGGGGGTAGACGGGGTTGGGGGTTGCAGCGGACGGGGAGTATGTGCGGAGGAGAGTGCGGAGCGCGGTGAGCGTGGATGGCGTGTCGAGGTGCAGGTCTGACGCGATGACGATGTTGTGTGGCGCGGTGGAGGTGAGGAGGTTGGCTGCTATGCGGGCCATACGCGAGCCTGTTGCACGTTGGGAGCCGACGCCGAGGAAGTCTGTCCAGCCGAATGCTGGGCCTTGGAGGCTGCTTTTGTCGAGGTCGCCGGTGCCGCCGAGGGTTGCTGTTCGTCGCTCGCACGGGGGGTGGCCGATGGAGAAGGCGAGGAATCTGCCCCCGATTGTGCCGCCTATGCCTCCTGTGCCTCCGAGGTTGGATGAGCTGGCGCCGTGGTCGTCTTCGTAGCTTCCGTCGACGAGAACGATCATGCCGGGCGCGAAGTATGCGCCGTTTTCTGGTATGGGTCGTGCATGTTGCATGTCCAGTGCTATTGTTCCCGTGAGATCTGAGAGTGACAGTGCGCCTGTTGGCGCGACTACGAGCATGCCTAGGAGCAGATGCGTGCTCCCCGTCCGGCCTAGCAGATTGGCGATGGGTGTTATGGCGTTTGTCTGTGAGGTAGCGATGGAGCCGGTCCTGTCCCGTGTCGCGGATCGAGCGGTGCTGAAGGTGGGTGTTTGGAAGGTCTCGTTGCGTAGAATCCGCTGGTGTACGATGTGATAGCGTTGTCGGAAGAGCTCAGTCTTGTGCGAGGGACTGGGAAACAGGGATGGCTTGGAAGCAGATCTGGACATGTTAGCAGCATACCCATCTCGGTTACACGGCAGCCCACTTCTCAAAGTGTCTTTGCGACACATTGTATATCTGCTTCGGCTGCTCGAACGCTCCAATGACCCTGATCCACTCCCGGGGGTCCTTGAGCAGCCCCTCCTCGTCGTCCTGGTCCTTGTCTTGCACCTCCAGACTTGACGCGCCAAAACCCGAGGCGGCGTCCAGCGCCGGTCGAGTTGGCAGCGCATTCTGCTCCGGGCCAGCGCTGAAGCTGCTCTGTTTGCCCAGACTAGAGCCTTGGCTGACTCTGCCCCCCTCCATAGCTCCTTCCAATGCACGCAGTATGCCCTTGAAAACATCCCTGTCGCCCTCAACAATGACCTGGCCGCCGCATTTCTTCCAGCTCTTTGCGACTTCCTCGAGCACTTTCTCGGCGAGACCCTCTTCGCGCCATCCGGAGCCGCAGTGCTTCCCAATGAAGGTCGCCAGTGCCTGGAGAGCCGCGGACGTGAGGGTGAGGTTGTGCTTCTTGGTGAAGGTGCGAAAGGCGAGCGGCCGCAGTGTTGCGGGGGGCAGCAGTATGGGCAGCACGGTGGACTTGGACTTTGGGGCAAGTGCAGGCGGGGCGCGTATGGGCGCTGTTCTGCGCGGATGAATGGGGTGGACGGGTGTGCCGAATGCTGGCGATGAAGAGGGAATCGGGTTCGCTGGTACCGCCGAGGGCTTCTCTGGTCGTCGTGCCGTCGCCATCCTGTGCTGTGGTATGTGTGGACCGGCTCTGTCGAGTGCCCAGTTGGAGGCTTAATTGAAGTTGGCGACGCGCCCACGCGACGCGTCTCGCGCGACGCTACCGCTAGTACTTTCCGCCAAAGAGCTTTCCCGCCCTCGTACTCTGCATAGCATCAACACCAACGTCACTTGACTGATTGCCCCTAGGCGTGCCGAATCGCGGTCGCACAAGCCCCCGAAAGCACACTGCCACCTTTCAAACTGCACAGCATGGCCGAGCCTGCCAACGGGCCGCTCGCGACCGTCGCCGAGACCGGGGAGCTGCCCAAGACGCAGGAGAAGCTCGACGAGCTCACACAAGCCGCCGCGCTGCAGTACTCGCTCAAGAACTTCTCCGCCGCCGCCGACCACTATGCCGACGCCGTCGAGATCCAAGCCGAGCTCAACGGCGAGATGGCCCCCGAGAACGCCGAGCTGCTCTTCTACTACGGCCGCGCGCTGTACAAAGTCGCTGTCGCAAAGAGCGACGTGTTGGGCACCAAGGGCGCGCAGGAAGACCAGAAGAAGAAGAAGAAGGCGAAGGCGAAGAAAGAAGCAAAGGCAGACGCAAAGGCGGAAGCATCGACCTCAGCCACCAACGGCGCAAAGACAGAGCCCAAGAAAGAGACAACTGCGCCGAAGCCTGCTTCCACATACTTCCAACTCACCGGCGACGAGAACTGGGACGACTCGGACGATGACGAAGAGGTCGACGACGAGGCCGGGCAAGAAGAAGAGGAGGAGGAAGACGACTTTGGCAACGCGTACGAGACGTTCGAACTCGCCCGCGTCCTCTACCAGAAGCAACTAGACGCCCAGTCCTCCCCTACAACAGAAGACAAGGGCAAGGGCCGCGCAACGCTCTCGCCCGCCGAGCGCGCCATCAAGGAGAAGATCGCAGACTGCCACGGCTTCCTCGTCGACATCTCGCTAGAAAACGAGCGCTTCCACGACGCCGTCGCCGACGCGCGCTCCTCGCTCGCCCTGCAGGAAGAGCTGAACCCGTTCGAGCACGAAAATGTCACCGAGTCGCATTATTCGCTCTCTCTGGCGCTGGAATTCGCGTCCGTGAGCAAGCTGCGCGAAGACCAGATCGATGCCGAGCGCCAACAAGACGCCACCTCGACGCCGAACCCACAGGCCGAGGACGATAAAGACGGCGTGAATTGGGAACTGAGGAACGAGGCGGCGAAACACACCGAGCTTGCGATCCAGAGTCTGCAGGCGAGGCTGAAGAAGGAAGAAGCTGTTCTGACGGGTGATGCGCTGACGGAAGGTCAGAAGAAGGAGAAGAGGACTGTGATTGAGGATAAGAAGGCTATGCTGGAGGAGCTGCAAGGCCGGCTGAAGGACCTGAGCCTCGATCCTACGAAGCAGGAGTACGATACTATTGATCCGTCGGTTGTGCAGGGGCTTTTTGGTAGTTTGCTGGGTGTGGATGCTGCGACACAGAAGGCGAAGCTCGCGGAGGCGACGGAGAAAGCGAACGATGTGAGCCAGGTGGTCAGGAAGAAAGCTAAGCCTGCCCCAAAGCCGGTCGCTGTGGCGAGTGCAGAGGGCAAGGGGAAGGGGAAGGGGAAGGGGAAGAGGACACTGGAAGTTGAAGAGGATGCAGCAAAAGGGAAGAGGTCAAAGACCGAAGAGCCGGCGTAAGCGCATGCGAGCATCGTTTTGGCACGCTTGACGGTTTTATCTTGCTTTAGTTGGTTGTGTTGCTTAGTTGGTTGTGTTGCGCGGATACCTCTCCAATGCATCAGCATTCTAGTCTCCAAATGAACAGGTCACGAGAAACTCCTGCTGTCGGCCCCGCTGATTGCCTGCTACTGTAAATCTGCTGTGCGCATACCTTTATATTCCTCATGTCACGTAGTCCATGGTCTGAGTGGAGAGGTCAAAACACCGCTTCAATGGTCTTTCCCTAATCACTACAAACTCCACAACGCCATATCGACAGCTTTCCGTTTCATGTAGCTTCATTCCTACATGATGCGTTAGTACGACGAAGATTGAAAAGGTGTCACGCTACTGCCTTTTTTTGGCGACGGAGTGAATTGACTATGCGCCTGCTGTGTGCATAGTGAAATGGATGTTAGTATGCTTGAGCTTTCTGATTGTCTGGAAAGGGGAATACTCAAGCGAACTACTGGACAGCCGTGGCACACATGATGCTAGAATAATGCCAGCTTCACTGTTTGCAAGGAAGGGCTGACGGCGGAAGACACTGAATGGTGTCTTCGTGTGCCAGCCGGTCGAGCCCGTTCTGCCGCACTGTCACCACGCCATCCGTGCCATGTCTCATCAGAACAAATCAGCCTACCATTGGCAACCACGACAAGTGTCCGATGTGTTGCACGTTCTTGTTCGATGATGCAGGATCTCAGGCCAGGCCATCACCTGGCGTCATAGGTGATATTCGAACGTGTAGGTATACATGGTCTTCGGGCTGAGTCATTTAGATTATTTTGATGGACGTGTCGACTCTCGAGATCCACCCAGAAAGGTTGGCAAGTGCAGCAGAGCGGGGGTTCAAATAATCGCATGATGGAACGGCTGTTGAAATTGAGTGTCCAGAACATACAAAGTGCCAGACTTTGTTGACAAAAAGATGGCACTGGGGAGAGTCGCGACGGAGATAGCGGTGTTTTGCGCTTAGGTCTTGGCGCGATTTTCGCGTTTTGGCGGGGTCGAACAGTGACTAAGAACCTTCCCCTCCAACTCCCGCCAATATTTCCACAGAGTCACACGATCACGGCCGCACGAAGACTCACTCGTACAATTTGGTTACGATATTGACTCACTGAGACTCAGCTGTATATATTCTTCCCAGAGACGCAATGGCAAATACTCACACACAGCAGCGCATCCTAGACGAGTCCTCACTATGGCGGACACAAACCCTCCCGCGCAGCCCGCTGCTGCTCCCGAGAGCGCAGAGAACCTACACACTGACCCGGTTACGGGTGAGCGCATAAGCAAGTCCGGTAAATTTGAATCAATTGGAGGTATTCTAAGACCTAGCTGATGGAGGACAGAGTTGAAGAGGCGCACCAAGCAGCGAGAGGTTTGTTTGGCTGTCTTATGAAAATGGTGACAATGAGCTAAGTGTATCAGGTGGAGAAGAAGAAGGCAGAGAAGGCCAAATCGTTGCCGATACAGCCCAAGAAGGAGGGCTCTGGCAAGAAGGAGGAGGTTGAACTTAATCCCAACGCCCGTCACCCCTACTCCGACTCAATTGACCTCAAGCTAACGTCCTTATAGCAATACTTCGAATTGAGCAAGTCCTCCTAACCTCCCGATTGCGCTCGTACCTAATACTCTTCCAGGATCCAACAAGATCAACGCTTTGAGGCAGACGAAGCAGCCCAACCCGTGGGTCAAAGTCCACGCTTCCGAGCAACACGAAGGCTGACCTCGACTCAGATACCCCCACAAGTTTCACGCGAACACCCGGTTGCCACACTTCCTTCTGGATAACAAGGATTTGAAGAGGGGCGAGGAGCTCAAGGATGTTGAGACAAGGATCGGCCTGCGGGTGATGTCGATCAGATCTTCGTCCAACGCGCTCCGTTTCTATGTCTGTAAGGCTGAAGGAAAGACTGTTCAGGTTATGTGCCAGCTCCAGAACGCGAAGGGCGATGTTCCTTTCGAGAAGCAGCACGAGAATATCCAGCGTGGAGGTATGCAACGCTTATGTCCTCAGTTCAATCGCACGCGCTGACTCTTTCGTTAGACATCATTGGTGTAATCGGTTGGCCAGGCGTCACGCAGCCCAAAAACAGACCTGGTGAGGAGCATTCTATTTGCATTTAGAACCTTCTCTGCATACTAACTCCAAATTCTTATCAGACGGCGGAGATCTCAGTATCTTCGCTCAGGAGGTCATCCTGCTCACACCCTGCTTGAGGATGCTGCCGACCGAGCACTTTGGATACAAGGACCAGGAACAGCGTCACCGCAACCGCTTCCTCGACCTCATCATGAACGACTCGACCCGCGAGACCTTCATCACACGCTCCAGGATCGTCAAGTACGTCCGCCAGTACCTCGACGAGCGCGATTTCCTCGAAGTCCAGACACCCATGATGAACAAGATTGCTGGCGGTGCTACTGCACGACCATTCAAGACACACCACAACGAGTTGGACATGGAGCTCTTCCTCCGTATCGCGCCTGAGCTCTACCTGAAGGAGCTTGTGGTTGGTGGACTCGACAGAGTCTACGAGATCGGTCGCCAGTTCCGTAACGAGGGTATCGATCTGACCCACAACCCCGAGTTCACCACCTGCGAGTTCTATATGGCCTACGCCGACTACGAGGACGTGCTGAACATGACCGAGGAGCTCGTCAGTGAGCTGGTCTTTAAGGTGAAAGGTTCTTACGAGACAGTTTACCACACACAGAGCGGAGAGGAGTACAAGGTCAACTGGGCCAGGCCATGGAGGAGAGTGAACATGATCCCTGCGCTTGAGGAGGCCACTGGCGAGAAGTTCCCTCCCGCGAACCAGCTGCACACCACCGAGACCAACGAGTTCCTCAAGAAGGTGCTCCAGAAGATGAACGTTCAGTGCTCAGAACCCCGTACCAACGCCAGGATGATCGACAAGCTCGTCGGCGAGTATATCGAAGAGACCGCCATCAACCCTACATTCATTGTTGGCCATCCTGAGGTACGTCAGACATCAGCAAGCTAGCAATGTGGCTGAAAGTTTCTTACGCCGCTTTCATCGCCTTTCTGGCACAGTGCCGCCTCTCTGCATCGAGTACTGACCGAACTCTTTCAGGTAATGAGCCCACTCGCCAAGTACCACCGCGACATCCCCGGTCTCTGCGAGCGTTTCGAGGCTTTTGTCTGCAAGAAGGAAATTTGCAACGCCTACACCGAGTTGAACGACCCCTTTGACCAGCGTCTGAGGTTTGAAGAGCAGGCGAATCAGAAGTCGCAGGGTGACGACGAGGCACAGCTCATCGACGAGACCTTCTGCCAGGCGCTTGAGTATGGACTGCCGCCTACGGGTGGTTGGGGCATGGGAATTGACCGACTGGTCATGTTCCTTACTGACGTAAGTTCTCTCTTCCTCGGACTTCTTGACTGCCTCCCGGGTCCGTTCTGGAAAACCCGACTTTGAGAGCTAAGACTGCCCATCCCTGATTTTTGTGTTCTGGTTTCAACCTGCGGATACCCCTAGGGTACCATTGAGGAATCCTTTTGCTAACTCTGGCTTACAGCACTACTCGATCAAGGAAGTCCTGACTTTCCCGTTCATGAAGGATGTTGAGGAGACCAAGAAGACTGCCGCTGAGGTTGTTGATGTCACGCCCAAGGCTGAGGAGGGCATCTGTAAGTCTACTCGAATACTATTGTCGATGAGAGCTGACAATTTGTAGTCCACAAGTAAGCGTATAAAGGCATTGCAGGTGCATAGAGAAAGATGGTACACCACATGAGCAACGCATCATGAGTCACGGAAAACGATTTGAGACAAAATAAAACACAATGTGAAACCTCATCATGTGCAATATGCTTTTTGCCGGTCTTCACTCGATTGGTTACTCAGCAAAGGTCAACACTGCAATGTTCATCTCGTATCCAACAGCCGCGCCAACTAACCCTAATGCTAAGGCCATCCCGGATTCGACAGCTCAGCAAACTTACCCGATGCAGCAACCATCTGCTCGATGACATCACACCCTTCGCCCACCAACATCCTCACGTCCGAGACCATCTCTGCACAGGCATATACACGCTACCCATCCCATATCTAAAATGACAGACTCAGAAGACCAACCCCAGCAACTTATCAACGGAGAATTGAAACCCCTATCCGGCATGGAGGCGACGAGTCAAATCCCAGTTCTCAAGAGTAAAGCGGAGTATTTGAAGGCTGTCATGTATGAAGGCGTACGTCCTCCATCAGTGTTGCATTGAAAAAAAAAACGGCTGTCTTTCACTTCCTTGCTCTCGATTCCTCCTTTGCACACGGCAAGGCTCCACTCGCGCAAAAGCAGCCCAGCTGACGCCCTCCCGTGCAGGTAACAATCCTCGAAGGCACAGCAACATGGTGTGCGCAGTGCAAAACCATGGCCCCAGAAGTCGCCAAGATGGTCACCGAGTACCCCAACGTCAGATTCTATCTCTACGACATCGAAGAGTGCGAGGATGTTGCGCAGGAGCTGGGCGTTAGGAGTATGCCGACGTTCAGTATCTTCAAGGATGGCGATATCCAGCATGGTGTTACCGGCGCGAGACCGAAGGAGATTCGGAAGGCTATTGAGGCGTGTTTGTAGGAAAGTAGGGCCGGTTGTGAGAGGATGGGAGGGAGAGGACGTTGACGTTGACGTTGATGTTGACGTTGGAGACAATTATAGGTGCTCTAAGTGGTTCTGGTTGGTGCCAGGGTGTGCTGAACGCCCCCAGGCTTGTGTAGTGTATCACAGACTTATTGGAGATCCATGTTGTCTCCTTCCATGGCGGGTTTGTGGTTGCAAAAGATCAGCCATTCTATTGCTGCCGGCTTCACGTGGGTGTGAGTGCGTGGTGTGGGTACGGCATTGTGGGGAATCAGTATGGTGAGAAGGAGTAAAGTCCAAGTGGCCCATGAGTGATGAATGATGATACAAAGATTATGTGTTACGCATTATACTACTTTGAATCAGTATGCTGTGGAAGATGTGTACTCGAAGAAGAATATTCCCATATGTCCCTCCTTTGATTCTCGGCGTCTGTTCCATCATCAGCTCCGCCACACCCAAGCACCAAAACCCAGCAATTCGAGGAGCAGAACGAGTACGCCAACTGCCATCCCGCTGCCCACTCTGTCCGCTTTCTGCATCCCAAAGTCACCCATCCACCCACTACCCACGCCCAGGAAGATCCACAGTAGAGCTGCCAGTGCACTGGTCGCCAATATCAGCGCAAAGACCGACCAGGGCCCAAAGCGTCGAGAGCGTGTGCACAAATTGCACTGTAGTGATATTTTCTAGCGGAGAGGTGATGTGATGGTGTATAGCGTTCCCCTCCTTCCCCTCCATGCTGTCCTGACAGCTCGTCTGATGACTCAAACTCGATGTCTGCGGTCTCGATTGAGATGAGGTATGGGACATAGCAACTCGTCGTGCCCAGTGCACCCGTGTATAACTCACTTTCCCTGTCTTCGGGTGTTTGTAGAGCTGTAGAAGCCTCTCCTCTATGAACGTTGCTTCTTCCGTATCGGTCCCAGCTCCTGAAGCTAAGAGTCTGCTTGCACCACCGTCATGTAGGGATGACGTCGAGTGGGAGTCGCTCTAGGCGCTGCTTTGGGAGAGGCGAATGTACTGTAATTTCCTCGCGCTGAATTACCTTTTCGCCCACGAGCCGGCAAGTTCGTGGTGTGCTCAGCATAGGCATTCGGCGAGGTACTTTTCGTCGAAGTCGATGTTTGACGGTCAGAGCTGTTCGTCGAAAAGTCACTCAGTATGAGGATCCTCGCTCTTTGTCTATTCGCAATCTGTTGATGTTTCTGCAAGCTCAGGTGTAGTACGCCTCCGCGGTAATACATATCGACATACTCGTTTTGCGTCCGAAACCCCCCTCCCCCTGTGCTTCAGCATTGTTATTCAAGCGGCGGCAAGTCATGCTGGCCGCCGCTAGGCATGAGGCCAAGGACAGATTTGCCTTTGAGATCGGAGTACTCGTTCATCGAGCCTTCGCCGCCGCAGCCGCTGTGTCCACTATAACCACTGTCTAGTCGACCGTCTGGAATGTGATGTCGTAGTCTTGTTGCAGGTTTCGGGAACTCTTTCTTGGCAGTGAAGGGGTATGGAGTCTTGACGAAGTGACTAGGTAGATTGTTGCGGTCCTTGACTGAGATCGGTGAGGGTTTGATGTGTCGTGCGTCGCTGAAGGATCTTGTTTTGGGTAGCTCAGTGCTGGTCACTGAGTAGAATGAGTGGCCAGAAACTTCCGGGATTGAACCGGATGGTGACAGAGCTTTCAAGGAGCGCATTGCTGTGAGATGGGCGTTAATGATAGAGTCGGCAATAACGCTGTCTGACGTGTTGCGGCGATGACGGCCTTGGACATGTTCTTGTGAGCAAGCTGCTCCACTCCGCGCATCGACAGGATATGGCTTTGCCACTTCCGGAAACTGTTTTGCAGTGTCATCAGATGTGTTGCTCATGACCAGATCTCTTAGTGTACTGGCATTCGAACCATGGTTGTGGACGACCTTTACGTTGGCCTTCTCCATCCAGGTGAAAGACACTTGCCTTGCCTTCTTTGGTCCCTCATTGCCAGGTGCACTGCCAAAGTCGTCTAACGAGATGTGCTAAGGCTCTCGATCGAACGGCGGCAGCGCCGTTAAGTCGCTTCTCTCCCGACTCCTCCCCCTAGACTCACGATTTTGTCTGACTGGCGAGTTTACTAAGCTGCCCAGGCCCATTCCAACACCTCCGTCTTCTGAAAAGGTCTGTGTCCTATCTTCATCGTCTGCATCCTCCCACTCGGATCCAGAGGATTGATCGTCGAAGAAGTCGGTCCCAGGAGATACACCGCACTCCATCGAGTTTCCCAAAGTGGGATGAACTGACCCCTTTCGTTCGATCGATGGCTCAACGATGTTCGGCGAAGATGCAGGGCTCGGCGCTAGTTTTGCAGCTGGGTAGTTGACAATCAATGTCTGCGTTGCATTTGGTGGCCCGGAGGACAATAGTAGGAGCGGCAATACTGGATGCTGCAATACTGGATGCTGCTTGAGCGGAGAAACCTTTTGCTTCGTATCATCCATTTCGAATGCATCCAAAGGCCGTATGGAATCCATCGTCGGTACGTTCGTACGGTCTTCTTTTGGGTCGGGGTATGGCGCACAAGTCGAATTTACAATAGGATCCGCCGCTTGGCTATGTCGCTTCCTGAAACAGGTTCACAGAAGAACAGTTGCGGGACAAAGAATAGAACGTGATAGCTCACAGGGGTACTACGAGCATGATGAGGGTTGTCAACGGGAGATCAACCACAACAAAGAAGGAACGTACATAAGATTGCAAATCCGTTTTCAGAGATTCTGGACCAGGATACTGGTAGAGTTGGATTGGGGTTGCTGGCGTGGAATGCGCGTCCGAATGTGGTATTGGAGTTGCCGCATTCCGTAATCCTCCCTTGGAGTGGTGGTTCGTCTGTGACGTCAGCAGGTAAATTAGTGGCTGAACTGGAGGTTATTTGCAACTTGGGAAGTCGTCTGCCGATGGAAATCGTCGAATTATGACCAATGGTATATCCTGATCTAGAAAAAGTCCTCTATACAGCGCTGGGGCAACAAAGAATCGAACGCCAAGTGCGATGCCACCAGGTATACTGAAGTTCGAACGTGACGAACGAAATACGTATCGCGGATGCCAGTATCGATTCCTCTCACTCGTCGTCCTTGTCAAACATCTTCCTCATTGCTTTCTGTGCAAGCTCGACGCCAGCGAACGTTGCCGCGTTGGCTGGGACAGCTCGGGCCATCGCGGGCCCAATACCAGGGAAGAAAGCCTTGTAGCCACCGTTCGCGTAGATACCCTTTATCGTACCACTGATGGTTGGTCGGCCCTCGGCACTCTGCAAGCGGGACTTAATGGTGTCAATAGGGAAGACAGGGATCCACATGGCAATACCCGCAGCACCACCAGCAGCCATAACGGCAGGCATGCTCAGTTGCCCTGGCAGACCGGTAACTGGGTCCTTGGGAGTGAGGTTCCTCTTGACGGTTTCGTATGTTGCAAAATAGAATGCCGAGCCTGGGCCGTCTCGTGCGAGCGTCATCGCGGAGCCACGGTATACGGAGCGGATTCCGCCCTCCTTGTATAACTGCCTGACAACATCGACACCGCCGTTGTACTTGGGCTTCTCTCCCGGTGCCAAATTCTTCTGGCCTTGAATCTGCAGAAGCACCTTTACGCGCTCGAAGGGTGCGGTGATGAGCGTCTGGGGAATAGCACTGAAGAAACCGGCAGCCGAAACCTGAGCGACGCTGAACTGACTGTTCTCAACTGTCGAAAGAGAGGTCACGAGCTGTTTGCCGAGGTCGTAGCCCCAGAAGGAGACAGCAACTGTGCGCAGTCAGCAAGTGCACTGGGACTAGAAGGCAGGCGCTGTGAGGTACTCACACATAGGTGTTACTCCTACAAGAGGCGCAGATACGCCTGCGTACAATCCTCTTACCAAGCCTTCCTTTGCAATGCCTCTCCTTAAAACGTCCATGGCACCGGTGTAGACGCCCTTCTCAGCAGTTTGCATTCGCACCTTGACCAGGTCGAATGGGTGTCCCACAACAACAGCGAACACACCTCCCACACCTCCAGCAACGAGCGCACGAAGCGACTGTACTGAAGACTTAGTCGCCTTCTTCACATCTTCCTTGAGCTCTTCCTTGGAAGGCAGCTTGTCAGCTACCTTTTCTGTGGTGGTGGACATCGTGCTGGTGTGGGTCTGCCTGTCTCTCGAAGAGGGATTGCACGCCAACAATACGCGTTGGAGCTCAGAGAAGCTAGAATGTGGAAAGACAGACGTTTAGCAGGGTTTCTGCAGAGAGGATGGTGTCAAAAATATTGTGTAGATTGGAAGAAAGCGACGGGTGTTTAGGCATGTGAGCTCCAGGTCTCCGGAGCTTGGCCCACGTCGACGAGCCGAGCGAGGCCCGGCGTGCGTGTGCCGAGGCAAAACACCCCTCCTCAGTGCTCGAGACCCATCGACATGCTCACCTGCTCTGCAGAATCATCGTCCAGAAGATCGAAGTGGATCAAGCGTAATTTGTTCGATCCTTTGAGTAGCAATCGCTCCGCTGTGACAAAAAGCTGAAGAAGTCCGGATGATCGCCGCCTAGCCCTGGACGTGGGGCTACGTGCACCGCGTCTGTCGGCGTACCACTGGACTCAACGGCTGACAAACATGCAGCAGATGCCGGACGGGTACCTGTAAAGCCTTTAGCTGCACTCGGTTGATGCGCATGCTGGGTTTGTGGTGGCTGCTGTTAGTCATCGCAGCTCTGAAGCTCAAGGGGCCGTGAAACATGCAGCATGTGATAATCTGGGGCTCCATATCTACCCCAGAAATCATGGTCACCGACACCAAGTCCCCGACCTTTCACACTTTCCGTTTCCACAACTGGTCATGCTTCTGTACTCTTATTTCCACGTATAATCATTCATTTCTAAATAGCATCTTGCCGTCCAGGATATGTCGTATGAAGACCGCATTCATTCGCATTGTGCGTCTTCAAGTTCCACAAAAGCCTCCAGCTTCGCTGCAACTGCCCCTAGGCGCTCACTAAGGCTGAGGGGTCCAAAACACACTCATGACCAATAGCAGACCGTCCCCATGGTACACAGTTCTAGGCCCAGATTATAAAAGGAAATATACGCACATGAACGTCGGAAGCAATCTACGAGTATCGAATCACGATGGGTAAGGCTTTGCACAGCAGACATAACGGCGAACAGAAGCATCAGTTTCTCAAGGCAAAGCACGTTCAATCTGTCGTACTTCGCATTCAGAGATCTATTTGGCATATTCGGTCACGAAGACAATGAGCAGATGTCGACTCTGAGGAGTGGACAATCTCCAGGGTCTATTTTAATGATGAACGCCAAGGGCTATCGTCGACCTTCACAGCAGTATTTATATCAATGCCTTGAGTACGTTCAGTTCCTCATCCCATCGATATTCAGCAAACTTTTTGTGCTCTTCCACACTGTGTCCTTCACTCGTATACCTCCTCAAGATGCTCGTCCAAAAGATCCTTATCTTGGCTGCCGCAGCCACCCCCATGGCATCCGCTCTTCGCTCCAAGGGTAGTCGTACTGGCGTCTCTGGCTGGTGCGACTTCACCTGGGCTAATGCCAATAAGGTCCAGAACGTCCAGTGCGGAGCCAAGGACACTGCCAATGACGACCATCCTGTATACGCTTTTGTAAGTTCTGCTAGAGAACAAGTCTCCCATACTTGCATCAGGGTGGCCTGACTTTCGTACAGTTGGCACTATACTCAGACAACGGCAAGGAGAAGGAGATCGCTCGTTTTGATAACAAGGCCGGGTACAACACGGAGAGGTGGGACAACACCAAGCATAGCTGGAGCAACTTGCCGCGCAGCAATTTGTCGAAGGCGAGGGTGAGGGTTTGCGTGAATATTCAGCTTGGTGAAGACAAGTGTGAGTGGGGTAACTTCGTCGATAATCCGTACGAGTCGGGCACTTCTTGAGTACGGAGATGTACCATGTATAAGTGACGAAAATGGCCACGTAGCAGACTCGCTTAGCTCCACATCGAAAACAGTATTTCCCCATTGCCAGTGTCGGAAAAATTTCACTATGCGAAAACTCATTTCAAGAAGATCAAGAATTATGCCCGGAACAAAGTGTTGCAAGTATAAATATTATTTTTTGCAAAACTTTCACAAGTCAATCCAACATAGTTGGGATCTCTTGGCCCAGCAATGGGCCCTCTTGGCTTAGTGGTAAAGCGTATCACTAGTATTACCTCGGTATGCAATGATAAGATCGCTAGTTCGATTCTGGCAGAGGGCATCTTTTTTGCAAACTTTGTCGATAGGTCACTCCTTCCTGATGTTTTTGGCTCCTGCCGTGCATGTTTCACATTGGTTGTGGGGAAGGGTCTGTCTGCTTGCGAGCTTAAGCGGCTGAGCAGACCACGCGCTTTTGTCTCATCCCAACTTCAACACACGAGCGTCTGCAACAGTCGTCTCCAGGGTACCCTTTCATGTGTTGTGTTATAACAAACATGCAAACATCTTTTTGTTGAAACACGTCCTTGACCGTACGTCACTCGCGTTTGCACTGCCTAGATCTTTTCTTCCTGTTTGATGAACATTGGAGTCTGCCGAAATTGCGACTTGTCTACCCCCCAGCCTAATCTAGCAACTCAACCTAGAAAGCCGCACGCTTCCGAGGCAATGACAGTCATACCGGCTGACAGCTGCAAGCAATTCCTGGCCCCACAAGTCGTCGATCCATGTCATTCAATCTGACCATGGCCCGTGGCTGGTGTGATCGATCAGCAGCAAATGGAATGCGGCGATGGCTGAATCCTCACCGATCGCTCCCATCATGAATCTCTCGAAGAATGACCCACCCTTCCGTCTTTCCGAACCGTGAAAATCCTCCACGACGCCTTCGCAACCTCAAACACGCTGAGGACGTTCGCACAGGGGCTCCCGCACCGCCAGCTGCACCAAGAGGCTGAAAGTGAAAAATAGCTCGTGCTCATCAACATCCCAGGAAATTGCAAAACAAACAGCGAATCAAACGCAGAGGGTACCTGGCTCTAAGCCGCAGCTAGCTCCAATTGCGGAATGATGAACGATAGCACAGACCTTCGTGCGACGTGTTCTAAAGGCACGCGAACGTTTCGAAGGACGATTGGCTGCTCTGCCGTGTTTCCTTCGACCCTGCGCGCCTGCCCTGCCTCAGGCCGGGTCGCTCCTTCTCTCACCCACCGCCGTCCTTTCACCTTCACTGACCGACCTCTTTGCGGCCAGGCTGTTGTGCTTCTTTCAATAGTCGAGCGCGACTTCGGCACCACACTCCTTTACCAACAATTGTCACTCTTTATGTCTAGTACTTAGTATACGATTAACATCCCAACACGCCGACGCGCCGAGGCCAGAACTAACTGTACATTCCTTACTGCACAGTCTGACCTCCCTTGAGCCACAGCTGTAGTAAATATTTGACGATCCTTTGCGTTTGTACACACAACTACGTAATCGCAAAATCAAATTGAAAAGAGGAGGTGAATTGGACTCACTCGACAACCAAATACTACATCCGTAAACGAACGCGACCTGTAATTATACCACCACCATAATTTGGACCCAAATCCTGCGTGCCACCGAATTCAGCATGGCACACCAACATGGACACGCGCATCTTGTGCGCCGTCAACACGGCCGGCGAGAGGAGGACGACGACGCAGTCGCAACAGTCGTTCAGGTAGTCACTGGCAAAGTTGTATGGGTCACCCAGCAGGCCGACGCTCCCAAGACACTTGTTCCACCCGCCGTAGCAACAAGGCCTTCCTCAAGCGCCACGGAAGACGACGACGACGACGACGACAGGACCACATCTACCAAGCCCACGGCAACTGCTACATCGAGGAGGCCTGCTTCTACGACACATACTACTCAGTCCGAAGCTAAGGAGACATCAACAGCAAAGTCAACGAAGGATCAGTCCACTTTGGTGGTCGCAACTAAGTCCCCAACCGCGTCGAACTCGGCATCATTGGTCGGTGTTCTCGTGTCCGCCACAGCATCTGCTACTGCATCCATTTCCGCTACTCCCACATCTGACGCCTCGGCAAGTGAAGGCATGTCTGGCGGTGCTAAGGCTGGCCTTGCTCTTGGTATATTGGTCGGTGTCGCTGCTCTGCTTGCTGGAATCCTGTTCATCTACCGCCGCAAGAAGAACGCTATGGCAGGGGAGAAGGACAACGAGAAGATCGGTATGCATGATGCTCCTGCACCATTGCCTCCCCAGGTTCCAACTGGCGCCGCTCCCAGCGTTCGTACCAACCGCACCATGTCTACCGCGCCCCGTCTCAGTCTTCGACCAGTGACTCAGTTTGACCCCACCTTCAACGGGCAGCGCAAGAGTGAAGGAAACCTTCTCACTGTTGCTGCCGCTGCGGCTCCTGCTGCTGCCTCTCAAGATCGCGCTGCAATATCCGAGGAGCGTCCTGTTAATGCTTGGGAGCGCCGCGGAGCTGCCAACGCTGCTACTGATGCTGCCGCTGCTCCTGCTGTCAACCCGTTCAATGACCCTCAGACACCTGCCCAAAGCCAGCCTCCAGCAAACCCCTTCGTTAACAGCGCTTCACTCGACACCGTACATGCAGCTATTCCCGATTCGCCTCCTCAAGTATCCCCTATGCACCCGGCTGTCCCAAGTACTGGCCTTGCTGCTCGCGTTGCTCCCGCCCCAGCTCCCGCTGCCGCTCCCGAAGTTGATGCTGTTGCGGCAGCTACTGCCATGCCAAGTCTCCCTATGCCAGAGAACGAGTTTCCTATGCCCCCCAGTGTCAACACCAACGCTAATGGTGTCCCGGAAAGCCCAGCTTGGACAGAAGATGTTCCCTCGTCACCCGCTATGGGTACACCTGTGATTGCTGGCACTGCTGGTGCCGCTGGTGCTATGGCTGCTGGTTGTCCCAGCGGTGCTCCTGGTGGTCCTAACAACGTTCACCGTGTTCAGCTTGACTTCAAACCTTCAATGGGCGACGAACTCGAGCTCAAGGCTGGCACATTGGTCCGCATGCTTCACGAATATGATGACGGATGGGTAAGCTTGTTTCGGGTTCACTCTGTGACCCTCTCACTGACACAACGTAGGCTCTCTGTATCAGCATGGATCGCACACAACAGGGTGTTGTGCCCCGTACTTGCCTGTCTAAGCACCCTGTCAAGCCTCGTACTGGACCACCTCGCCAGGGTCCTCCTCCACCACACATGCGCGGACCTCCTATTCGTTCGCCAATGGGTCCTGGAGGCATTCCTCAACCTCGCCCAATGTCCCCCGCGGATGGTCGCAGCTCGCCTCACCCATCTGCTCTCTCACCTGCCAGCGGCCGCATGTCCCCTGGTCCTCGCGCTATGAGCCCCGGTCCCCGCCAGATGCCTCCTCCTCACATGCAAGGCCCTCCTCGCAACCGCGCGCACAGCAACGCTCCTTACCCTGCATCACTACAAGGACGTGGTCGCGCGAACAGCAACGCACCGTACGCCGGCCCTCCTCGCTCAATGTCTCCCGGCCCCTACGGCGGTGGCCCCATGGCTCCTCCTCCCCAGATGGGCCGCCCGAGGTCGAATTCCGCCGGCCAGGTCAACGGTGCCCGTCGCGGACCCGCTCCTGGACCCAGCCCGATGAACCCCAATGCTGGCCCTGCACCAGCACCACTGACCAGTGCTGTCCCTAGCAGGAAGCCGATTCCCGGTATGGCGCTCTAAATTTTGCGTTAGCGATATATTATGAGGACATGTGGAGCATTTTCGCAATTTCCTTTTGTAGTCGAGTCACTCGCTTTCCTTTCGATACCTACCTTTTTTGTTTACGTTCTACTCTCCGCTACTGCGCCTGGCAAGCCTTCCGTTCCGTCTCTATACACAAGAGCGCAGTGCGGACCTTTCCTACTTACTTTCAGTGTTTATACCCAAGGCCTGTGTCTGCTTCCATGTCACTTTGTGGCACGGAGGTTGACCAGGTCTTTTTACCGGTCGATAATGTCTTGAAGATATTGGGAGGTTTGCTTATTGTTACCTGTCCGCTGGGAAGGTCGGATGGGCTGGAGATATTGTGCATGACTCGTTGCTGCCCCGTTTGGTGGGCTTCTTTGGAGATACGCTGGACTCTTGGGGCGGCTTTGGGATGGAATGTTGGATTGCATAGGGGATTAAGTAGAAATGTACAAGTTACTACGAGCCGGCGTGCCTATCTTGTTCTTCGTCACTACAACAGGAGCGTTGTTTAGTTGTAGCTGCACAGTGATGTCAGCACATGCACTGAGCCAGATATACTCCGGGGAAAGGGCACAGCCTCGTGAGTTCGGCACCACGCTCAGAGCAGTGCAAGCTCTCGCAAAAATCCGCGCTGTATTAACTTTGGAGATTAAAACGCTTGCTCGTTCAGCTTCGGACCACCTCTGGTGCGCCTTTATGTCTCGCCCGATGCCACAGTCAAGATGTTTTCCAATCGTGGTTCCGCCTTTTCACGTCTTCTGACTTTCGTCCTCTGCAGTGAGGAGGTAGACCTTTCAGCCAATAAGCAGAGGCCGTGACGCCTTAGAAGCACATTCGCCAGCCGTTTTTGTGCTGGTGGGTGGTTTCAGCATGCTCCAATAATGTTGGCGATACATGCTGAGACCATTCCTGAGCTGCCTGATGATAGCTGCGAGGGCCGTGCGCGGCATTTGGGTACGTCAGTGCAAGCGGCTGTCGTGGGGTTGAATCTAGAGTTCCAAAGTGCGCCGGACCGGTGTCGTGTATATCTGACTCGCCGCATCCTGCCACGGCTGTGCCCCGTTTCTTCTCCTACGTCTGTCACGAGCTGCATTGGTATTGTCAAGTTTGCCGCTTGTTCCACGCTTGGTGGCACTTCCTACGGGCGTGATACATGTCAAATCAGCAGACAACAATGAACCCAACACCTAGTCTACAGAAGCCATCATTGCGCTAATCGCTCTCTTCCTGCCGTTATTCTTGTCCAGTTTAGGGCCCGCGTTCAAGTACGGGTCGCAGTTACCGAGCTTGTCTATCAGAATCAGGAAAAAAGGAAAAAGACTTGTCGATGTAGAAGGTAGGACATGGAAAAGGGAAGCCGAAACGATCAAGAGCTAACAAATTGTCGTACAGATATCGATTTGTCGACAAGTTGCGCTCACGGCTGGGTGCATATTATTGGTGTACGACGATACCAACAGGAGACTTATACCTCATTTCTTCGCATGCAGCAAGGTCCTCGTGCAGCGATGATAGCAGCTGATAGCAGGAGGAGATGAAAAATCGATTGTATTGGCATCAAGTACCCACCAGCCGAGCCTAGGCTGGCGCGGGAAAAACAAATGAGTGGTGGTGAACTTGCGCGATACCTTCAAGATGTACATCGTACCTCGAAGAGAAAAGTCACAGCAGCGCAGATTTGAACTTTTTTTTTTGGATTGAAATAACTAGAATAACTCATTGAATAGATCTGAACTATCGACTCTCATACTGGGAGAACGACCTTGACACCCATGTACTCTCGCTGATGCATAAGCTTCCCATCAATGATGACCTGGTGGACACCAACACGGTTGTGGATTGTGTCCGTGGGGTCTGTTGCTGTAGCAATCTGGATCTCGCGCCATTGACGGTTGGTAGGTACCAATTCGCCCTGCAGTGTGCGCTTCTTGAACTCCGAGTACACACCCTGATCCTCAACGCAGCCCTCACGCTGAATGAGTGGTGACTCTGTCATAGCCGTTAGCATGTTGACTGAATGTGGGTGGGGACATGGCGTACCTTGTGCGGGTGTCATGCGCAGATCTCCAATCGAGCTGTTGAAAAGCACAAGCGACAAACGCTCTTGCTCAAGCTGGTCAACAGGCGGCTTGAAGACACGGTGCCTGGTAGCCTTGAAGTGCCCACCAGACACAATCTCAAGTGTGTCGCCGATGTTGATGACAAGCGCACCAGGCTTGTATGGTACATAGTACCACTGCTCGTCTCTGCCCCAGATCTGCAAACACGAGATTGGGACGGAGAATAAAAGAGTTGTGAGTCCGAAGTCGGTGTGACCGTGCATACGTAGCCCTTTTGACGCTTCTTCTGTTTGCTTTTGTACTGGGCGGAAGAGTGCGTGGCGGAAATAGCCTTCGCCGGTTGGACCTTCGTGGGACTGGACGTTGTCCCAGAGATAGTCGTCGGGCAGTTCGAGGACGCGAGAGAAGAGGGTGAGAAGGCGGCGGTTTACGGACTTTGTGAGATAGTTGCAGAACTCTTCGATCTCGTCCATAAAAGGGTGGAGACAGCTGGGAATGCGGTTCATGTCTTGCCAGTCGGGCTTGTACCAGTTGAACTGCTCGATACCGTCTGGTGGACCGCGGTGGCGCTGTGATGGGTGTCAGTACCTAACTAAGAGCAAGCTCAATGCGCAATATCGTACCTTGAAACCATATGGGTGCTTGTAGCCGGACCATACACCAGTCTCGGGGTTAAAGAGAAGACGCTCTCTATCCTCCTCACTGATGTTGTGGTACAAGTATTGTGCGAGAGCGAACTGGCGGTGCAACTGTTCCAGCGAGATGCCATAGTTCTCCAGGAACAAGAAACCATCTTCGCGGATTGCTCGCTTTACTTGCTGTACCAGATTTTCAACCACTGCTGGATCATCAGAGTCCATCAGGGACAGGTCGATTGAAGTGAGCTCGGCAAAGTTCTCCTTCTGCTGTGTGATCGGAGGAGGGATCCATTCTGGCACAAAAGGCTTGCCGGGGAGGTCGGCTGCAGGAGGGTTGAACTTAGCGGCAGGTGCCATGGCGAAAGAGATGAGTAAATGTAAAGATATGAGTGTATACAACAGCTCAAGTTGACAGTTGATATGGTATTGAACTAGAAGAAGGTAAGTCCTTATATTCACTGGTCCGGGTCATGGTGTAATATTAGGGACGAGGTGTGCTCAGGGAGTAGCTCTTGGTTCGTCGAGCTCCTCCACAGGCGAGACGACCCTTCCAGAGATGTAATCCTTATCAGGCTATGCTCGAATCCGGGTTCACATCTACGAGACGCGGCCTTTGCCTGCGGATGGTACTATCAAGTTGATCCATGCACCGGCAATTCAGCCATGCAGTTCCCCGCATCCGAGCCGTTACCTATCTCTATCTCCACCTCCATGCTCCTCCAGATCCGACTTCGAACTGCAGACATGACCGATTACGTTAGGTTGATGGAGGAGGATGATGCAGGGTTGTGGTGGAGGAGTGATTGTCGAGGGAGGAGCTCCTCCCTGTCCTTGTGGGGCCTCGCACTAGCGCGGCTAGCTAGCGTTATCTGGACGTGTCCTGGAGCTCCACACCCAGCATTGAGCCAGACGAATCCGCCCCGAAGAAAGGCGATCTCTGGTAACGTTGTGGTTTAAAGGTAGTCGAGTAGGCAAAGATGTGTTCCCAATCATACCTCCATCATATAGCCCGCATCAAGCCTCTATAACGTCTTCATTTTCCTACACCAAGCCATCTCAATCAACAGCAGCCATGTCGCGCCAACTCATTTCCAGCGAGAAGTTCCCTACGAAGCCTCACAACTGCCCTGCTACAAAGGTACCTGGTCTTGTGTTCTGCGCCGGACAAACCGCCACAGGAGAGATCAAGCAAGCCACAGTAAGAATTCCCTTCGGACCCATTGGTCTTCTTCATCTCCTTCCATGTACTAATTCGAGTCACAGAGAAAAGTCCTGCAAAATCTCAAGGAGGTCCTCGAGCTTTCCGGATCATCCCTCGAGCAGGTCGTCAAGTACAATGTCTACCTTGCAGACATGAAGGACTTCGCCGCCATGAACGAGGTGTACATCGACTTCCTGCCTCAGCCTATGCCTTCACGATCGTGCCTGCAGGCACTGCCCCCTGGTGACGGCACTGTCATCGAGATCGAGTGCATCGGGCAGGTCTAAGAATCGTCAGAACGGAGTACGAGAACAGCAACATCCACAACATTCCATAGTCTATAGCGGTCGGTGAATCATGTGTAAGGCATTTGGCTATGAGAAGCGAGGGACTCGGAGTTCTGCCGTGTTACATCTCGAAGGACCACATAGATAGGACATAGATAAAAATCAAACAAAAATGACCGTAACTTGAACAGCACGTCCTAAATCAGCATGTGAGCTAACATATCAACGGGCTCACTGTAGCGCTGTTCTCGCGTCTAGAGAAGCTTGAGCTTCATGATAGCCAGCCAGCAAGATGATTACAATGTCTATAGTTTAAAATGTGATCTCCAATAATATAACTTCTCGCAACTTCCATTTGGACAGTGTCATCCGGTTCTATCAATCTTCCTTATCACTGGCTCAAACAATTGTCAGTAATTCGAAGAAGAGGTCTAGAACAGTCATCAACAGGGAGTATATTTCAGTATGTACCACACCAATTTACAGATACGATCAGGCAACTTGAAGAATATATCAATTCGAGATCTTTGGTCAGATGAGCACAAGGAACAGCAATGCATATGTGTGTCCAACAACTCCAGCCCTTACAACAAGAGTCAGTAGACACGGTGGAGTGCGAGCCACCTAGTTCAGATTGTACAGGAAAGAGCTGTTCGACAAACATATGTATTGCTGTTGCTCATACTCATCTGACCATAGGTCTCTATCTCACTCCACCAACCGTCTACCACTACATCCTTGCAAACACCTAAGGCTGCGCCACACCAGACCTCGCAATCTCGAACTCCGCCATGTACCAGTTCTGAATAGCCTTTGTGTCACCAGTGATAGCAACGGTGTCGTATTTTTCCCTCGCTTCCTTCGCTGCGGTGCCGTTGTTGACCATCCTTCCTGCCCATTTACCGTTCTTGCGAGCAGCAGCAATGATCTTGTCAACAGCCTGAACGAACTCTGGCTCGTCACCTCGCGCGGGAGTGTAGCCAAGGAGCGATTGCGCGAGGTCGTTGGGTCCAATGAAGATCAGGTCAACGCCTGGGACAGCGGCGATGGCGTCGACGTTCTCCACTCCGGCACGTGTCTCGATCTGGATCATAGTGATTATTGTCTGGTCGGCGGACTTCATGTATTCAGGTGTTGTGAGACCGTGACCGATAGCTGGGAATGCTGAGCCCTGGCCACGAACACCCTGTGGTGGGAATTTCGAGGACGCGACAACTTGTGCGGCTTCTTCTGCGTTGTTGATTTGAGGGACCATTATCCCGTGTGCCCCGGTATCAAGGGCACGCTTGAGGATGTCGTGTGCCGGTCCGCGGATTCGAATGACTGGTGACACGCCGAGGGCTGATATCGCAGCTACTGAGTTGTGCATGGCGTCGTCGCCAATATGACCGTGTTCGCAGTCGATGATAATGCCATCAAGACCTGTCAATGCAACGATCTGTGCCTGGCGAACGGATGGGATCGCAACAAAGGTCATCAACGGGAACTCTCCAGCTCTAATCTTATTCAAGAGCCTTAACCGAGGGTTCTGGATCTCCGTCGTTTGTGCGGTAGGGTAGCCCATGGTGTGTGGTGAAGTAGGTCGACGTTGACCGTAGTCGTCGATAGAATCGCAGGAGGACTTTGAGGTCTAGAGACTACAAATAACAGCGTCAAGGCAGGTCGAGAATGAGAATGGAATGATGAGAAGGCAGATGTAATGTTAGTGTTGTTTGACGACACGCCCATCTAAGTAGCATGACAGCGCCTGTCTGCCGTCCCATCTCAGCTGCTCCGCTATGCATCTCGACGTGCAGGCCATGAGGAGCACCTTGGCTCCTCTTGTGATGCCGACGATGTCGGGATGCAAATGTTGCCCCACAGGGAGGAGTAGGAGGAGCTCCTCCCAACAGCTCGCTAGCTCAGTGCAGGGATCACGAGTCATGCACGCTGTACCCCAGATTTTGTTGTCGCGTGAGATAAGCCTCCAAAAACTAGTGCCCAATAGTTCGGGACTCGATATCAGCTTGGGTGCTCCTCTCAGTCTTATCTTATGTCTGTGAACACGCATGCTATGACAGAGACGCTATAAATCATGACAGTTTGTTATGAGGTGCTGATCATTCGTTGCCAGCATCATTTGTGAGCTGCAGCTTCAAGTCTCTTTGCTTCGATCCTCTCCTGGCTGCTGAGTCATATAACAATGGCGACCGAGCTGAAGAAATTGGAGCTCGTTGGGACTGTGGGCACTGATGTCGAGTTCGGCACCGTCGAAAATGAGCGCATGCCAGAATCCCTTCGCAACCTCAGCAAGGATGAGATTACAACTCTCAACCAAAAGCTGGTCCGCAAGGTTGACCTCATCGTCCTGCCGATCATTGGCATCCTCTACATCTTGAACTATATCGACCGTCAGAACCTGGCTGCAGCAAAGTTGCAGGGCATCATGGAAGATCTCGACATGACGACCCAGCAGTTCGCAACCGCGATCTCGATCCTCTTCGTCGGCTACCTTCCCTTCCAGATTCCGAGTAACTTGATCATCACAAAGATCTCAAGGCCTGGTCTTTACATTTGTGTCGCTGTGGTTATCTGGGGTACAATATCCGCTGCAACAGCGGCCGTGAAGACTTATGGCCAGTTGTTAGCAGTGCGTGCTATTCTAGGAGCCGCGGAAGCTGTGTGAGTCGATCCTTCAGGTCATTTGAGAGGATTACACTGACTCCAGTGCTTCTTTTCAGGTTCTTCCCTGGCGCAATCTATTACTTATCGGCATGGTACAACAAGACTGAGCTCGGAAAGCGCATCGCTGCATTGTACATTGCGCAACAGTTTGGTAACGCATTCGGTGGCCTCTTCGCTGCTGGCGTCTTTAAGCTCGATGGAAGTCATGGCATCCGTGCGTGGCAGTGGCTGTGTATGTCAATGACTATCTCTACTTCCGTACCATTGACAGATGCTAATATGCACTTACAGTCATCATCGAAGGCTCTGCCACGGTTGGCATCGGTGCGGTCTGCGCCTTCTTGATGCCGGAATTTCCCCACAACAGCAAGATCCTCTCTCCAATACAGCGCGACCTTGCCGTTTGGCGTATCGAATCCGAGTCGGGTGCAGCGGAGGGCAGCACAAAAACAGAAGATGAAAGCGTGCTGAAGGGGTTCAAGATGGCCATTACGGATCCCAAGCTGCTGCTCCTCATCTTCTGCAACCTTCTCTCCCAAGCGCAGGGATCCATCGCCAACTACTTCCCTACACTCGTAGCGTCACTCGGATATAAGGGCACCACCAGTCTTCTTCTGACTGCACCACCATATATCCTTGCGGGCATCGTGTACTACTGGCTCATGTGGTACTCTGACCGCAAGAACACCGCATACCCTCTCATCCTTGCGTGTATCGTCACTACATGTGGAATGTATGTCATTCCAATGGCGACACTGAATGTGGGCGCGAGGTACTTCTCGATGATGATCCTTCCTTTCGCCTCAGTCGGACCACAGCTCGTGCTGTACAAGACGATCAACTTGCACCTTGCACGACCAACGGCCAAACGTGCAGCAGCATCTGCTTTGGTGAACGCCATTGGTGGCACGTCCAATATCTGGGCTTCTTACCTCTACTATGCACCACCGCAGTTCTATGCGGCTTTCGGCACTCTGATGGGCTGTGCATTCACTTTCGCAGCCACCATCACCTTTTACAGATGGTTCGTCCGTCGTGAGAACAAGCGCTTGGATTCAGGTGACCCAGATCAGATTGCGAAGGTTATCAAGGGTGGCGTAACGGAGGAGATGGTCCAGCTCGACTGGCGGTACGAGATGTACTGATCAACCTTCGATGGGATAGATCATCGTAGTAAGGCAAGCTTTCGCATCGAGGAGGAAGCCGCGTACAACCGATCGTGTTCAATAGCTACTACGTATCTTAGAAGCCTTCAGTAGAACCCAGACCATGATCTCGCAAGTGGCGTTGTCGTAGTCCCAACTTCCGTTTTATTTCCAGTGTTTGACTGTGAGGCGTGAAAAGAGGAACACTAGGATGTTGTGGCTTGGTGTTGTAGGTGTAGTGTAAGAGAAACCGGGTGTAGGAAGCCCTCGCTACGAGGTCCTGTTGTTCAAATACCGATCGGGCCGATGTCGCTAGGGCGTCCCTTCCCGACCACTTTGCTTCCTTCTCCCAAGCCACTTGCCATGATACCCACCCGCATGTCATGACGCCTGCGAACAATTTCAGAGTTGTGGGCTACGATGTGGAGGCGACCAATTGCCGTAATATGAATAAGCTGGACCTGGGAGTATCCTAGATAAGACTAGGTTCGTATCAACCGGCACCTGCCAACTATGCCAACCTACCAGCTAGCGGGAGATAAGCGCGACTACCTCGGATTGCGGGGAAGATAGCCCGGGCGCCTTGATCCGTACTGCTTGAAGCAGACTGAGCATGATGCATCTCCCTACCATCAGTCTCTGTTGCGAACATCATCGACATGGCATCCGTCACCGTGGCACCTAATCCACCCGAACGACGACCATCCTTCCAACCATTCCAATGTCAGGTTTGTCAAAGCCGCTTCACTCGCCATGAGAACCTCAAACGACATGCTGCGCTTCATGCACGTTCCCAACATGAGACCTCCTTGACCTGCGAGTTTTGCCCAGCAACATTCTCGAGATCAGACCTCCGACAGCGACATGTGAAGAGAAAGCATCCCGAACACCAAGCCAACCGACCTAGGAAGCGGCAGATGCTGCAAAAAGACAAGGTCTCATCTGCGTCTCCTCCAGACACTCAGACTGATCTGCCCTTTGTCACCCCAGAAGAGCAAGGTGACTTCGATGTTGACAGGATATGGCACACTGCTCTGCGCTATGATCAGCAACAGCCAGACCTTGATGCTCACAAAGACCTTGCAAGCAGCGTATCATCAAGCAACGGGGTGGCAACAGTTCTCACAACAACACAACCGTCATCAGACATCGACAATGTGTTGGAAGGGACGTTAAGACTTGGATCGGATCCACTGTTGGAGGCGACGCCAACGCAACCTCCACCGTTCAGCGCCTTCAGCAACTTCCCGGGCTACAATCAAGGCAGTCCTAGCAGATGGTTCTCGGCTGAATCGCCACAAGTGCAGGATGACTGGAAGGTTTCAACAACGCAGGTTGCTCGAGGAACTGAGTTGTTCTTTAACCACCTCTCACCATTTCTCCCCTTCATTCATCGACCGACGTTCGATGCCAACAGGACAGACAGACGTCTTCTCCTTGGCATGCTCTCCCTTGGGTATCAGTACGGTGAAGATCCGGACTATGGAGAGCAAGCTGGTTCGGGCGGGAGTTTATCGATGCAATGCTTCCATCAAGCCCGCGCGCTCCTTGCATCTGACAACGATGATCAGCACCTCGACACTGTTCGAAGTACGACCACTGTACAGGCTTGCCTGCTACTGCAGGTGTTCACTATGATGTATCTCTGCGGAAGCGCATCGGCGTATGGCCTCAAGACACATTTCAAGATCATCGCACTAGCGCGAGCAGGAGGGCTCATGCAGCCCGTGACGGCCGAGGCAACAGCGGCCACGGATCTGGACTCTCTCTGGCATCAGTTCATCCAGTCTGAGGCGCACAAACGAACGTGCTTTGCTGTTCACCAGATCGACGCGCTATGGTATCAGGTACTCTCTGTACCTCGCTCGTTGTCGCATCTGGAAATCAAACACGAATTGCCATGCCCGGAAGATCACTGGACAGCAGCGACTTCTGGAGAATGGGCACACAGGCAACTACTTCTGCGTCAGGCCGGTTCTACAGTGCAATATCCAGAGGTTGTCCGACGATTCTTGTCGTCCAACACAGATCTGTGCACGTTACCACCGTTCGATCCATACGGCACTATCAACATAACCCAGTTCTTGATATCTAGCGCTCGAGAAATATCAGGATGGTCTACAATTACCGGCATCCTCAGCATCGAAAGAGTCGAGCCGCTTAGATCTTCTCTTGTTGCTCTGGAAGCTTTCACTCGACCGCATGGGGCCAACTCAGATCCAACACTCGCTTCCCTCGGTGAAATTGCTTGGGAAACAGCAATGATCGAACTCCAGATGTGGTCACCAACGCATACTGGTGGTATCATTGAGGGAAGCATGGATGCAGTGCTTCACCAGTTGACAGACCATGCACCATCGTGCGAGTTCCTATGTGAATCGCGCATCTCAGATTTGGTCCAGCCACATGTCGACTGGTTCCTGCGCTATCTAGACGCAACAATGTTACCTGACACGGAGGCGCCGTGGGTCGTCTTATATGCATACAAGGCCTTCATGATCGCGTGGCAGCTTGTCCGTGACGGGATCGTAGGGTCGATGCAGGTCGTTGGGGTGCAGGATGGTGACACGCAAGGTGCTCTGGCATGGGCGCGGAAGGTATTTGGACGACGACAGCGGTGGCAGCTCGGCAAGATTGTCATGAAGTGTATAGACCAACTGGAAGCTAGGACGTCTCCGGGATTATTAGAATGATGGATCAGCTGTCAATATCACTGTATCAATACAGGCATTTCTGAGTCAAGCTTCGTTGAGAGACAATACGACGAGTCTGCTGGTACTGACACCTGTGATGCTATTGTACAATGTTCATATCTTTCCCATGGTGACACAGTCTGCCACGAAAAGGCTTTTGTATGGAATCGACAGTTCAAAGTTGATGTTGGAAGCGCCAGGGATCATTGTGAAGATGAAGGCGGCAACACGTGCATTCGCGTTGACGCTAGCGTCAGAGACCGTCGCCAACCCGCAGCGCGTGATCTCTCCACCCGCAAGCCCCGCCTTCTCTCCCAATGGCCGCAGATGTGTCCATGGAGAATGGCATATTTCTGAGCCCCGCGCCTCGTGCCGTCGATAAGCCGGCGGCGACCCCAAACGTTCTTGAGGTGGTCTTTGGCTCGCTGTTGATCAAACCATGGTACCCGTCATTCTACCCTGAGGAGCTTGTTGGCCGTAAGGTGGAGCGCCTATACGTATGCCAATGGTGCTTCAAGTACACCAAGGAGCTCACAGGCTTCATCAAACATCTCGTAGGCTCACCACACCTTCTAAACACCACGCGCAAAGCTGACCACTCATGTAGAGAGCTTGCCTGCTACGCAGCACAGAACCACCGGGCAACCACGTATACACGTCAAACGGCTACTCACTCTACGAGATCGACGGCGAGAAGAACAAGCTCTACGCGCAGAACCTCTGCCTCTTCGCCAAGCTCTTCCTCGATACAAAGTCTGTCTTCTACGACGTCACGACCTTCCTCTACTACCTCCTCATCGCGCACAACCCCACGCCGAGCATACCGAACACACAACTAGATGACGACGCGCCGGTTGGTCAGAACCAAGTCGTCGGCTTCTTCAGCAAGGAGAAAATGAGCTGGGACAACAACAATCTGGCGTGTATATTGGTTTTCCCGCCCTGGCAGAAGCAAGGCCTGGGTCAGATTCTTATGGGCGCGAGTTATGAGATGAGTAAGAGGGAGGGACGGCTTGGTGGGCCTGAGAAGCGTGAGCCTACCGCACTTCACATTAGTGCACGTGACTATTCGCTAACATAGCCATAGCACTCTCTGACCTTGGTCACCTGGCATACGTGCACTACTGGTCGCAAACCCTCGCACGTACGCTACTCTCTTGTCCCTCGAAGAAGACTTTGACTGTGCACGACCTCGGCCAGAAGACGTTCATCGTACCTGACGATATATTAGCGACACTACAAGCTATGGATGTGCTGGAGCACAAGAAGAGGGGCGGCGCGGAGGCGGTCATCAATAAGGCGAAGGTCAGGGCTTGGGTGGAGAAGCACAAAGTAGATCTTCGAAGTCCGGTCGATTCTGAAGCGTTCGCGTTGAGAGATAGGAGCAGGAGTGAGAGTGCGGAGTAGGAGGCACACCTGTACAGGTGGAGGAGGTCAAGTTCAGGCGTTTTCTTAAGATACCCCAGTTTTTGTTGCAATTTACATATAAGACGCGATCCAACGTGCAATCAAGGCAAGCTACCTTATCGCCCTCATTGAGCCAGTTAGAGTTGCAACATCTGGGTGTATCAGTAACCCTTTCTCTAGCATGCCTCGTGCTTCATTTATACCGTGAATGTCACTCCGAGTTGGGCCATCTTAGAAACGACAGTCGGGCTTGCCTTTTGGTCATCCTTAGCACTTGTTTTATGCGCCCTAGGCCCTGCTTTCTCAGCACTGGGTTGTTGGTCCCAACTAGGCCTAGCTTGTCTAGCTTGTGCTCACTGGGTAGCTCTCTTCGCCATTTCTCGTCCGTCACTCTTACACTCCTCTGCTCCACTTCTATGAGTCGCTTGCCTATTAGGCCACGCTAACTTGCACGAAGCTATTTCTTTTCCAATCATTCGTTGCATCACTACAAGCAACGACAAGCAAGCCCTCTCCTGATGGAGGCAAACAGCGTGTGACAAAGGCACGAGCTGGCCCTACCACTCTATATGGCAGACCAAATACCATCCCAGATTCTGACTTGCATCATAGATCGAATTCGACAAATGCCTATCCCCTGTAGTACACAACCGACCCGCCAAATTGCGGAGCATGTCCTAGTCCTGCGACTTTCACCTGTACAGGCTGCAACAATATGCAGTACTGCTCGAAATCTTGTCAGACTGCCGATGAGGCTCAACACAAAAGGCTTTGCGAAACCTTCGAGGACTTCCAGGACTGACATCGGCCTAGTCCCAAGCATCGTTGAGTAATCTTTTTTCCTCGGGACGAAGACTACCCGCGTTTTGTATGGCTCAAGCGCAAAGGTGAACCTGGTGATATGCATGCCGATATCCATAAGCTAAAGGAATACGTCGGCCAGCCTGAGTCTATCGCTGTTTTCGACAGCATTGTGAACTCGGACGTCGGTACAACAATATTTTGTGGATTCAAAGTAGCACGTTTGCTGCGACCATGCCACCTAATTAGAGCCCCCGGGCGCTATTGGATCCGTATGCTGAATATTGGATGGGTTCTATCATTTGCATGGCGCCCAACAGGGATCGATGTAACACGGCGGATTTGTTGATTTCTTCCGACCTAGACACCACTTCTCTTGCTATCCACGTAGCCTGTCTTCGCTTCATATCGAGGTATAGGCACACGGGTCGCGCGTACAGCGTTGAGGCCAAGGGTGTTGGAGACGGATTTGACCCACCGTAGGATCTTCAAGTAGCTACTACGGTGCAGGAAGCCGGGGAAGTCTCTAGTCATACGAGCTGAATGACAGGATATCGGCATTAGAATGGCATCTCGGTTTCTGGAACTTTTCAATTCGATCTTGCCTTTACATCATTGCGCCCAATCATGCAGGCAATCCTGCCACCTAGAAGCAAAACACACGGGTATCCATCCTAATTCAAAACAACCCCCATAACGCCAAACAACGTCCTCATTTCCACGACCAACGTAATCACTTCTTCTCCCCACCCAGGTACCCAACAACATCCCCACACCTCTCCAACCTCGCCCTCGTCTCAGGCAATCCCTTGTTCAGCCTCCCCAATCCCTCAACCGCTCTCTCCCAATTCCTTCTAATCTCATCTTCCCTCTCAACCGTCACACTCAACCCACCGTCCTCGCCCACCATCTTAGCCTTCTGCACCTTTGCTAACCTCAGCTCCTCCATCGCCTGTGCCTCGCGCTCAAATTGTTCCTCGAACCGCCGTGCGCTCGCCGCAGGCGTCTCCCTCCTGTGTTTCGATATGCTCGCGATGAGTTTATCCCGCTTGTTAATCTGCTCCGCGAGCCTGGCCCGCAGTTTCTCATCAAAAGCCTCAAACTCCTCTCTCTCCACGCCCTCCACCCCTCCCTCACTTTCTACCCCCTCCATCTCCATCCCATCCCCGTTGTCAAACCCTCCGCCCCGGCTCTGACTCACAACATCCAACCCATTAATAGTAATATTCGCCTTCAACCCCGCAAGGACTTGTGCCACAAATGCATCGACCAGGACTTCAGTCTGCGCGCGCAGGTCGTCGGCCGAGTCGGACGGTTGCGCGGGGAGGTGTAGGTCTAGTTTCTGACGCGCGGCGGTGCGGATTTGGCTTGTGAGGTAGGTGAGATCTCCTGGGCTTTGGAGCTCGATTTTGCGGTGCTCGGATTGCATTGTGTTGGTTTGTTTGGGGGAGGGGGCGCGTCGTGCGCTGTGTTGAGATCGGCGTGCAAGCGTGATTCGAGTGCTCGAGTTGAATGCGTAGCGAGGCGTGTATGCTGTGGGACGGCGGGAAGTTGTGTGTGTGTGTGTGTGTGTGTGTGTGTGTTGACTTGCTCTTTGTTTTGGTGTTGTTTAAGCCGGGAGATCAACGCGCGCTTGTCGACTGTCGCGCTAAGGGCAGGCCGAGGTGGGGCTGCCGCGTGCCTGCACGAGGGCAGGTGCAGAGAGGCTTGACCTCGAGAACTGTTTGCGCGTTCTCGTAGCTGATGTTAAATCTAATATATTGTATAGTCTCGAGTGCAATGTACATAAGCCTCTCAGACACAATAACGCCTCATCGCGGAACCCTTGATCAAAACGCCCGCAGCCCGTAAGTGTCAATTCCATGCTCCATGCTCCATGCCCCATGAATGATCGTATCTACGCCGCAACCCCATTAAAATGTGCCTCCCTTCCCCTAAACCCATGACAGTGCTCGCCTTCACGAAGACGGAAACATATTCTTAACCTCCTCATCCGTAACCACGATATCCTGCACAGGATCCTGTCGGCGCTCGAGGTCATCGAAGTGGAAGTCGGCGTAGCTGGGTAGGAACATTTCTATCGCATCGTCAGCACACATATCTGTATCACACCTCACCCCAGGCCGGTCCGAAACCTGGAGTGACGCATGGAGAGAGGTGTGGAAATGTACCCTGATTCCAGTCAAAGCCCTGACTGGCCTTGACACAAGTAATCAGCCGCGGAAACTCCGCATCCCCAACGTTGACAACCGTATGTTCGGCTTTTGAGAACGATGCAGCTGGTTTCCGTTAGCACACATTATACCACACCACACGCCACAGACCACAGCCTTATCGCCCTTATCGATACGACGATAAGAGCTCCGCACCGCGGTTCGACTGCTGGATTCGTGGGAGAGGCAACGTACACATGAGACTCGGTCTCCTCGCCTTATTTCCCGATTGTAGACTGCTGGCCTCGAAGCTGCCGTATGTGGATTGCTGGAAACTGCCGGGACTGCTCGCGCTGCTGCCGACCGACTCGCTCGCTCGCTCGAGCTGCTTGGTCTTGCGCTTGGGGATAGCAATGGAACTCGACATGTTTGCAATCTAGATATTAGGAATACCGAACAAACCCCCCGAAACAGGTTCAAAAAGAATATAGGTGTGTGAGTATCATGAAGAAGAGCAAGTCGAGGAGGTATTGAGGTCCAGGTCGCAGCCTCAAGGAGTCAGATGCGAGGCAGCCAATCAGCGTGCGGGGCAGCCTGGCGATCGCCGCGCTAGTCGACGTGCGTGTGACAGGTACGATGATGCTATATGATGTTATCTCTTATCGCGGGATCATATGAAGGTGTCTAGATGCCGAAGAGAGCCGCTGTATCATCAGGTACTTGCAACTTGCGGTTCAACCGCCATCAGGGTGTTTAGAGCGGTCTTGAATCCCTAATGACCACTCACGTAGCATGTGGCATGATCCGGAGCCTTGTCACCGATATTCATGATCACAGCAGACAGAGAAGTACTCTCGTACAACCGAATATTCCATTACCTCGGTACAGCACTTGACCCTTGAATTGTTCCATCATATCGTACATATATCGCTCGTTTAACAAAAGAAGCACACAATCGGTCCTGCCGAAGCATGAATTCGACATAGACAATCCCTCTTCAAACGGCCCGCTATCAACCTCCTAACAAGTATAACATGCGTATCGAGCGAGCGTACAGAAAGCTAAAATTAAAGCAACGCTGAAATAAAGTTCTACACTATGCATCCGAAGCCAATCCAGCTTCATCCCGCGATAGTGCTTTTCGAGTCTCTCCTCTACTCGAGCAATCTCCTGAAAGAGACATCTGGCCATGCCACCACCTCAGGGTATCCCAACAAGACTAGCACAAAACCCAAGAACTCCCGTAGCGCCTTAGGAATAGTCGTGGGTGAAGATAGAAGGATTACGTACGTCGTCAAACGGCGGTGACAACATAGCAAAAACCGGGGGTATCATAATGTCTTCGTGGAAGCTCGCGTGACGGGACGAGACGAGTCTACCATCCCTTCTTTCGCGCGAACCGCCGGTTGAGGAGGACCAGCACCTTGGAAACGTTGAACTGAACGTACTCCAGATCGAGGTCCTCTTGATTGTCCTTCTGCATTTCGAGAAGATCGTCCAGCTTCAGGTCCAGCTCAAGGAGACCGCGGTTGCGACCCTTGTAGTGTAACGAGATGACGAACGTTCCTGGTAGCGGACTTGTGAAGTTAAAGTAAATGTTCGCCCGCCTATTCTCCGGAACATTGCTCTTCTGGATGACGCCTTCCCTCTCCAGTTGCTGATGAGTGAACTTGTACGGTCCTAGCACTTGGTGCTTCTGCTGTTTCCTTGTCTTCCCTTCAGACTGGCTTCGAACGTTGTGCAGGTAGGATTTGTATGTCTCCAATTGGCCGACCAGGTAGTTATTGTGATCGCGTATCGTCCGGTAGACTTCCTCGAGCTTTCTTGTCTCTTCGATCGTCTTCTCTTTCATCGAACCCAGGTGTACAAGCTCCTGCTCGACCTCATCTCTGAGCAGCGAAAACCCGTCCTCTTTGTCGATGACGCCCAGATCTTGCAGTTGGCTCAGCAGCTCCATACTGCGAATGCCCTTCTTCACCATGATCGAGTCGTTCTTGGTCGTCGCTGCAGCCTCGGCAATTCTGTCAAGCCTCAACGGTCTCCGGGTGATAGAAGTGTTAGGAGGTAGCGAACGAAGAATCAAGACAAAAGTGCCCTTCGCCTCCATGAAGAAGATCTCCTCCTGCGTGATGTCGAGCGCCGCAGTGAGATCGTCAAGCGGTGTTTCCCACTTGCTGAACAAAGGCAGATTGATAGCCCTGTTCTCTTTGCGTGGAAGCTGGGCTGGTGCTGGCCCAAGTTCCTGTAGTATCACACCAAGATGTGAACTGTCATCTCTTGCCTGAAGCAAGTCAGTAACTTTGTCTTTGGCGTCATCCCTTCGCGCAAGCTTTGAGCTTACCAACTCCGTCGCATGCCTCTCCAGCAATTGATGCGTCGCATAGACTTCGTTGAGTGTGATGGATAGTTCAAGATCTCTCTTCGACAGCGCCACGTAGTTGTCCATCTCCAAGGTCTCGTAGAAGTCTTGCACTTCGCAAAGATCGAGAAGAAACTTGTTGATGCGGTCCTTGTTTTGGTGGATGAATGGCTGGAGCTTAGCCATATACGGCTCCTTGGCATATGAGGGCTTGTTCGCCAAGTTTTGCAGCATCTTTGCAATGTAGGTAAGCGTGCGCTTCGGGTTTTCAGCTGGTGTTGCGTCGATAAGCATGTAAGATCTTGGCGTGACAATTGCAGGGTTGATGAAACGCAGGAAGAAGAAGCCGCCGATAAGTGTGCAGATCGTCTGGTCTTGCGCATCGGGGTACTTTCGTCGCGACAAGCTGCGAATTTGCTTGCAGATCCAGCGAATACCGTAGGGTGTCTCCTCGAGGCCCTTGATGATAGTTGAGAGGAAGTTGTTCGCGATCTCCATGAGCATATTCAGGCGCGGCGCGATGATTTGCTGGACCTTCTCGTTCTCCGCAGCTTGCTCCGCTGTGACACCCTTTGGGAGGTGCGCCGGCAACTGGCCTTGCTCTTCAAGTTCGAGGACCATCTTCTCGTAGACCTTAAGAGGATTGATTTCCAGGTCGAGGTCCTTAAGCTCAATCAGGGAATTGATGCTGTCCTGCAGCACAACCTTGAGGTAGCTCTGACCAGGTCCTCTCCGTGTATATGTAGTCATCATTCGAGATACAGGCGTGTTGGCGCGCAGCAGCGAGCTGTAGTCTGGTGTGTTATCGAACTGGTAAGTGAGCACAGACTGGGCGGGGTTAGCGGATTGCATGTTAGGAGCTGGAGTAGTTCCGTACCTGGAACATAGTCAAAAGCAAGTGCTCTTCACGGCTCTCGTATTGGTTTCCGTAGATTGTGAACATGACCGTCTGGAGCAGTGCATCAATCTCAGCCATTGAGACAAGTCGGCACAGGTGAGCGATGTGTCGTGGTTCAGATTGGAGTAGGAACAGCAAATTGCCGTATTTCTGTGTTTTCTCGTCGTTGGGAAACGAGCCCTCTTGTAGTTCGAGTCCATCTTCGAGGTGGCTTGCAACTTCATTTTGCTGTAACACAGTTAACATCCATAGGATAAGTCCAATGGCCGAGGGTCGCCTACCTCCTCCAGTGCCATGCGGTTTTGAATAAGTAACGCTATCCGCGAGTCGAGGTAGCGGACATCTTTCTCGAGTACGAAGTTCTTCTTCGACTGGGACGAGATCTTGGCTTTGAGCTCTCGCAATATCTTCTGGGCTGCCAATTGTCAGATTACACTTTGGTTCTGCAAGACAAGACACGTACCCCTGGCTAGATCGTCTTCAATCTCAAGTTCCTTATCCTTGGCAGACATGGACAGATACAGCGCCGTGACCGAGTACCGCTTCGACTGGCGCACCGACCGCGAGCCATCGTGGGACGACATTGTGTTCTGCCGCGAGACGGGGACGAAGGATGAGGTAGTGGACGAGGTCGACGCCCGTGAGGGGGCATGCAGCATTGAGACGGCCATGCCGAGGATTGCTAAGACCGCTGGCTGCGATCAGAGCTGGCGGAGAAAAGGGCGTGTAGTAAGCGGTTGCACGAGTCGCGGGGCGTGGGCGACAAAGAAAGTCAACACTCAGGTACGTGTGCTACTGTGTGCTGATCGCAGTGACACCCGGCGCCGCGGCGCTTGGTGTGGGAGGGGCTTCTTTGTGCGCGCAGAGGGATGCCGCAGCGGAGCTGCCCGTCCAGCGAGGCTGTCGAGGCCCTGGGGTGAGCGTCTGTCGCGGTCTTTGTGTCACAGGTGTCAGCGACAGCAGGCGTCAGGGTCTCGGGGCGTGGCGTGCGAGGGACTGCGGGCGCTGGGGGTGGGCAGCGTGGTTCTGCGCCGGGCCTGGATATCGAGGATATCAGAGAGAGCAGCGCGCTGAGGAAGTCGCGACGGGCAGTGCGGGGACAGCACAAAACATCAACTGGAGAGTCAAGTTTAACAACAGCGGGCATGCAACATTCCAGAAGAGCGGCGCGTCTCTGGGGCAAATTAGCGGGTGAGGAGACGAGAACCTCAGGATGTGAAGCGCAGAGTGTAGGGCACCAGTGATGGGCGGGCGGAAAGGAGCAGCGTATGTTTCAGCGCGTGGCCGGCTAGCACGAGTGGGTCAGGATGTGGTGGAGAGCTGCTGCACTGGTCCGCTGCAGGCGACGGCGGGAAGGGAAGTCGCAATTGCACCGACACACGAACTCCACGAGAACAGCAGCGTTTGCTCAATGGCAGCCAACAGCGTGCGTAGAGATGGAGATGCAGAGAGGGGCCGGGATGCCAGGGCAGGGTTCGCATGCATGCTGCGCCCGCCGCTGCTCCTCTGAAACGATGGTCAGGTGCTGCTATTTTTCAGGGGCCCTTGAACCTAACGAGCGGGTCGCGCGCACTGTCGCTCGCCGGTTCCTGACTAGCAGACGTCAACATCAAGCTGTGTCGAACCTCCATTCATGGCGCTGACCGTCCATACGTGAGGGTGTGGGCTTCGTCGACGCCTCGAGGCTGTGGCCGTAGCATAGCATAGCATGCACTCGCGGGCCGCCCCTCAGCCCAATACATGCTGCAGGAGGGGTTCGATGGAGCGTGGGGCCTCTGTATGCGGGTCCCAGGGCCCTGCTCCTTCGGCTCTACTGCACCGTGATCATGAACGACTATCGCAAATCGCAATGTATCTTGATAACGCTTCATTTGCATTCAATACCCGCCACCCGTCTGACAGCTACATTGCAGGACCATGTGGTCTCTAGGACTGCCGTAGTATTGAAGACTGCTGCCAGTCCTGATCAAGAATCACGCCACTTCCTCTTCCATCCTTCTGCCGCCGATAACATGCAGCCATGATTCAGTAACGCATTCTTCATCTACCAGCGCTGAACGCACTGTGAGCCATGGATCCCAGCCCGTTCCCACTACATGGCCAAGCGAGCGCTAAGCTGCGCAGACGTTCGTATGGTATTCCTTCTTCCGAGTGCGCCGGGTGCGCCGGGTGCAAAGACAACGCCTAAATGCAATGTAGATCCGTTCATTAGGTCAATAGACATGACGCCATAACATGCTGATACCGCAACTCATAAAGTTTGTATGGCCGTAAACACGAACTCCACATCTCTTGTTTTCCACTCGGACGTGGCTGGTTCCTGACTCTCGGGCATTGACTCCGTCTGTGCGTGGCGATCGTTGCGCTCGTTCCCCAAGTTGGCCAGGAATGCGTGCGGTGGAGCGTGCCTGTGCGCTCAGCGCACAAGAACCGCAAGAACGCTCATCAACCCAAAATAGCTGCGTGCATTAGCTTCCTTGTCACAATCCTCAGGATCAAGTTGAAGAGCAGGATGGCCTGCAAACACCAGCTCAAAGCAGCGACAAGTTCGCCGCGGGATGTTCGGTCGCCTGCTTGCCAGGGGGATCCAATAGAGAAAGCACTCACATAGAAGCCCCGTACATCCATTCTCGGACGGTCATGATGGCCATGAACTCTGGCGTCGACGTGACCGTCCTTAGCCCCGCGGCGCTGATAAGCGCGATTACAACGATGCGTCCAAGCAAACTGGGGACAATCGAAAAGGCCACAAACGGTAACAGCGGAAGCCACATGGCTACGTGCTGGTTCGTCCCCGCACTATGGTCAATACTTGTGTGCCTTCTTGGTGAAAATGTCACTAGATCGGCCTGGCGCTCGAGGAAGCGACTTTCTGCCTCATGGATTGGGTTGCGCTGCTTCATCCACGCTCGATATTTGTCAATGTCTGAAGGTCTAGCAGATGGAAGATGCTTGACATCACTGAAGGCAGACAATGCCTTGTCTACTTTTGGTCAGTGGCTTTCTGTTGGCGATGATGTTTGCCACATGCAGCGTGCTGTTAGGCACTTACTGTATTGTTCCAGCTTCAGAAAAACTTGGCCAAGTACATCAAGTCTTCTACGGTGCAGATCGTTTCCGTATTGAGTATCTCCTCGTCTAGACGCTGGGTGACGCTGTCCTGTTTGAGCACCTGGTGATGCCTCGGCGATCTCCTGATCGAGCTGGCGAAGCTCTTCCTCCAGCTCGCTGATCTCATCTTGCAGATGGAGTAGAACACGGTGGTTCAGTTGCTCAAACTTACGATACGCAGGCACTACAGCGTCTTCCTTTCTACCTTTCTTCAGTTCACTCAGCTTGTGGGCCAGAAGCTCATATCCGATCATCTTGTCGTTGGCTGAGCTACCCTGTTGCTGGGCCGGACGCTGAGGAATCATAGCCAAGTGTTGCGCTGCAACGGCATGCGCGGCAGTAGGAGACTGCACAAAGTTAGGAGGCGCATGAATTGCTACAGGCGAGTGATGTGGATAGGCAGCTGTAGACCCTGGCGAGCAGGCTATGGCCAGTGGTGGTGGGTAAGAGGCCATGGGAGGCCAGACTGAAACTTGGCTCGCCGTCCCACTGAAGTTTGTCGGCGATGCGCCTGGCGATGCGCCTGAATACATTCGTGGATCGTAGAATGGTACAGCTGGCTGGATGTGGGGAGACATGACTCCGGCATGTGGAATGTTGTGGTGCGGCTGAGGACTTTGGAGCACGTGACCAGATCCAGGGTTAGGTGCATGTGGAAGCGGGTTTGGAGGGTAATTCCAGTGCGAAGTTGGTTGAGATGAGTGTTGCGTATGACCGTCATCGTATGCGCTTTCCTCATCGCTATAAACTTCGCTGTCCTCTGCCTCTTCATCTCCAGGGCCATGAACAAAGCTGCTCGCGTACAATGGCTTTCCTGACTGGTTTCGATAGTGGCCGTAGTAGGGTGCTCCATGGCTATGAGATCTTCTCGTTGAGGTTGGAGAAGTCTTGGGCGTATCGTGTGCACCTTCGCTGGCATCTGAAGACTTATTGTCATCGGCACGAGAATCTGTTGATGAAGTGACTGATGGAGACGATGCTTGGAGGACGCTTTGTGCATCGACTTGTGACTCTGGTACGCCCGCATCCTCACTCAGGAACTGAAACACATCAGATTGTGTAGCCTCTGTATCGGCAACTGATGGTGTCTCAGAACGCTTGCTACGCTTCACTTTGGTCCCTTTCGTTGACTTTTCTTTGCGACGCCGTTCATCACGATGAGATTTTTCGGTAATGGTTGTGTTACTTTCGCTTGCTGTGCTAGGCTGGGTCAGGCCAGAAAGCATTGAGACTAAAGAAGAATTCGAATGTTTGGCAAGGCTTCCGGCGCGTCGCTGCAAGGATCCATGTTTTGGTCGGACTCGTAATCGACTGGAGTTACTGTCCTCAGAGTGGCGGCGGCGACGAGCGTCGACTGTCGAGCTTGAGGCAGAGTCCCTGCGTCTGCCAGTTGTACTTCCATGTCCCTCCTGTATCTGTTCCAAATTTGGCATGTGCCCTACAGCATCGTCTTCCCAGTGGGCGTCTTCCTCCTCATAGATCGGTGCTGGTGCCGCGGACGTATGGTTCTTGGGTGTCTTCTTCAGGGTTCGCCGATTGGTCTTCGATATCTTGGAACCTCCATCGTCTGTACCTGTCGAAGAGGGTGGTGCCGAGTGTAGAGCATCGTCGGCGCTTTTAACACGTGAAGGTCGACGTCGCGTTGGGGGTGCAGTACCCTCGAAGGGGGCTTCATAGTCCGCCTACATTCTCAACATACAGCGATCAGTATCAAGAGGGCACACTGGGCCAGAGAACCACAGAGGAGGCGCAGATCATCACCCACCATGCCACGTTGTGCCTGCCGTGTGCGCTGTCTGCCAACGAATGACACGCTTGCTTCAGTGGATCTGATGCTGTCGATGACGACTCAGGGTGTGCGCGTCGGCCGTAGCTCGTAGTAGAATATAGATGGTAGTGCAGTGTGCGGTTTCTTGCATACTGGAAGCGAACAGGAGCAAAACAGTGTGCGACGTGAGATGGCTGTGAAGGACAAAGCAAGGAAAGCAATCGTGATGTTCGTCTTACACGTCACCGAACGGGCGTCGAGGAGAACACACAAGCAGCGAGGCAGGGCAAAAGAAATTCGAGCGACGTGCAGCCCTCTAGCCGGTCGGCCAACGCAGCATGCATCATTGTGCTTCTGAATCCAAGCTTGTGGGTGGTGGAGTTGCAGCTGCGGAAGTGTGCGGCTTCGACCAATCATGTGCCGATGAAGGCCGTCAAGCGAACGTGTTCGCCTGCGCCTCGTTAAGCTGTCCCATAGCTCTCGGGGAACTGTATTTTGTGACGATGCTCCAGTCGCTGGCAACGGCTCTGGTTTGAGCCGTTTGTTGCACCGGCGACCTCCGAGATCCGTTCGTGGCACCTGACCACTGCCTTCCACTTTTGGGCATCTAAACACTCATCATGTAAGCAACAGATAGCAGGAGCGGGCAGCAACGACTGCTTCAGCCCCCCTGCTCTGCTCTTTATGAGCATTTGAGCTTCAGAGACCCAGCTTGACTTCTTGTAACATCTTGTCTGTATACTGTCCCTTCAATTTGCTGAGCCTCACTGCATCCACCCCACTGCTGAGCTGTTACCCCTCCAAGATCGAAGACTACACTCGTCCCTCCTCTACGCTCATATACAACATGGACCCAACAGTCAAATATCTGCTATCACTGGGGGCCATCAGAGACCGCGCCAAGGTAGTCGGACAAGCAGCGAGAGATGGAAACCTCAACCACTTCGATGTCCATGAAGACAAACTGGACGATGTTGCGGACTTCGTGACTTCTGTCATCAAGGTCCGTTGAACATGAACATGTGTCCATCTGTCACGCTCACCGATTGACTAGCGTGACTACGGCCCAGACAAGTTCGACACTATTCCACCTCACGGCCGCTGGCAGCACTTCGAGGTAGGTGGTGTGCCTCGAATTGCCGACTTGCTTGAGAATTGGAAGAAGGCTGGATGCGATGACAAAGAGCTTACACGTCGACTGATTGACCTCTTCTTTGTATCGGTGCTCCTGGATGCTGGCGCAGGTGATCACTGGAAGTATGTCGAGCCTGGAACAGAACGATCGTACGAGCGAAGTGAGGGTATTGCTGTCGCCAGTCTGTATATGTTTCTTGAAGGTGGATACACTGCCGTGGAAACCGGTACTCCACTTGTAGACGGTAGGTGATCTGTATCCGAACTGCTCAGGACCACTGTTAAAACCTAATCCAGGCAAGGGACTCGCCCAACTTACGACTGGGGCTCTCGCCAAAGGTCTTCAGGTGACAGAAAGCAACCCTATGTTGGGAGTCGAATCGAGAGCAAACCTACTCAGAGGGCTAGGACAATCGCTTCTCGTCCACCCTGACATCTTCGGTGAAGCAGGCCGCCCAGGAAACGCCGTTGGTAAGTCGAGTATATCTACTATCGCGCATCTTCGCTTATATTACTTAGACTATCTGTTAAAGTCCGCTAGTGACTCCTCAACACTCGACATCCTCACCTTCTGGAATCTTCTGCAAACACTGCTCATTCCAATCTGGCCGCAAGACCGCACAACGATCAATGGCTCTCCCATCGGTGACGCCTGGCCGCTGGGCGCACTGGCAAAACAAGCAGGTTCCTCGAACGAAGACAAAAGCAAACCGGAATTTATCCAGCCTTTCCACAAGCTGACACAATGGCTCACCTACTCGCTGATGGTCCCGTTCCAGCGTATCCTGGGCATCAAATGGATCAATGCAGAGTCGCTCACTGCTCTACCCGAGTATCGAAATGGCGGTCTGTTCGTGGACATGGGCGTTCTTTCACTCAAGAAAGCCACGCTCGACGCCGGTTTGAAAGCATCTGAAGAAGCCTTTCCACAGTTTGCAGCCGGCGACGACGTAATCGTCGAGTGGCGAGCCATGACCCTGGTATTGATTGACAAGCTTTACCCCATGATCTTGGCTCGGATGGATGGTGCATATCTCAGTATGGCACAACTGCTGGAGGCTGGAACGTGGAAGTCTGGGAGGGAGACGGCGGCGAAGCTAAGACCGAAGACGAAGTCGAGTCCAATTATCATTCAGAGCGATGGCACTGTGTTCTAAGAGACGCCATTACAGTCGCATAGAGATGGTCCAAAGTCACCATGGATCAACACATCCGGTGACAATACCCCTTGCAGTGTATTAAAAGTTCGTGCTAGATCGCAATGGTACTATGCCTACATTTCCATATCGTCCAAATCCTGGTGGTCTGTAGTATCTCCCGTTGGACTTGCTGGAAAAGTCCCACCATTGTTCATACGTACTATCATCCTTCGCACCATATGATTTCAAGAGGTCATATGTCGCCTTTTGACCCCTGAGGATTGCTAATGACAGCGGAGTCTCTCCCTTGGAGTTCTTGAAATTGACCTCTGCCTTTTTACTCCGAAGCAGCATTTCTGCTATGGGCATGCGACCATATCGGGCTGCCAGTCCCAGGGGTGTCGCGCCATTTTGGTTTGGTAAATCGACGTCCACTTTGTCGTTCTTGAGCAATAGCTCTACTACCGATGTATGACCGTTTGCAGCAGCCCTTGCAAGCGGTGTGTAGCCATACAAGTCCTGTGAGTTGACTTGAACCTGATTATGCTTAAGTAGGATATCTACGGTTGATGTGTGTCCCCACTCTGCGGCTGCTGCAAGTGGTGTTGTTCTTTGGTTGTCTCGTACATTGACATCCGCCCGTCCAATTTTAAGTATCAATTCTGCTGTTGACGTGTGACCTTCGAATGCAGCCAACAGAAGCGGTGTTCGTCCAACGAGGTCCCTTGAATAGAATCGACGTCTAAGCAGCGTTTTTCGGGGTTCTAGCTTGACCACTACGGATAGGTTGACGTCTGCCACACCACTGGGCAGGAGGACTTCTACCGTTGCACGGCCTGTTTGAGCTGCCCATGATAGTGGTGTTAGAATTCGCCCTTCTCTGGAAAGGCGATCCAGGCACTCGATGTCCGTTCGATTCGTGTCCAGCAACAGCTCCCATCCATTCTGTTCTGGCAAAGTGAAGTCTGTATGTATGGCTTCCTTCAACATGTGTGTTGTCTTCCAAGACTGATCCAAATATTCGATTCTCGATATGCCAATTTCCGAGGACAGAAGGAATGCGCTGTCACTTTTCTCGTTGAAGGCACAAATGATTATGCCCTCGCGCAGGGCGCGCAAATCCGAGAACCTACGCAAGAATTCCGGCAACGTCCATGGAGGCAAACAGCTCGACGAGATCCCCAAGTTGCCGAGACCAAGGAGGAAAGCGATAGTTGTACGAGCCACTTCTCCCGGGGTCTTGCTGTAGTCAGATGCCAGAGCCTTTGTGTTGTTCGCGTCCGTTGAGATACCAAGCAATGCGTAAACCATGTCCCTTGGGTCGGTTGCCTTGCTCCCTTGAAACTTGCGCAGCAAGGTCTCCAGATTCTGATCCCACAACCACCACGAGAACTTCCGTAGAGGCCCTGGCATGATATCTAGCACTGCTTGACGATGCGGTGTCGGTTGAACTCCGATCAGAGATGGGAACAATGCGAAGACGCGCGTTGAAACTGATTTCGTACCGCAAACAACTCTTGCTGATCGGGCTTTTGCAACTTCTTGTATGATCCAGATCCTGTCGAACCAATCTCGATTAAGTAGGGCATCGTAATCGGTACGCTGCATAACCTTGTTCAAACTATATTCCTTCTGCAGCTGGGTCTCTACGGTCGACCAGATGATTTGCCAGCGTTCGTCAGATGGTTCCCAATAATTACAAGAATATTTGAGTGCCTCTTTCTCGAATTCTCGCATGTAGGAGAATGCACGATCTGTTTTGTGAGTAGCTGTACCTAGCCAGAAGATGACTTGTCGCGCTCGTTCGTAGATCGAAGCCATTTGTCGGACTTGATGACCTCGCTCTTTGGGATTTTCTTGATCGATACACAGCGCATCGATCCATAGAACCCGATCCTCCTCATCGTTGCGCAGATGTTCCAGAGCTTGAAATAAGTTGCTCGTGATACACATCACTTGATTGTTCATGCTGATGCTGCATGGCTTGTCCATGCCGCCCCACGTATATGAGAGTGCCTCGTACTCCATATCGTCTTCGCGATCCCCAACATACGCGTGGAACAGCTCACATTGTATGGGATCCCCTGTTTGTCCCTTGCCAAGTCGAACGAGACGGAAAGTACGGTTTTCCAGGTCCAGTGGGTCGTATGCAAAGTCATTCGTCATGACTAGGAGGTGCGGCGAACCTACTGTGGGATTCCGGTGGTTCTTCGTTGAATGTTGGGAAGTACTTAGGGCCTAGAGGCTGAGAAGAATGACTCTCGTACGTAGTCGAGAGGTGGCGCCCAAGTATAACTCAGCATTTCCGCTACAACTTTCGCAAAGAAGGCCCTAGCGCTGTCTGCAAGGTTCACACCCAAGGGGCTGAGACCGAGTCCTGGTAGGGGTATGCTGCACTGCTTTTTGTTTGGCCTAATAGCCGCTGTGTGTCTGCTGGGCTCGACAGAAAAGCTCGTTTAGCTGGGCGCCCGGTAAGCCTTGACGGTCTTTTAACGACGTTCCAGTGAAGCTCATCCGATTAGCAGCTTCTGATCGTCGAGAGCGCAATCAAGCTCATGGTGATATTCCGGATGTCTGCTTCTCATACGTAAGCTTTGAAGTTCCCAGTGCTGCAAGCTGTGGCTGACTCGATAAGAGGACACACCGTCGATAAGGGTGATTAAGCGCGAAGTGCGCAACAAGAAGCTCCACTACAAAGGTACGCCCGTACACATCTCTTTGGCTGGCAGAATTGACGTCTGGTAATAGAGCCTTGGAAAGGCTCTATTGTATTTCATGAGCCTGAATACAGGATCTTGACTGTGTAAAGCGCGAGCGTGGGCTGTTGGTGACCTGGCTTAATTCCGGCCTGAGAAAGCGACAGCCTTGTCGATGGTAGCCTTTCGACGTAGAATAATGGAAAGACTATGACGAGGAACCTTCCAGTCAAGTCAAGCCACGGACATTTAATCTTAGATCAAATACCTCTGGTGGCGCAGCTACTATGCCAAGGAGACGACCAAAGGATTGCACTGGTCAACGTCTGGTGACTACGTACAATCAAAGGCGGGTGCATCGCACAAAGCTCGCAATGTGGAAGGTGGCTATGGTTGTCAGCCTTATTCTGCGGGGTACAAGTCTAACCAACCAACACTGCACAAGACGCAATGTGCCTCGTTCTTTCTTCCTGAGGCTCATGACACGGCGTTCTCGGCTCTGCATTTAATTAGCATGTTCAGGTCATGCATTGCCCTCAGGATTGCAGGCAGTGATATCATAGACAACCAGCTGCACCGGGCCCGCGCTGTGACGAGGCTGAGTGCAGGTTATCAACAAAGTAAATGCACAACCCACCCTACGTGAACTTATTGCAACGGGCTGGCTCTATGTCTGTTTAGGCGCCTTAACCAAATGTAAGCAACTCAAACAAACAATTTAAAGTATCAGATTATTTCGCCAAATGGGGTACGATGACTTGCGTGGTGATCAGTGCAAGTAAGAGCCGCACAATTGAGACGTCTGGACTTCGTGTTTGGTATTCTCCTGTCAACCTTCATACTTGTCGAAGTCGTTGGATATGTCCACCTCATGCGTGCTGGATGTTACTTCTGTCCCTCGTGTTATGGCAACAGCCACCCTCGCACAATACTCTCCGTTTCGTGAAAGATCGAAGCTGCTCTTAGAACTGCCCTCTGCTCTTCCACGCGGGTGTGCGGGTACCTTGGCTCTTTTGCCAGCCTTCGCCGCGGCCTCTGCTCAGGCTTGACTTAACCACCTTTGCGCGGTGTGGCTGTGGCCTTCTTCTGGTAGTAACGCTCGATGATCTTCTTCACCTGTACTACGCTCTGCTCCTTGCCAGCCGGCGCCCTAATGCTGTCCAATGTGTACGGAGGTTGGACAAGAACTGCATCGTTAACGACAATCTGATTGTCTGCCCATCTTGTTGGGAGTCTGTATCCTAGTCAGCCAAACGCACGTCGTCCATAGATTCTGTGGGAACGTACGTCCTGGCGAGTGTATCGAATATCTCCTGCGCCTCTCTGCTGACGCCCTTGCCCTTTTGTGCATCCTTCTTCTTCATCTCACGGATCGTTTGCTCCTCTCTTGCCATCAGCGCTGCCATGTCGACCTTCGCGATGCTTGGGATTGCGCCATCGAACCCTGCGTTTGGCTCTGGTGCTCGTTCACCGAGCCCAATGATCTCGAAGGACAGTATGTGTGCGAAGGGGATGATGTGGTAGTCGCCGGGTTGCGAGAAGAGCGAAGCGGAGGGGTTTGGCGGAGCAGGAGCGGTGTTGATAGCGATTGCGTTTGTGGTGTTACAGGCCGTGAAGAGAGTGCCTTCGAGGACGTTATTGTTAGGCGCGCATGTAATCTTGATACTGTGCAGTATTAGCCTTGCTGTGCCAAATTGCTTACAGCCCTGAGGCTGTATAGCTTAAGCAAGGGGACATGCCGTGACCCAACGGCCTTGTATAAGTTCGAATCCGCATCACCAACATCCTTACTGGCACCCCCACCAGCCTTCAGGTTGGGAGTAGCAACCTTTCCCACCATGCTCTGGCGCTTAGTGTCTGCCATGGTCGTTGCTGAGGCTCGAGCAGCCTTCCCTGTTCTCTTGCGACTGCTATGCGCCTAGACGTTATCTCCTAGCCCCACCGTGTGTTCCGGACAGTCGACCTCGGAGCAGCTTGTCCAGTGCACAGACAAACCGAGCGCCAAGAAAGCGAGCAATGCGCAAAAGGAAACGCAAAGGAGCGACAAGAAGAAGACGGCAATAACGTGCACGCGAGCAAACACAAAGGTGAGGTGCAAGCGGGGGCCTGCAGCGCGTGCAGGTGTATGTGTTTCTGGTGCGCTTTGGCGGCCGTTACCGCCAAGACCCTACAGCCAGCGATCCGCGTTGGCCAAATGATATCACGTTCTCTGTCGCAAATAACAACTGTCTCTTTTTAGTCAAGGCCACTGGTGAGGCATGAGATAGTAGATTCAAAGTACGCAAATCAATTTCATTCTGGATTCGAACTGTCATTTACATCGTATCCATCATTTTTCATGCCCAAATTTCAAGCAGCGCCGTGCTTCCCTCTATCAATCCTGGTATAGTCATCAAATTAAGCGTTGTAGGTGGAGGCAGAAACGTTGCCACCCCTTCCTGTCCAGTTGACGTGGATGTCCTGGCCCTCCTTGTACTGCTCGTTGGCGTATTCGGGCTTGATGCGGAAGGTGTGGGCACCGAAATAGTCACGCTGGGCCTGCAACAGGTTGGCGGGCAGGTCCTTGGCGCGGTAACCGTCGTAGAAGCTGAGCGCGGTGCTGAAAGCGGGTGTGGGGATACCCCAGAGAGCGCCCTTGGAGACAACGTCTCTCCAGCCGGCCTGAGCCTTGTGGATAGCCTTGTTGAAGAAGTCATCGAAGAGCAGGTTCTCGAGGTCGGGGTTGGCACGGTAGGCCTTGGTGATGTCCTTCAAGAAAACGGAGCGGATGATGCATCCACCGCGCCACATGAGGGCAATCTCAGGCTTGTTGAGCTTCCAGTTGTACTCCTTGGCGGCGTTCTGGATCAGCATGAAACCCTGAGCATACGAGATGATCTTGGAGGCGTAGAGAGCCTGCTCAAGGTTGTCGATGAAAGCCTGCTTGTCGCCAGAGAAGCTAGGGCTGGGTCCGTCGAGGAGACCAGCAGCACGGCCACGCTCAGCCTTAAGCGAGGACAGGCAGCGGGCGAAGACGGCCTCTCCGATAAGAGTAACGGGCATACCGAGATCAAGAGCGTTGATAGCGGTCCACTTGCCGGTACCCTTCTGTCCAGCAGAGTCCATGATCTTCTCGACGATGGCAACACCGTCCTCGTCGTTCTTGTACATGATGTCGCGGGTGATTTCAATGAGGAAAGAGTCGAGGACACCGGTGTTCCACTTGGCGAAGACGTCACCAATCTCCTTGTTGCTGAGACCAAGACCGCGCTTCATGATGTCGTAGGCCTCGCAGATCAACTGCATGTCACCGTACTCAATACCGTTGTGGACCATCTTGACGTAGTGACCAGCACCCTCATCACCGACCCACTGGCAGCAGGCCTCGCCATCAGACTTGGCGGAGATGGACTGGAGGACATCCTGTTGTACTGTCAGATACGCTCTACGCAGATTTTACGATTGTCTTACCTTGATGTATGGCCAGGCCTCCTCGTTACCACCAGGCATGATGGAGGGACCGTAGCGGGCACCCTCCTCACCACCAGAGACACCGGTACCGACGAAGCGGATACCCTTCTGTGCGAGGTACTTGGTACGGCGGTTTGTGTCGGGGTAGTGGGAGTTACCACCGTCGATGATGATGTCGCCCTCCTCAATGCCACCCTCGTTCAGGAGGAGCTCAATGAAGTCATCAACGGGCTTTCCAGCCATGACGAGCATCATCATGCGGCGGGGCTTCTTGAGCTTGGCGCAGAACTCCTTGATAGAGTGAGCACCAACGATAGACTTGCCCTTAGCCTCTGTTCGACGTCAGTTCTGAGCTCTGATTCAACTGCGCGTCAGCCTTACCATCGTTCAAGAAACGGTCAACCTTAGCAACACTGCAGTTGTGTCAATTCGCGCTCATAAACAGTGTCAGGGAGCTGCATACGTTCGGTTGAAGGCAACAACGGTGAAACCGTGGTCAGCACTGCTTGTCGTTAGCTATGCTCGCAGATGGTTGAGCTATGTAGTGCTTACGCGTTGAGGATCAGGTTCTGACCCATGACCTGGATATCGAATGTGAGCAGCTAATTCTCCGTGCATTGCTTGTAGCATTGGAGAGCACCTACGGCCAAACCGATCAAACCAAAGTCACCGACGGCCTCAGACATGTTTGCGATCTGGGTGTTGTGGAAGTGGGTTGTTGAGTGAGGGGTGTCTGAAGACTATAGCGGGGTAGAGCTGCAACGACCTGGCGCGCAGCAATTCAGAGCAATTGAAGGTTGATGGAGGACAAGTGGTGAGAGGTGGTGGGGGTTGTTTGAATAAGTAGATTCTGCGTCTCCGAGCCGGAAGCAAGTGGAACTGGGTGTGGTAGCGGCACTGGCGGCGTGGGGCAGAGGTGATGTCAACTGGGCGATGTGCTGAAAGAATCTTTCTAATCTCAGCAACGGAGAATGGCTTCGGCCGCGGCCATTGCGCCGATACTCCAACACAAGCACTGTATCAGGGTTTAATTTTACCGTCTACAGCTTGTGAAGCTATTCCTCCGGCGGCCACCCGCGGAAAAAGCTCCAAGAATACTCTGATACAGTTGCTGCGACAGCCCCTCCATTTCAGCCCTAACAACAGCCAACGGAAAGAGGGGCACCAGCGAACAGGGATTGTTGAGCAGCCGCTAAGTCCGCCGAAGGCTGGCCGTTTGTAGAGACGGTTGCAGCAATGATTGTTAGACGTCACGGCGCTCGTGTGTAATCCGGTCAACAATCCATGCGCTGTTGTTGTTTGCTCGTGCTCGAGCTTGCTGCTTGGTGCTGCTTGTAAGGAAGGTGCGGCCGTCGGTGGACGTCACGTGGACGACACGATCTTGAGCTCAACAAGTCGCCCAAATCAGTGCAATTCAATGCAACCGGTGATAATTACTCATTGCTATTGCACCCGGTCCGCCATCCCACTCTGCTTCGCTCAAAAGCCGACCGGACCTGGACCGGGCGTTGCACCGTGGTGGCCGCGCTTTGACGGACGCGTTAGGAAAGACTCGTTGCCGTCGCCTGCGTAGTCAGCATCTGCAACTCAGCCTCATTTGAAGTCTGCGCAACAAGTGCGGCATTAACCACCACAAAGGGATCCACCAACAGCACATTCACCAGCCTTCATCCACCCCACGGCCCGAGCGCCTGGCTCCCCACCCACAACTGCTGAGCAAACAGCCGCCGCACGTCACCAACCTCTAAGCTTTGACTTGCGCGTGACAGACTCACTTGAAATCTTCGCCGCATCCAGACTGCACGCCTTCCCGGCCGACAATCAACATACACCCCCTCCACTGAGTCGTGTAACCTGTAGTATTATCCCAATCAGACCACCGGCTGCTGCGACACGCCCTTCACACATTCACGATGGCAAACAACCCTAACTTGCAACCGCACCACTCGCTCCCAGCACGACCGCCGCCCACGACATACTCTGCGCCGCCTTCACGACCAAGCAATGCTGGCGCAAGGCCGCAGGCAAACTCCACGATGTTTGCTGGTTTCACACCGCGCTCAGTGGTAGCGCACCCTCCGCCGCAGGTGTCTGCTGCACCGGCTATGTACCCACAAGCCACTGTGAGCGCTCCCTACCAAGCTTCCGCGTACCCGACCAGCAATACTTACAACAGCTACTCATATCCAGCCTATGCTGCAGGTGCCCCAGCCGCGTCATACCCGTCTGCCGCCGCTACGATGAACCGCGGTGCTGGTGGCACATACGACCCTGAAGAAGAGGCACGCATAGCTGAGTGGAACAGCGCATACCACAGAGACGACGCAAACATCAAGAAGAGCGGAAACGCGAATGTTGGTACCGCCCAAGCTTCAGCAACAGATGCCGACGCTGGAACCACTGCAGACGGCAAGAAGAAGACGGTCATTCGAGAAGGTGGCGGCAAGCACTGGGAGGATGAGACTTTGCTCGAGTGGAATCCACTGCACCCACGACTGTTTATTGGTAACTTGGCTGGCGAAGTCACAGATGATTCACTCTTAAAGGCATTTTCGAAATACCCCTCCTTGTCGAAAGCCCGCGTCGTGCGCGACAAGCGCTCAACGAAGAGCAAAAGTTATGGCTTCGTGAGCTTCGCCGATACCGATGACTACTTCCGCGCAGCCAAGGAGATGAACGGCAAGTACATCGGTAGCCACCCTGTGTTGATCAAGCGAGCGACGTCGGAAGTCAAGGCTGTAACGAAGAAGGATGACAAGCATGGAAAATACGGGCAGAACAACAAGAACAACAAGAACAAGAACAGCGGCGGGAACAAGACGAGCACGGTCACTGCTGCGCCTGCGATGACAGCCACGCTGCCGTTCATCCCGCGAGGAGTACAGAAGAAGGGCAAGCAGAGCGGCCCAAGGGTCCTTGGCTGAGCAGAAGGCATATTTCGGAGAAGGCCCTACGAAATGCTACCTTGAATGGCACTGAAGACACGACCGAACCACTTCCTTGGTTGAGCTCGCCGAGGACGAAAGGAAGGACGAAATGGTTCAAGTCAGGAGGTCGGCCCGTGCTTTCAGCAACGAGCCGCGACGTCTTTTCTAGCTTGGAGATGTGCCAGAGGTACTTGCGTACACGTCAGCCGGTGTGTGATGGAGTCAAATAAGGTTCGAAATACCCTAATGCAATCACAATTTATACCATAATTACTCATATTCCTTTCCTCTGTCACGTCCACCTTCATGTCTTACATTTGAGCTCACGATTGTCATCTAAAAGCAGAGGAAGAAGCGCGCTTTCATGGGTCGAGAGACGCTGTCTGAAGTCCACAAATGAACAGCCAGAGCTGCCTGATGAGGCTGTAGTTGAGCCCTGCAGCGCCTCCATAACTTCATTCGCGGGCCTGGAGCCTTGCGGGTGTTCTTAGTAACACCCTTTCGAATTTCCGTTATTGCGAGTGCAATAGCTGGTGCGCGAACGACGGTTAATGGACCTTTTATCGATCACTGCGACCATAGTGCGTACCCATCACAGTCGTTGCAGCTCAGGGCAAGTGCGGTAACACTAACCGCTACATAGCTTCGAATACGACGGCCTGCGTCAGCGCCACAAAGACTTCCAATGACATTCGCAACGCGTGGAAGCTCGCACCTTCCACCGTGTCGTCGCTATGCTCACAGCTCAAGCTTATGAGTGCTTCGCTTTCGCAAATCCAACACCTCTTGCTAGAAGATACGGACGTGCTACAAAACAGACCCGATATCCTCGAGGCGTTCGACATGGCATTGACAGCGTGCTTGGTATTGTCGACATGGCTCGATGAATATATGCAGACTATCACCAAAGGAGTCCTTGACATAAATAAGGGCTCCTGGAAGATGAAATTTCAGACGCTGTGGAGTGAGCACGAGGTCGAAGAGCTGTCGCATCAGCTTCAAGTTCAACAAGGAGCAATCAGTGTAGTTGTTGGTCTGTTGCAAATGTGGGTCCCGATTCCTGAAGCAAACAAGACATCAAGCGGTTACATTGACACCTTCGTTAGGCGCTTAACGTCCGAGATTCAGCGGAAACTGCGCAAACACGAGACTTTGCTTCGGAACATTGCTCCTGATACTCAACATCTTCGCCGAGCGCATGTCATTGAATCCTCAGAATCTGTTCTGTGCACCGACGAAGCCAATGCAAGTGTGTTCAGCAAGCTCTTTGAGGCCAAGAACACCAAGGACAGGACTGCTCCAAGACTATTTGAGGCAGTCATTTTGAAATCCAGAGTCTACTCGAACGCTATGAATAAGGTACTCCGTCAATGAGAGCGGAAATGCCGGAAACCCCGGAATAATCTCATCCACTCGCTCATTCCACTGCCATCTCACACCCCACCAAACCTTCACTCTGCCTTTCTACCCGCCCTCTCCCTAATCCTCTCATCTTTCTCCCACTTCTCCACATATGTCTTCAAAGACCCCAACCACGCACGATCCCTCTTCCCCCGGCACTACGCACCCACAATCTCAGGTAAGATCCAGCATACGCCATCCTTTTCGGAGCCAATACAACTCGTCTGCGCCTTGAAGACAAGGATTGTGCTGGCCAGAATAGCATCGAAAACCTCTCGAAACATGCGATTACGTTGTGATGCACTCTCTACGCTAGCAGCACCCTAACCAGCTCTCTAGTCTTGGATTCTCGTAGCGATGTATACTTATACATACCTCTACAGTAGCTGCGTTGTAAAAGACTGGAATGGCCTAGCATGACAGTTCGAATTGCTTTCGTCAGCTCCACAATGAAACTCTAGTCTTCCCTCGAACGCCAGGACATCCAAGCAGTGTATACCATTATCTGATACCTAGATGTAAGGCACAAGGACACTATTATTGACCATTCATTCCTTTCCATCGAACAACGTATCAACGGACTTCTCACAGTGTACCATCTCCGAATTTGTCAATCGGGCTCTGACAGCCCTCCATGCTCAAGTCCGTAGTCAAAATAACGCCACAGCCCCCATCCCAAGGGTATCGTCCCAACCCACCCAAACGCCTCGTAGAAACAAAATGCTAAACACCTCCCATGCAATACCACAAAAGTGGTCCCAAGACCGAGACGCCCAAAACAACCTCAACCCCCTCGCAGCGCCTGCGGCAGCTACAGGTCCCCTAAGTTCAGCACATCGTCCAACGCGCCATCCAGCTCGCCAACATCCCCCACACTCCCTCCATTCCAGTTCGCCATCTCATCATCCCCGTCGACCTGCATCTTCTCCCATTCCCCATCGGATTTGAATTCCACCGTGATGCCCTCATCAAGCCACTTCGCCAAACCGCTCTTGTCCTGCCCAATACCGTTGATAATCCCGTTCGTTCTCTCCGTCTTCTTCTTCTGTGGGGAAGGGTAGATGTCCTCTATCCCTGGCACATCGAGGAATGTCGAGTTCGTGATGTTGCCAGCAATGATGGGTGTTTGCCCAAGATATCCATCACCGAGTTGTAGCGCCAAACGCAGGTCCTCCATGCATAGCAGTTTCCGTTTTCGTCGTTCTTCCTGCTCAACAGGCAACTCCCCCTTCGCATCCCGCACCATCTCGCCCCTTTCCGCCGCCCGTTCCTCCCGCTCAACTCTCTTCTTAAACGCACCCGTCCGCACGTACCCGTTCCCATTCACGGCGACCTTGCCGAGGAAGGAAGCTAGCGCTTCTTTGATGTAGGTCTCGGTCGCGAGGTTCATGAGGTCGGGACAGTCGGGCGTGTGGCCTTGGGGGAGACCGAATTCGTAGCAGCTGGGCAGCAGGCGGGCGGAGATGGAGGAGGATGTGGGGAACTCGTGGGTTTCGCTGAAGAGGGGGGCGGTGTAGCGTTTGCGGATCTCGAGATCCCAGTCTGGTCATACACGTAAGCAAGGTGTACTTCTGCAAAGCGAAACAGGATGTTGGATACGCTGGTGGCAGGAGATGCATATACGTACTGGTTTTGTAGCCGCCGGCTGTTCCAACAGGACCAATCTCAGGCTGTTTTCCCCTCTTCATCTCAACTAACTCGTTCACCGGGCCCATTGCGCCTGTCCCCGCGCCTAACCCGTCCTGTCCGTCTACGACCGCAGCCTCGGCAGCAGGTATAGTCTTCAACCTCTTCCTCTCGCGTCTCGACAGTTGCATGACTTCATACTTCAGTCTCTTCTCACTCTCATCCCCTTGCCCTTTGACTGTGCTACTGGAGGGCTTATCCGTGCTCGACACCCAACTCGCAATCCCTGCCTCGGGCGCATCGCGCCATATATTTGCGTAGATGGCTGCGACTAATGTGTTGTGTGCGTGTTCTAGAACGGCAGTGTTGAGGATCTTGCCCAGCTTGAAGCTCAACTCTTCCTGATTGAGGTTGCCCAGGAGGAATTGTGTGAGGCTGGTCTTGTATGTAGTCCAGTCTACATCGCTGGTTGCGCCTTTTACGGCCGAGTACAGCGGTTCGACGTCGATGCGCGGTGTGCGTGGGGCGGTGGGCTTCTTCAGTGCGAGCGGAGGGTCGAGGTCGGGGATGCTGGAGAAGGGGAGGGTGCCGGCGTTGGCCATGTTCGTGTCATTGGGCTGTATTGTCGCCATGTTGGCGGTTGGTGGGGGGATTGGGTGCGCGCAATGGCTGGATGTGTCGTCGTGGTTGTCGCGCTCAAGGACGTGTTGGCGGGCCGAAAGCGCGTGATGCTTGCGGAGAGCTGGCGGAGAGCTGGCGGCCGCGGTAGAGAGCGCGAGCGTGCTCAGGGGCTGTTGAGGGCGCTGCACAAGCGTTTGGGCACTCCAGATGGATCGCGGAGGTTAGCTGATTGGAAATATGATGAAGATCAGGCGTATCGATGGTTGTGTGGGCGTGCGCTGATGGAATCGATGTAGTAGGCGTAGGGAGGTTGCGGAGTTCACCGCCAAGCTATGGGGTACTGAACACCATCCACGGAGGTGTGGTGCGGTGTTTGACGATAGTGTTTGACGATAGTGCTTGACGATAGTGCTTGACGATAGTCATACATGGCATCAATGGCAAAATGAGCATGTTCATGGGCACACACGAGGACAACGTTGACGGAGCTCTCAGCTTGGCGGATCTGTATATAACGCTATGCTTTCATTTCAAATATGCTCAAACTACATGAATCTTTCAATATGCAGTACATGCTGCTTTTCTAACTCCTCCTTCACACCATCACATCTACGAGCTATCCCCAAACACATCTCCCAACTCCACTTTCCCCACACTCCAAATCTCCCTCTCGTCCTCCACCTCATCACTGCTCAATCCCAACCCACCACTTCCACCCTCGGCCTCTCTCTTCTCCCTCGCCTGATTCGCCAACCTCAGCGCAATCCTCTTGAAGTACTCACTCATACTCCTCTGCTGCGCAGGCGGCAAGCTCTTGCCCTTGTCCGCCATGTACTTGTCGAACACAGCGCCCTCCTCTTCGACGACAGAGAAGATAGTCAGGAACGCTGCTTCGGCGGAGAGCTTGACAGGAATGACGGGGTCGCGGACGGAGGCGAAGACGACGGGGATGAGGAGTGGGATGTGTGGGCGCACAAGCTCGTTGTGCTCGCGGGCGACAGTGCGCAGGACGACGAGAGCCAGGCGCCTGGTGTCGACGGGGTGGCCGGGCTCGACGGCGGGAGCGAGGGCTTCGAAGATGGGCTTGGTGTGCTCGAAGGTCTTGGTTGTCTTTTCGCTCAGGAGGTATTTGCCAGCTGCGAGGATGGAGTTGTCTGAGATGACGGGCTGGCTGTGGGCGATACCCTGGCAGATGACGTGCAGGGTTTCGTCGGCGAAGTTTTCTGTGAGCGCTTCTGGGGCATCCAGCAGGATGGCGTTCAGAGCGAGCAATGATGCTTTGGTGAAGTGAGTTGTCAGCACGCGCGTCTTGATCAGACTGGCAGCGCTCTCTTCTGGCAAGCAGCTGATAAGAGCGCCCAAGAGGCGGGCGTTGGTGATTGCCATGGAATCTGGGAAAGTTTTAGTCGTACGTCTAAAAATATGGTGGAGACGTCACTTACCATCCGAGTCGTCGAGATCGTTGTCGATAAGACCCAAAATGGCGTTCCTGCTGGCGTCGCTCATGTTCTTGCCAGCCTTGCTGACCACCTCGAACAGTGCCTTCAACATGGCCAGCTTAACAGCCTCATCGTTAGTCTTAGATCCAGTTACAAGCTCGGCAATAAGCGGGTCGACCCTGGGAGTCAGCTTAATCAGTGTACCTAGAGCCTTGGCTGCACGCGCTCGCAGAAGATCCGAAGATGTATCGGCGAGCGATTTCGCGAATGTGCGCTGCAGCTGAGGCAAGAACGGCTTGAGGAAGGTCGGAATCTTCTCAAGCAGGTTGTTGAGAGTAAGCAGGATAGCTGCCTTGACTTCTGTCGAGCGCTCTGTGACCACACGAATAAGGGGACCAGTAATCTGCGTGACGAACGGCTGGAGTGCCTTAGCATCGGTGCGGTCGATGATGTCTGAGATGGCCAAAGCTGCTTGTGTTCGCTGGTCCACCGAACCATTCATGAGACCCTGCAGGAAGATGGGGAGGATGGCGCTGATACCCTTTGGCAGAGAGAAACCGGGCAGGTTCGCGCCGGCAACACCGACCTGGGAAAGGGTTTGGCGAGTAGAGACGACAAGAGATTCCATCTCCTCCTTGCGCAAGCGTTTCGAGGTGAGCGTACTAAGTGCTGTCCATGCAGACTTGACGACTTCCTTATCACTGTCGTCGAATGAGATAAGCAGAGCTCGAATAAGGTCAGGGTAGTATCTAGAGAAGTCGACGTCGGTCTCGGCGAAGAACTTAACGAGGTGCATGTCTGCACGAGCACGCCTGCGTTCATCGTTGTGCTTGGACAAGGCCAGCATTACGCTCATAGCAGTGTTGAGACCATCGTACTCATCGACCGACAGTAGTACCTTGTCGAACGACGACTCCAAATCGTGTCTAAGACCCTCATCCTTGCATGTAATGACGTTGTCCATGATCGTGTTGAGGATGTTCGGTAACCTCCTGGTCATGGCCGAGCTTGCAACTTCAGCCAACGAGGCAATGGCGCGAGCGTTGAAGGCAGACATCGGCGACGTAAGGAGGGTAGGTAGGAGGTTGGGCAAGATGATGTTGGATCTTGCCTGATCTGTGAGGAGGGTGAGGAGGGCAGACAGCGCGTTCTGTGCATCGTCTTCGCTGCGGAGCAGGTTGAGCAAGTAAGGCAGAACCTGGTCGACAGCCTTCTTGCCGAATATCTGTTGGAGGGCATCAAAGGCTTCGGCGGCGGCGTCTCGTACGTCTTCATCCGAGTCCACCAATGCAGTCCTTACCACCTGGATCAGAGTCTTCTCGTAGTCTTCCAACTGCTCTGGTGTTGCAGAGGAGATAAGCTCACGAAGTGCTATGCAAATACCTTGCTTGGCATCTGTATCGGTAGAGTGTAGGCCTTCCTCGAGAGTGGGGAGTAAAGTTGCCAGCACGCCATCGCCAGACTTGCGCATGAGCTCTCCAAGAGCGTTTCCAGCAATCACCTTCTGCTCCATGTTGGAGCTGGCCAGACGGCGAATAATGAACTGAGTGAGTACGGGAATGAGCTCGCGAAGGGTACGTGGAGAGGCCACCAATGCCTTCCAGACGTTGATGGATGCGGTGCGGACAAGGCCGGATGTATCGCAGCGACAGATGTACAGTGCTGACAGAACCTTGTTGCGCTTCTCCTCTCCAAGAACCTCGAGCAGAGACTGTCCAGCCTCTTTGGCGCCTTCTTCGACATCCTCGCCCTCCTTTCCGCTGATACCAGTGAGGTTGAACAGCAAATCTCCGACCAGCTCGACGGAGCTGAGACGGATGCGGTGGCTGTCGTCTGCGAGACCTCTCTCCAATTCGGGCAGGAGCAGATCGATAGCCTTGGTGGCGAAGTTCTTGACCAGGAGACGACCAGCACGCAGAGCAGTCTCGCGGATGGACTCGACATCGTCCGCCAGTCCACCGAGGATAGGAGGAATGATCTTGCTGAGGTAGTTGGCGAAGCTGTTGCCGAAGCAAGCTGGCAGGTAAATAAAGAGCGACATGAAGCCTTCTCGTACAGATGGCTTGTTGCTCGAGACGTTCTGCAGGATACTGGGCAGAGTCTCCTCCAGACGTCCGGTACCGAGACCAGCAAGGACCTCGGACAGAGCCTGTGCTGAACCCAGACGGTCGCCAGCACCAGTATCTGACTTGAGGGTGGCCATGAGGCTGGGAATAAGGTCCGGTAGCGCATCCTCTCCAAGCTTCTCCATGAGGGAACCGAGGGCCTTCGAGGCTGTGGCACGCGTAGTAGGCACCGGGTCGACGATCGCTACACGCAGACCGGCGACAAGGATTGGCAAGTGGGCAATGAGGTCCTTTCGCTCCGTAAGGTATGCCAGACTGCCGATGATCTGCGCAGACTTGCGCTTTGTGGCAGATCGATCGCCGAGACCACGCTCGAGAATGCGGACGACAAGCGCGAGCGATGGAGCGTCGAGGAAGTGGGCAAACTGGATCTTAATGAGAGAATCAAGAGCATCGTCAGTGTGCTTAGTCGGGTCACTGAGCGCTTTGAGGAGGATGTCAACCACACTCTTGATCTCTGGGTTGCTGATGACTTCTCCAAAGCGCTTCAAGCTGCGGTTGGCTGAGGACCTGACTTCTTTGTGAGAGTCAGTCAGCACAGTCGTCAGTGGAGGGATGATGTCTGGCAGACTCAGAGCGAGCTGGTTAGGGTCAAGGTAGGCCATGGCACCCAAAGAGTCGCAAGCACCCTTCTTGCTACGCCATTGTTGCTCATCGAGACCGTCCAGAAGGATGGGCAGGATTTGCTTGACACCATACGAGCTGAGGGTGGAAAAGCACGTCTTTGCCGCGTCTAAGCAAGCATCACGAACATCTGCGCTGGTGTCGCCGAACCCAACAAGTAACTGTGGGACAAGCTGAATGACGTACGGCTCGAACAAACGTCCAAGAATGAGCGAAATAAGCTCATAAGCCAAGAAAGCACCTTGACGGGCGTTGGGGTCCTTCTTGTTCTCAACTGCACCATTGAGAGTGGACAAGATGCGGTACTCTCTGAGTACACCGAGACCCTTGCCACGGACGATACCAGCGAGACCGTAGGCAGCACCACGACGCGCGGGGTACTTCTTGGACAGGAGGAGCTGCTCCATCACCTGGTCGACGTACGCAGATGTCTCCTGCTCGGAGGTACGAACCAGTGGTGGCAGGCACTGCGCAACAGCGTATTGTACACTCTCGGATGGTACATGGAGGGCTGCAAGTAGTCGTTGTACAACCTTGGGTACGCGCTTGTCTCCTGCCTCCAAATGACGACCTAGTGCACCATAGAGGATGATGACGGCCTCGTTCACTTGGTCGTACTCGGCTGATTTCCGGTCAGGGCTCTCCAGCGCATTTTCGAACAGCTCCATCAACTGTTCGACCTTCGACTTGGCCTTGCTGGTGATGATGGATGTTGCGGCCTCAATCATCTGGTCGCGGACAGCAGCACTTCGATCACCTAGGGGCCCATTGTAGACTATGAATGTGAGGAAGTCTGATAGACTATGAGGCTTGAAGCCGGATGTCATCTCCTTGTAAGCCAGTGCGATACCGTCTCTGGCTTCCCATGGATCGCGGGTATCATTCTTACGCGGCATGCCGTACTCGTCGCGCTCCGGAAGTCGTTCCTTAGCCTTCTCGACGTATGACTCCTGGAGTTTTTGTAGCAAGTCATCAAAAACTTCTGGGAATTGCGCGACAGTCTCGCCGATGGAACGAGCAGCTGCCCGTCGAAGCTGCTTGTCGAGAGACTCCAGATAAGGCAGCATCTTTACACCAGCATCAGCACTGAGCTCAAGCTCATTCTCACTCCAAATGGTCTTTGCAAGTTCGACATTCTCCTCATCATCGTCATGAGATGCGATGAAGATCTCTTCACTGAACTTCAGATCGTTCATGTCAAGCTCTGCATCGATGGCCTGCAGTGTTGCTGTACGCACAGAAGTCTCAGGCACGATTGTCCCTCGAAGCAATGCACCCAGCTCCTCGTTAGTGATGTTAGGAGCCAGACCTCGAGCAAAGTCTGTCAGACAGTCTTTGATCATTTTGTAGTGCTGCTGGTAAGTTTGCATTGACCATACGAGAATTTCGAGTATGGCTTTGCGTGGTAATCGGGTGTCCGTACCTATAATATGTTAGCGAAGTAAGTTTGTGAGAAGTGCTCGACGTACAGGAATTGGCGTGGAAGGATAAGAACTCGAATGCTAGAATCAGCTGTTCGTCGGCCTCTTCTGGTGATTCCTTGCCGATGCCGCCCTTCTCAAGTACAAGGAAGATGAGTGGCAAGCAGTACGCAACGGACACGGAGTCGAGAGGACGTTGTTCGCTGAGGAAACGAAGTCGATACAATACTCTTGTGACGAGATCTACGTTCGTCAGCAGGAGGATCAGTGAAATATGTGATTGACGTACCGCCGAGCGGCTCTCCCTCATACTCATCGGAGAGCTGTATTGAACCAATGGTTCGCAATGTCGCGACACCGACGAATGGCCTTATGGGACCGAGACGGGTTGAGACGCGCTGTGAGCATGCGATGAAAGTCGTAGCCGGTCGGTCGCCAAGTAGAAGACCAGCACCAGCGCGGATAGAGTGGATGAGAAGATCGACAGCAGGTCCCATCCACTGCTCTGCCTCCGTAGGTGGCCCAGTGGCAAGACTTTGAATAATGCCCACACCACGTCTCATCTTCAGTTCTGTCGAAGCCACGTCTGTCCTGATGACTGACTCTTTGGCTAGCTGAGCATTGACCTTCGCCTGTTCTTCAGAGGTAAGCTTTTTGGGTTTGGCACCCTGTTTCTGAGCGAGCTGCGCCCGTAGTTCTTCCTCCCACTTCAGGGTGTCGTAATCCTTGGTGTTCTTATCGATTGTGACGGGCGCCTTCTTGGACAACACGTCGATGTATGTTGTTCCTTCAGGTGTCCTGAAAATGGCTGCTTCCTGGGGACCGACTGACTCGAGCTGCTTGGGATCGAGATCCTGACTGAACTGCTTCACTATGACCGGCAAAGCTGTCTCAGGTGCGACAAAGGCCAGATCAGTATAGGCACTGTACGCTGCTAAGCTTATCCCTGGGAACTGTTCGTTGTCCTTGTTCTGCGACTATGTCAGCAACACCTTGAGTAGGAACGGCAATGAACGCACCTCAGTAGCCTCATTGATCAAAGTCATGCATTCTTGCAGGGTTTCTTGTACAAGCTGGCCAGGATCAACGCCCATGCGAAGGCACGTATCAATCCAGGCTGTTCTTGGAATGAGTTCGCCCCTTGCCAGCACTAGCAGACTGATGGCTTGCTTGCGCAACTGATCTTGAGTGACGCTTCCCTCGAGCTTTTTCACAACATCAGGTGGCAGGCAGATGCAACCCAAGACCGCGCCAAGTTCAGTAGAACCAGACTTGGATGCGAACGCTGCGCTTTCCTTATCTTCTTGTACGCTTGACCTGTACCAGGACCAAACCCCTTGGATGATGATCTCACTGATCTTCTCTGTTGAAACTTCGAGGTACTCTTGTGCCAGAGCTAGCCTGGCAGCAGACTTTGCTCTCGACGATACGCTCTGTCCAGCAATAAAGAAAATGAACGCTTGTGCCCATGCATCCTGGACGTCTTTGGAGGTAGTCTCTTTTGTAATGAAGGGAGCAACGGCTCTCAAGGCGCGCAGTGCGATTACAACATCGTCCTCGGTGGACAACTTGGTGTATACTTTTGTGTTGAGCAGGAATGAAGGCTTCGGCTGGCTCACCAGTGATTGCGAGAGCACGTCAGACTTCTTGTAGACAGCGGCAAGCTTCTCATCTTTGGTGTTGCGGATCTTGAGAAGAAGTGCGGTGACGTAATGACCTACAGTTACCAGACCGCTTTGTGTTGCAGGAAGTGGGTTAGCATTGACTTCTTGCCAAATCTCCACAAGCTTTGGCAGTGTGCTTTGACAGAAGGCCAAGATGTCTGCCTGGGCATGCTGTGCGTCTGTAAGGTCCCACCAGATGTCTGCTGCGCGAATCGCCCAAAGACGGCGGACTGGGATACGTTTGTCTGCCATACCCTTGATGAAGGCATCTGTGACGGTCTTGTCAAGAGCTACCCCGTTAACCAGTCCATATGTGAGATGCTTGGTCATGGCGGACACTTCAGCCACTACAGCTTGCTCGCCAGGCTCCTTCAGCGCAACAGGTGCAATGCTGGCAGGGATCTTCTGAGACAGAGCCGGAGACTCCTTGAACGCTGACAGCATCTGGGCGTGTATGACTTTCTGGTCGACACCTGAAACCTTGCCCTGCTTCAAGGGATTCAGCACTTCGTCTGCGACTTTCCCAATGACGTCTTTGTTTTGTGATCTCGAAGCTAGCGCTGTGAAGGTTCGCAGGGCTCCAGCACGGATCGTGGGATTGGTTGACTTGACGTTGGAGAGCAACGGTTTCAACAAGTTGCTGATCAGGACATCTGAGAGGTCCATCGACTCAGGAAGGGCCAGTAACATTGGCGACACAATGTCGTTCAGCACAACCTCTGGGGCACGTAGAAGTGCCTTCTCGATTGTTGGTATGATTTCCTTGCGGATCTCCTCAAGTGTGGGGAAGGTGTCGAAGAAGTCGTGGAGCGCATTCGATACATGGTCAGGTAGCTGACTCCTCGAGCCAACCATTTCGCGTACGTAGAATGCGTAGTATTCTTGCTTGTGTTGCTCGAATCGCGACTTGACGTCTGATAGGCGTGATGAGACTCCAGCAATGACTCCGAGAAATACGGCGTTTCCAGCCGTGGGAGCGGCGCCCTTTGCAGTGAGACTCGACACCAGCTTGTCGAGTGCATCCTGTCCAATTTCTTTCGAGCCCAACACAGCACGCAGAGCACGCCGTGTGACAACCAGAGCAGAGTGCGAGATACGGGTAGCTCGACGATCACTGCCGGCGCCCACACACGTCTCCAGCACGCGCGCATCTGCCAATGCTAGATCCAGCCCAAACTTCGACCATCTTTCTGGCTGTTTTGCAAACTGCAGGAGCAGGATCGAGCACCATTCTACCAGCACGAATGCATTGACGTGCGCAATACCCTTCTTCTGGCACTCTTCCTTCAGAAATTTGACAATTGCGGGCAGGACAAGGTCGCCGTGTGGGCCGTTTATAAGCGACTTGAGGACTGCTTCGACGGCGCGCCGCGATTCCCTGTCGTCGTAGAGGGGATATGTTTCGAAAAGCGTTGCTAAGAGAGCTTGCAGGTCTGCAGGCACAAGGGCTATACATCGATTGCTATCAGCGCTGGTTCTATCAAATGGCTCCTCATGCCACCTACACTCGTCTGCCACCTGGTGCTCGAGCCGCCCCAGACTCTCAATTCGCAATTTTGTAGAGCTCGTCACGAGACCACGCCGCAAGACATCGCGGTCGATGGCCTGTGGTTTAACCTCCCCATTCACAGCCATGTCGTTCCTGCCACATGAGACAGCAGCGAGGGAAATGCGGGGGTTGTTGGCGGGGTGTTTGCTGTACTCGCAAAAGTTCAGATGCACGTCGGCGAATCGCGCGGGCCGAGCTCGACTCATTCAATGACATCGTGAGTGGAGCGCCCTTCCCAAGGTACTCCACTTCGACAGCAGCCCTCTGCAACCCTTCGCCGCGCCCTGGAGCATTCTGCGCCGCCCTACATGCGTCCCGTCAGCTCTTGCACCCTGTCCAATCTTGATCTCGCGAAGGATCAAGCCCCGATTTACTCCATACGGAAGCCCGCCTGAGGTCCTACCCTTTTTGGAAGTTTCACCTGTCAAACAAAATCTGAACCCATACACCACTGTCAACAATGGCGAAGAAGAAGAAGCCAGCGGGCAATCCTGCACGTGGCTTTGCCACCACTTCTGTTGCCAGCAAGCCAAAAGTCGAAAAATCTACTGTTGACGCCGCCGCTAAAGAGGTCGTGCTTGCGCCATCGAAAGATAGTTCAGTCGTCCCTCAAGCAGCTGCTCCAGCTACCAAGAAGGAGGAACCTGTGAAGCAGGAGGTCACCCAAACTCCAGAAGAACTCGAAGCTCAGCTTGAGCGCGATGAACTCCAATTGCTCGTGGAGAAGCATGCTGCCAAGGTCCGACGAGAGTCTCGCCGGCAGGTCACTAAGTTTGAGACAGATCGCAGAGTCCTTCGTGCACAGTCCCATCACATGACCGTCCATGATTGGCTTCCCAACGAGATCTTGGATACCATTATATCACTGGCCCAAACTGAATCGAACGATTCGAATCGCAGGCAAGGGCAACAGCAATCTTTGCTCAAGGTGATGTCAGAAGAGGATGCTATGTCGAAGCTTTGGACCCTCAATCTGACTTTGCGTGATCTGGGATTCTCCCATGAGCAGATCGAGCCAGTTCTGAGATGGTTGTGTGCAGACGCTGGCGGCATTGACACAACATCTACTGTCTGGGGTCTGCAAGAAGCGCTAGAATGGCTTGCACTAGACCAATGCGAAGGCAATACTTTCTCTTACGAGGACGCGAAGCCAAAACAGTCGGCCATCTCAACTCCAGATGTGTCGCGTCCTGGTAGGTAACAGCCCTCCATAACGCAAGCCACTGTCTCTTTTCGCGGCTACTATGCATTGCATCAACGCTAGAGTTAATCATGCCTTTCGTTTGCTGATATATATACTAGTCTCGCCTCTACCGGAAGCACCAGCAGCCAAGGCCAACTCTGCCCATTCCTCAGACAGTACGTCAACTAAAGCGCCAGCACCAGGACTGCCGACTCCGACCGAATCAGATCACCGCGATGTTCATGTCAGCGACATTGACAGCGACATTGACCTAGACGAACTCGTACCAACTTACCTGAAAATCAAGGGCAAACTCTACGAGATCGATCCTGAGCTCGTCGAGGTCAACCCACGAAAGAAGGGTGCAAAAGGCCAAAAGGCACCGCCAGCAAAGACAGTACAATCGCCCAAGATCCGAAAACTTCTATCACAACTGCAGCAGCTTGAGTCTGATACCTTGTTTGACGACCGCGAGGCAGAGGCACTGTGGCCCGCGAAGCGCAACGAGATTGCACAGAGCCAGGCTGCAAAGAGACAACAAGAGACAGTACAAGCAGAAGTCCCAGAGGAACGAAAGGGACATGCCACACCAGCCGTATCGGCTCCCAAAGAAGCATCTCACTCATCAACAAACGGCGGAGACGCCGATGATATTATGGCTGAGGCCGACATGCTAGGTGACATGTTCTCTGCGATCTCTGATGAGCCAGCAGCTAACGATGTCCCGACTGAGAACGCCGAATCAGGCAACATCACATTACGAGACTTTGGAAAGCAAGGCGGCTTGACTCCCCGACGCTGCCTCGAAGAAGCAGTGCGCTCCAGAGATCCAGGAGCGCGAGTTGCATACAAAATGATCTCACCTACTACGTATCGCTGTCGACATGCAGCGACTATTACATGGTCGAAGGACCTTGAGATCGAATATGATACCGACATAGCCGGAGTCAACGTCTCATTGCGTGGCATCCAGGTGAAGTTCGAAACCACGACCATTGCCGCTGTCGGTATTGATCAGAGTGAAAGCTTCATCTCTACAGTAGCCTTATTCTCGATATCTGCAGCATCGACCAAAGAAGAGAAAGTGTACCTCCGTCTTCCTCCAAACTGGAGAGATGTCTACCGCGAGTTTCTTGAACATCGTAAGGAACGCATCGACACGGACGACCGCGAAGCCGTCAAATACTACCGATCCATTGTCCAAGATCAGATAGAGAACGAGGAGTCTGATGGAGTCGTTCTGACAAACAGGTGGAAGACACGCAACCAAGCTGGTACAAGCTCCAGCCCATCCAACTCGGGCTACAATACTCCAGTTCCTGAGAACCAAGGTCTCAGGGAGCTTTGGGCACAGAAGGCATCGACTCCGTCATATCAACATATGCTTGTTGGCAGAATGAGTCTTCCAGTGTATGGTTTCAGGGAATCCATCCTGTCGACCATTGACAAGAACCAAGTCACTATCATTTGTGGTGAAACCGGTTGCGGAAAGAGCACGCAGATACCGTCTTTCATATTGGAATATCAGCTTGCCCAGGGCAAAGCCTGCAAGGTATATTGTACTGAGCCCAGGCGTATTTCGGCAATTTCGCTTGCACAACGTGTCAGTGAAGAGCTTGGAGAAGGATCGAAGGACCTTGGGTCTATGCGTTCACTCGTTGGATACGCTATTCGCTTGGAGTCGAAGACGTCAGCGCAAACTAGGCTTGTATATGCTACTGTTGGAGTAGTATTGCGTATGCTCGAAGGGCCTAAGGGGCTGGGGGAGGTCACACATCTGGTCATCGATGAGGTCCACGAGCGGAGGTATGTTGACCCTTACTTCCCTTTTGATCACTACTGACCGCAACCAGCATTGACACCGACTTCTTGCTCATCATCCTTCGTACACTCATGGATCGCCGCCCTGGGCTCAAGGTCATCCTCATGAGTGCAACTGTGGATGCAGCTCGCTTCTCACGATACCTCAACGACGCCCCAATCCTGAACGTGCCTGGACGCACATTTCCTGTACAGACGCAGTACCTGGAAGATGCCATTGAGTTGACACACTATGCCGGGTCTGCTGAGGACGCTCGAAAAAACGGTAACAGCAGCGGTGATGACGATGAAGAGATCACGTCTGAAAAGTCCGGCATCCCAAGCAAGCTCCCAGGATACAGCCCAGCTACCCGAAACGTGCTATCCACCTACGACGAGTATGCCATTGACTATGATCTCATCGTACGGTTGATTGAAGCAGTAGCATACGACCCGCAACTCAGCCGATACAGCAGTGCCGTCCTGGTCTTCCTTCCGGGTATTGCTGAAATTCGGCAGCTCAACGACATGCTTGCTGGTCACCAATCTTTCGGTTCGAACTGGCTGATCTACCCACTTCACTCCACAATCTCCAGCGAAGATCAACAGGCAGCTTTCCTCCTGCCACCGCCAGGTTGCCGCAAGATCGTAATCGCAACCAACATTGCAGAAACTGGTGTGACCATCCCAGATATCACCTGTGTCATCGACACTGGCAAGCATAAGGAGATGCGCTTCGATGAACGCCGCCAGCTGTCGCGCCTAACGCAATCTTTCATTGCTCGAGCAAACGCAAAGCAACGACGCGGTCGTGCAGGTCGTGTCCAGGAAGGACTGTGTTTCCACCTGTTTACGAAGTACCGCCATGACAACCTCATGATGGATCAGCAGACGCCTGAGATGTTGCGACTTTCGTTACAGGATCTTGTGATGCGGACAAAGATCTGCAAGCTTGGCGACATTGAGTCCACTTTGTCAGAGGCCCTGGACCCACCATCTTCCAAGAACATACGACGTGCGATTGATGCGCTGATCGAAGTCGACGCCCTCACTCCTGGTGAAGAGCTTACCCATCTGGGCCGCCAGATCGCGAAGTTGCCCCTTGACGCGCATCTCGGTAAGCTGGTGCTACTTGCCAGTATGTTCAGTTGTGTAGACGTTGCCATCACAATCGCCGCAATACTCTCATCCAAATCTCCCTTCCTAACACCGTTTGGCGCAAAGCAACGTGCCGACATAGCGCGTCTCTCCTTTAAGACCGGTGACTCCGACCTTCTCACTACCTACAACGCCTACAAGGCCTGGCGCACAGTCTGCACCACTGCCGGCCGCTCAGAAATGCAGTTCTGCCACAAGAACTTCCTCTCCCCACAAAACCTCAGCAACATCGAAGACCTGAAAGCGCAACTCCTATCCTCTCTCGTCGAGGCAGGATTCATCCAGATGTCGCCCGATGAACGCCGCACACTCAGCCGCTACCGCTCCACAACACGGAACCGCACCTTCGTCCTTGTACCACCCCAATATGACACACACTCCCCCAACGACCTGCTCGTAAACTCCGTCATCGCAACAGCATTCTACCCTAAACTGCTCACCCGCGAAGGCAAAGGTTGGCGCAACATATCCAACAACCAGACCGTCAGCCTGGCACCCACAAGCGTCAACAAGGGAACAAACACCGCCAAATTCTTGTCGTACTACCATATTATGCAATCTAGCAACAAATTCTACAACGCACATTCGACTTCGATTGCACATCCGCTGCCACTGGTGCTCATGGTGGCTGCGGATATGGACTTTAAGTTGCACGCGGGTGTGATCAGTTTCCCAGGAAATGTTGTCAGGTTTGCAGTGAGGGAGTGGAGAGCTGCCGTTGCGCTGAAGGTGTTAAGGCGCAGGGTCAAGGAGATTTTAAGCGCGAGCTGGAAGAATCCGGGACGAGTGTTGGGGGAGAGGGAGAGGGAATGGGTGGGGATCCTTGTGGGAGTTTTTGTTGAGAGGTGGGAGAAGGATGAGAGGGTTAGGGAGAGGGCTGGTGGGAAGGCGAAGTAAAGAGTCACGTTTAGAAACTTGACAATGTGATTTGGGAAGTGCATAGTTGGTCTGAATTGCTTATTGCTGCCGTTCAACCTCATTCGACTTCGCCTCCTCTTCTTCGTAATGTGCGCTCAGTATTTTCAGATGCTGTGGAATTACGCGTCCGATGTTTTTGACCTTGACGTTCCATTCAATTAAGTATATTCAGCCAAAGCAAATGCGAGATGCACGAGCCAAGCTCGTTGAGGGATCAGCGATGTCTACCACAATTGCCTCCTTATACAGTCCCCTCTCTTTTTCTTCTGCGATGTAGCAGGTCTCCGGATCAACGTCTGAATCGTAGATAAGAGCATATTCACCGGGATCAATACCAGGCTTCAATGTACTCTGGTTCCTATACGTCGAAATTGCACCGTTGTGGATGAGCATCGAAGCAAACTTGAATTGAATAACACTGACCATGCAAGCACAAAGTTTCTACGTACTCTCACTACCACGAATCGCCTGATCTGGAAGATAATTCCTTCCCCGAGGCGAACGGTGGTGAAAGCGTCGTCATCGCAATGTACGGAGACTTTACTAGTTGACTGGGTGTAGAGCGTAGAAAATACACTACCTAGCTGAAAGAAAGCATGTGCCCCGGCTCCAGTTCGCATGTAGTAGCCTGACATAATTCAGCTCCGCAACGGATCGGGCGATGGATAGACTGGCTTACTCTGATCCAGATTGTCATACCATCCTTCTTTTGGAGAACCGGCGATGAAGTAAGCCTCACGTTCACGAACCTTCAACGGAACCAACGATCACCAGTTACTGTTGCGGTATCGGTTGGTCCGTACAGTGTCTGACTATACCCCTGACCACTACCTTGGACTAGTGTGTTACAGGTCAGGTATATAGTCGTCTCCTCCTAGCTAGATAGCAATCCAGCACAGTATTCCATCGACCCGATAGTCCTACGTTATCGTTTACCGTAGCTATTAGTATTCTACAGCGGTTCACACCGCTACAGTTACCAATGGGAAAGATCAATCCAAACACGAAAGAATAGTACCAGGTGGTACAACCGTCGCCTCGATTGCGCCGGCTGTAGCTAAAGGAACTGTCGAATATAAGTATGAGGGGCCGAGTAGACTCTGGGCCATGTTTACCAGGTGAGGCAGGCCGGGACGTAGAATCCTTTTGAGAGCCATTGTTATCTTGCAAGATAGTCCCAACGACATTGTCTTGGCATTACGCGCGGTGCATCTGAAGCTTGGGAGAATTTAAAGCTGCTGCCTTGTCCATACTCGCCTGATGTGTCTCCGCTACGTCTTTCATTCTTCGGCATTTATCCGAACTGGTGGCTCCAGTTGTGTCAATCCGCTCGATTGTACAAGCTCACCCTTCCTGCCCTTATAAGTTCCTATCCGGAAGGTATTCCTCCTTTCTTGCCGTGCCAAATTAACTGCCAATAGCATTGTCACCGCATAGCGTGGTGGGTATCCGAAGCCTTGGAGGGAATCAAATTCGCCCAATCCACGGTTCCTTAGTCTGTACCATCTCCCTGTCTTTCCCTTCTTAGCCTCCTCGCCAACGAGTGACTGCAACTCACTTCCACTATTGTTCATGAATCAGTATTCCATTCGTAGAGGGGCTTAATGGTGAGCCTCACCCAAGATCGTTGTTCTGAGATGTGCAAGTCATGTATGGCCTGCTACTTCTTCCAACGCTGTTGTTGCTCTGTGACTGGTCATGAACGCTCATAGGGACGCAGTTTGGTGCCCTCACCACTGTCCGATCGCTTTTACTTGACCCCATTCGAAGTGTTGAATGTCTCTACTTCTGAGGTTTTTCTCTGTACTTCCATTCAGGTTCATCGTAGGAGGGTTGAGCCTGTGTCGAATATGGTGACGACCTTCGAGGATATTGAGCCTGAGTCGAAGCGGACGAGAATGGTTGCATCGTGGCGGGGAAGTACCATTCAGGTTCATCGTAGGAGGGTTGAGCCTGTGTCGAATATGGTGACGACCCTTGAGGATATTGAGCCTGAGTCGAAGCGGACGAGAATGGTTGCATCGTGGCGGGGAAGTAATCGAAGTGTTGAGTGTACTTGCCCGGCTGTCGATATGCCTCCTGTGGCTCGATGGTTGGTTCATCCTCAAACTCGTTATCAGGTTCGAATCCCTCACTCTGCTCCTCCTTGAAGTACTTCATGAGTCGCGACCTATCTGTTGCAGCAATCATGCCGATATCTCTCACTTTGACATTCCACTCGATCGAGTAGATTTTGCCGAGTCGCACCCTGGAGGCAGGATCCATTTTCTCTTTCGGGTCTGTTGGGTCAACTCTGAGAGGGTCCTTGGTCAGGCCCCGTTCATGTTCTCCAGGGTATGGTGCTGGTTGGCTTCCGTTGAGGTAGACAATGGCGTGTTCTGAGGCCCTGACGCCCCATTTAGTAGCCCCTCTGCCACCATATGTAGAGATCGCGCTAGGACTCATTAACGACGGTGGGCAATTATGCTATCGGTTGGCACTTACCATGCATGGACATAGTGCGATTGCCTGTTCACTCGAACGACAACGAATCGTCTTATCTGCGAAAAAACTCTCTCTCCAAATCTTCCTATAGTAATAGCAGTATTGTCTGTCACAGCACTGTTGCGGAGTGCTGTCTCGTTTGCTGCTTCGGCCCACAACATGGCGAATACACGCCCTGTCTTGAAGAAGTCATGTGCTTCTCTTCTAGTTCGTACCCGATAACCTTGGAGTGCTTAGTAAGTTTTGTCTGGCCAATGTATGCAGCATCGCTAGGCTTACTGCTGTCGAGTGGTTCATACCACCCTTTATCCGGTGTTCCTGTGAAGCGCAGCGACCTCCTGATGTCGAGAGGAGCTGACCTCGATAAGCTAATGCACATAATATCCTTCCTTTTCACGACTCACCTGAAGGAGCCATATTAGGGTCGACAATCGTGTCAAAGGAGGCTGACCTCGATAAGCTAATGTAAACAACCATCCATATTTATCACGACTCACCTGAACGGGCTATGTTGAGATCCCCCAGTTGTTGTGCCGAATTAGTCTTGCCTGAATCTTGAGACCCTTGAGCTTCCTGGGCCCATTCATACCGAGTTTCGCCTGTGACATTAGCAAGGAACCTAATGCATTTTTTGTAGTACTATTTTACCTTTGTGATCATCTGTGATCATACGGTAGTACCTCTGATATACTGGGCTCCATATCCAATCTGAGGATGAGGATGAACCGGGTCGAAGAGAAGTCGTTGTGGGGACAACAACGTCGCGTTCTTGCGTGCTCGAGCTTGATGAAGATATCGATGCAGAGGCAGGTTTGTAAGGTGGGGGCGGTGCCGCACCACCACGAGGCTGCTTGGTCCTTGTTACTTCACCGGCACCATTTCTGATCCCTTCACCTTCAGAAGCGGACGGCAAGTTCTGACTATAATTTGGTTCCGTAGGAAGTTGTTGTCCGATATCAGCATGACGGACGTATCGCTCTTTTTCAGAAGAGCCATGCGGAGGAGGACCGGACTCTGTATCCTCTGGCGGTGGGAAAGGTTGCTCAGGGTTCGGCTGCGCAGGTTGTTTGCCTCTTGCTCTATGACATGCTATTAGCTGGGTAATACAAGATGACACATGTGGACAGACCTAGAACTTCTTGCATTTTCAGTTGAGTCTGTATACTCTGGGGTCCACTCGAAGATCGGTTGATTTGCTTCATCGCTGTGAACGCATCTGTAGTATCGTTGATGGTCATCTGACCATGTCCACTGCGAGCTTTGACTTGACGACATTCTTGGGAGGGTTCTCTGGTTCGAGATAAACACCGGGCTGAGAATGCTCAGGGTGGGTTGGGCATTTAAGTGTTGTGCAGTCAATACTCAGCTCCATGGTGGCAGTGCCTCTCCATAAGAGGCAGTGTTCTTGCGAGCAGAAGGCACAAGGCTGAGAAAAACGTGATATTCAAGTTGATGATTGACCAATCTCGATCTGACATGTTTGTTTCTGCGTCCGGTGCGTAGGGATGTGCATGAGGTGGGGCGCTAGACTGCGGGGCTGTCCGTGCTTTCCTCGCGAACCGCAAGCCATCGAAGATCTGCACATCTGCTCTCACTTCAACAATGTTAATCTGGTTCCCAGCTTTCGTTTGCTCCCTGTTCCTCATCGCCTGTTCTGAAGATTTACTATGTTTGCCCTATTAGCTATCAACAGCTACCACAATCATGCGTCTTTCTCAATAAACACTTTCGCGCGTATGAACGTGTCTTGCAACGGAATCTTGGGCAGTACCGCGCGAGTTCGCATGTCAACTCAGGGTTTCTAGAAAGGACATGATTGAAAGTTATAATTTGAGCTATATGACGTATTTACGTAAGAAACATAACTCAGATACTCTGACAAGAAGATAGGCGAACCTATGGAAAAGCTGCACGTAGTTGTCGATAACTACGAGTAGAGCGTAGGGCGGCCGTTAATATGTTACGCGTAAAGCAAACGTTTTAGAGATGGAACGTTGTATCAGTCTGATATGAAAACGTATACGAGCCTGACGGTCCCTCTACTGTACCTCACGATCCTCGTCTTCGTAGTACCGAAGAAGCTTGGGCATGTCCGAGCTCACCACCGTACCAATATCCTTCACCTTGACGTTCCACTCGATAGCGTACGCCTTGCCGAATCGAATGCGGGACGCCGATGTCAGATACGAACTGTCATCTGCTGGGTACGGTGGGGTGACTTCGATAGGGTCCTTGTACAGACCTTTCTCGTATTCACCCGGAAGATAACAAGCGTTCGGATCAACGTTCGAGTTGAAGATGACTGCATGTTCGCCAGGATTGCAGCCGCGCTTCAGGGTGCCGCGTCCTCCATATGTGGCAATGGCGCTATGCGTTGTCAGTCCGGTGCTCGAGACATGTTCAGCGACGAGGCTTACTCACAGAGCGTAGACAAAGTTTTTCCGAACAGAAACAACGACAAAGCGTCTGATCTGAGTGTACACTGACTGCCCAAACTTTACTGTAGTGTAGGCATCATTCCAGGGATCCGGCTGTGCAGTCTCGCCCGTAGGTTCTGTGTACAGTGTGGCGAACACTCTTCCTTTTTTGAAGAACTGCCGAGCCTCGGCTCCGGTGCGCATACGATAGCCTTAATGCATTAGTATTGGGTGACCCGATTCCAGGATGAGCTCACTTTGATCGAGACCATCATACCAGCCCTTGTCCGGCGTGCCAGCGATAAAGTTCCGCAGGGTTGCCCTGGTTTCCCACGGCACTGAAATGTACCATTTAGCAGTCGTCGATACATGGGTCTATGATCTTCATCATACCGGGTGCAGGCGGACTGATATCTCCGTCTGCTACAGAATCTGTTCGAGCGACCGAAGGCGCGGCTTGAGGGGTTGCAATTTGCGATGCTGCTGCTTGAGGAGCTGAGGCTGGAGGAGCTGCAGAGACACTCGAAGCCCACGTGTAGATGTACTGTCCTACGCAAACTCTGGTCAGCATGCCCACTGACGCTTGAAAGCTCGACCCAGGCTTACCATTACTGTCTTGCGAAACATAGTAGTGGTCGTTGTGCTCTGGACTCCAGGTCCACTGTGGCTGGTTGTTGGACATTCTAAGGTACAGTATTCAATATCACATGTGCTGGCCCTGTGATCGACTGTCCTCTTATATCTCTCCACATTGCCGAGATGAGGCTCTGCTCTCGATCGTGATTCACCCTCGAGATGGCGGGGTGCGCGCCATATCTCATGCAGCTTCATGTTTGTCAAGCAGCTTCTCCGCTTCTCTGGAGGACTGGCAGTGCTGTATGTGTGCCATGTGCCAATCGCGGCACAACTGAACGCGCATGGGAGCATGCAAGGTGGGACAAGGCGTGTCTTAGCTTGGTGCGACGCTAAGACAAGGGGAATGCCTAATTCAAACAAGGCAACGCGCCGTGCCGCGTTTCCAGTGGCTTGGTTACCGAGTCAGCCGACATTTCTCAATGACTCTTGTACGCCCATCGGTGCGATTGCAAGGATGGATTCGCGAGGGTGGCTGTATACTTCTGCCGTTATGATTGCTTGAGACAGCCATGCATCATCTAGCTCCGCTCTGGTCATGAACTTGTCACGCACTATCCTGCACAAAAGCACAACTTACCTGTTGACAGTGTTGTCTTACATCTGCCTCTCGGACTAGAACACGTGTGGACATTACCTTTGGTCGGAGATGAACTTGCTCTAGCAGCCTCGTTAAGGTTCCCAAGGCTTCTCAGCTAAACACCTATCACCTCAGTCTATTTAACGTTCCAGGTCCTTGCTTGAAACTATCCTGTGGCCGCAGTGGACTATTCTCCTGTGAAGATGAGCAGCTCGACCATCGGTCCATCAGAATACTCTTCTGGCGATGTCGGACCATGCTCTTCTCAACAACGACACAGCACGGCAACAGCCTCGTCTCGGGAAGTTACATCCTGCAAAATCCAGCTACAGTCTTGAGGATGTTCGAAACGCGCTTCAACATGTCATGGACATGCAAGAAAAGCTTGCCAAATCCAGAGAAGGGCTGGTCATAGAACGCGAGAGGATACGAACATTTGGTAGTAGGGTACGCAAGAAACGTGTGGAGGCCGGCGATACAGAGGCTACATTCATGAGCAGTCTACGCAGTTTCATCAACGATGTCCACAATAAGGTCCCCATGGAGTTGCCCAAATCGCTGTTCGATGCTTACAACAAAGTGGAAAGGATACGCAACGAGCTTGGAGCCTTAGAAGAGGAGTTTTTACAAGCAGAACGCAACCTAGCCGGCGCTGAATGGACGTTCATGGACAAGGAAAATGATTTTTATCAGTTTGAACTGCTGGATGCTCTCGAAGAGGCCTTACCTGAAAGCAACCTGGACCCGTGTGGCGACGATGAGCAAGAAGTCAAGCATACTATGACTGTCTCTCCGGAGCTTTTATCGCCTACGGCACCGCCAGTGCCTTCGCCTCCCCATGCCGAATTGGCGTCTACGAAAAATCTAAATGACCTCCTACTTGAGCATTTACTGCCACCATCATCGCCACCAGAAACGTCTTTTCATCCGGCCACGATAGACTTACAAGTGGCTCGATTGCTGTCAGCACCTAGTTCTCCTCCTCCACCGGCGCCACCACCACCACCACATGTGGTATTACAACCTCCTTACCCAGAGCCTTGCACACCGCAGAGCTCAGACGACCGGGACCATGACATTGTAACGGCAGAGCTTGAAATACTTCGAAGGACTTTCGCCTCATTACGACAATCGCGCGCGGACCAAATACACAGAATGGACGACGATTATGTTCTGGCAGACGAAATACCTGGAATCTCTACACGGGATATGATGGATGAGATTGAGGAGAGACCATACTTTGATATGTTACAACAAATATCTTGTCACGAGGTTGAGGCCCAGCGGCTTGAGCACAAGGCTATGTTTCGTGAAATGCAAATTGGCCTTGCTATACCCAGACGCTGTTCGGATCCAATTCACTCTGCAAATGCTGCACCCACGCCATCAATTTTCATGGACAAAGCGCTCACTGAAACCGCACTTCCGATGCTTTCCAACGACCCAGAGATCAAGAATCGTTTGCGAGCATGGCTTTTCGCAAGGCTCAAAGAAGACCCGCTACAAAGGACGATGTACCGAAACATACTCGTACACCACGGGTTGGAGAGTCCCATCGACGAGACCTGGGAAGAAAGAGCCTCTCACTACTGGGATATCGACAATGCAAGCGAATACGAGACGCAGTTTGACGATGATGACGGTGATGGCGACGGTGACGGCAACATATTGACACGCGCTACGTCTCACGAGTCAGGTGTTGACGAAAGCTCAATGCCGTTCACGGAGTTCGAGGGATACCAACCTCATCTCTTAGGTACCCCCCACCACCTGGCTGTGAAAAATCACGGTGGATCGAACATCACACAACCTAGATCAATGTTGTTGCCGTCACCGACGAGATTATCGAGCCCTCTGCACCCTTCCTCGGCGCTGGCTAGCCACGCCAATTTGACTGGCGCCCACGTATTCAGCGCGAGTACCTCAAACCGTAACGAAGAGTATTCAGTGAATCTGGTCGGCAAACAGCACCCAAAATCTGATGCAGAGAGCAGTCAGCATTTAGAGCAGGATGGCGTAACGCAAGGTTTGCCAGACAAGACAAAACCAGAAGATGAGTGCAAGGCGGAAGATGCTTTTGATCGTAGTATTGGGCACAAGAGGGATACTACGCGTGATATCTTATGCCAGCGTCATCAGCAGCTAGAAGATCGTCTTCTCGACCAGCAGGCACAACCAAAGTCTTCCTCGGGAATCGATATTCCCACCATTGTGACCACAGATGCGGATGAAGGCTTAGCGAAGCCAAACAACATCGAACTCTCAGATGGTCAGCCGCAAACGGCAACTGCGCAGCTGCAAGAAAAACGCAATCAAACACTGGGCAATCTGTCTTGCAAAAGCCCGTGGTCTCAGTTGGCTATGATCAACATCAAGCAAACATCGAGACCAAAGTCCGAGTACGGAGAAGAGAAACTAGCACAAGGGCGCCGTGAACGATTGAGCGATATCCTTTCGAATTTCCGTCATCATAGTCGCACCCACAGTGCCTCCCACGTTTTCGGAAGCCGCGATACAAATTACGACATAGGGAGAAAGTGGAGAGACTGATGGGCTACTTCACATCGAATGCTGATGGAAATTGAAGCAACTCAAATGTGTTTGTTCCCAGCCATCATTTTCTCAAGGCTGCAGTATTTTGTTCAGCGAGGCTGGACAAATTGTTCTTGTAAGATGTCACGCGAAACTCTGGGTCTTAAAGAAGGGTTCGTAGGTCACTCTACAGTACGTGTATTTAGCGCCGCGATGACTCAGTTCCTGCCAATTTCGAACACAACAATTATTGCACGTTACGCACCGACTGTACAGCACTAAGAATTAAAGTCAATTGCAACACTATTATCACAATGATGCGAGCCTGCATGGTCAGGCTAGACGAGCTGAACGGCCCCCAGATGCATGCAAGTCTTAGCCTGACGACTAAGCGCCACGTTGTCACCAATCAAGCCACTTGTTTTTGTTATGCGTCTCTTATGCCCAGCTCATCAGACATGATCTCTGTGGAGATTTCGACCCGGCTTACCTCTCGAGCAAATGAGCTCATTCGATACAATTTGAGACTCACAAAGTTTGAGAACCAGAGTCCTTGCATAAACCTCTCATCACTTCGCCAAGCATGCAACGTTTCACCGTTTGCTGTAGACTCGCAACCTGGTTATCTCTAGGGACAGACAAAGCAGGCAAAAGTCACGAGCAAGCGCAGCTAGGCACTCGCCTTGGGGTGTCACTTGATCTATTTGCCCTCTGTGATTGGAACGGACCTGCAGGGCGACGTATCGATTTCGGGTCGAACAAAGGCAATTGGCATGTTGCTTCGGTAAGTCGCAGCAACGGGAGTACGGGGGCGCCCTTTACCACTTGATGGCTTGATTGGGCATCAAGGTGCGCTTAAACTTGAAAGTGACCATGTATCACAGTCAAAGCGCAAGGCAAATGATACATTCCTTTATCCATTGAATAGAATGTGTCGCTTGCCGCACGGTTCTCGTGCAGGAACACCGTGCTGCGGCCCGGACCCATAACTGGTCCGGACCCGCAGTCCAGCTGCATAACGCCAACGCGCCTACCGTGCTGTACACTGCTTACTGTTTCGGGATCCTGAAAGCTAAGTCTGCGTGTCTGACGATACTCGTGGATTATACGCGGTGACTTGTACACTCAGAGTTGGCGCGTGACAGCAAGTGCAGCTGCGATTCGCCCTGTCCATGTTGGTGTGCCTCACAGCTGAGTTTCATGTACAGATTATCCGATGTCACGGCTGATATTCTGTCATCCTGATTTACGCCTTCTCAATCAAGATAAGCAGCCTTGACCCTACTCGTCGGTAATTCGTTTCGCAGATGAACCAGCTTATCGCCGATATGAAGCAACGTGCGCGGCCATGGAGTGGTTCAGCCAAACCCTGCGTATTGCTAAGACTCGAAGTGACGTGTTTAATCTGGTCAGCTGAGTCTTCTGCGCAGCTGCTATTGGAGCCGTCGAAGCAGAGCCTCAAGATTATCAAATCTCTATGTCACCATCTCAGACTTCACATGTCTTGGAAGAGGGAGATGTTATGGTGGTACGGCCCGAATGACCACTGCACAGGAAGCGATAATGCAGCCCTGTCTGAACGTGGAAAGAAGGTGTTAGACCAAGTTGCTGCAAGTCTGACTCAGGCCTTTCACTCTGCAGGGTTGATGCGGGAACGATGTGGGGTTCGCGGCTATGGTGGGGCCAAAACCGTTCGGTCGCGTAAAGGTTGGTCAATAATCTCCGCCGGATCTGACATGATGCCTGAGGCAACGACTGAACACCACGAACGTTCGAACTTGGAAACATCCGAGATTTTGGGAGCTACAGTCAGTACCAAAATCCCATGTTTTCACAATTCTCATCGGGGGGAAATAGGTATAGGGGGTTCATTTCTCGGATGAACAAGGCTGTGATCTGCGGGTGAAGCGAATGCCAGTATGCCTTGTCTAAATTGCTGGGCTGCCCTTGCTCTTTGCGTTTCAATTTGGTCATGCAGTTCGTCAAAGCCTCGCCCGAACAAGGCGCAGAAGTGTCACATGGTTCGCATCTTGATTCAACGAAGAAAGTGACTGAGAAGCGTTGACTGTACTGGTTAGAAACCGAAAAGGAGCTCACTTGAGAGATCATGGGGAGCGTCAAAGGTCTGTAATGATAAGGTATGTTCTGAATATGTGTTTGAGATGCGGTCTGACAGATACATAATCTAGAAAGAGGTCAAAGACTTGGATGGACCTGGAACACAAAACGGGGTATCAAATACAGAGACAAAGGGAACACAATCAAGTCGCTGAACGCTATGAGAGACGGGTGTCAATCGAACCAAAGGTAATGTCCATAATTTGGGACCAGTCACCTCTAGGAAAAGCTGAGAAGGCTATTGTACAGGGGATTGCGTTCCATGATCATGTGCATAGGGCTCAAGCATTGTGTGTGCCCTCCCGCCTCCACTTTTTGGAAAAGCAGACATGGTTGGATCAGTCACCGCTGCTGCATTCTCCAGACATATGGGAGCGGTTCTCAGCGACCGGGCATCGTGCTGAGAGATTTCAGTGTTGGTGGTCTTGCATCCACTATCAGGATCCGAGACCGAAGCACTAGCGCAGATTCCATCTTGACTAGTGTGTGAGCCAGGGAATACACCTACTGGACTCGCCGTACCAGAGTTGGCATGCTGACATTTTGGATGGCGTTCTGTGGGTGTCTCTGTGAAGACAGTAGTCTGGTCTGCGTCAAAAAGGCTCGACGTTGAAGCTGGTAATGGGAATTGCGTAGCATCATCTTCTGCGTTTTTGCGCTGAACCGTCTGCTGCTCAGCCTCATATTGCCCTCTGAAAGGAAAATCAAGCAACTGAGCACTGGCAAAGCCCGGCATTGGTTGGTCCTCAGCAGAGTCAGAGACGGTCGTATCCCCAGTATGAAAAAAGGAACCATGTGGACTGTCCAAGTACCAATACCGGATAACTGTTTGGAACCAATCGCGATCTCTTAGGTTGTGTCGTGACAGAGCATCACGAAGGCGCTGCCGCTGTAGTGTTGAGCTCTTCAAACTACCTAGAAGCCATTCATTGATGCGATATCGGATGCTGGACCACTGTAGACGTGTAGTATCTAGGTCTGCCTCACTCAGAGATCGGGGTAGCGGAGTCTGCACTTCCTTTGTAGACCTAACTTGAAAAGATCGCGTGCCTCGCGGAGCAATCCAAACGATAGGATCTTCAAGCGTCGTTGGCTCAACTAGATTGCGGTAGTCTTGTTCCAGAGATACCTGTCTGTCGTCCAAAGACATCTGTACTAACTCGTCGAGATTTGAATAGTTTAGAACATCAGCTGTCGAATCAGCAAACCGTGTAAGAAAGTCTGTTCCTATCGCTTGAGTTTCGTTGCACTGGGGTGCATGGACTATAGTGGCATGATCTGGCAGATTGTCGATCAGAACTTCTTCCAGCTGTGTATAGCTCCATTCCTGACGATTGTATTTCTCCTCGGCATCGTCGTAATCGGTCTCCGCGTTCCCAAGCTTGTCTCTCAATTCGTCAACCTCCTGTATTACTTTCGAGATGTGAGGAGGGAGAGACGTGTTTTGACTCAAAAGATATTGTTTGAACAAGCTAAACGCGGCGCCAATTTGTGCGCCTGCCTGTTGCCTGATATCCCGAAGTCCACGGCGCTTAGTGTGCAGACGAAACCTTTCTCCAACCAAGGCCTCGCGGGAATCTCGAAGCTCTTCCTGGAGGACATGCAGGTTTTCAGCATGATAGCTAGGTGGGGCAGGAGGAGGAGGAGGAGGAGGAGGTGGTGGTGGTGGTGGAGGCGAGGAGAGTAGAAAGACTGGTCGAATATGGTCTGATAAAGGTTGTTCCGGTACAATCACATCAGGCTGTTGTCCTTCTGATTGATATCCATTCATCTGAGGTGAACTGCTCCCTGCATTGCCGGATGATTCTTTTAAATGAGGAGGTCCGTTGAATGCAGCTGGCACTGTATGCGGTGGTGCAGCTTCCAATTCTGGATCTGCCTCAGACGGCGGCGAGACTTTTTGGTTGTCAGATTGTAGCAAATGTTACTGCCATTTGATGGTAGATACGCACATACATGCTGAAGACCTTGGATACTGTCAGCTTGTGTGTCGCTTTGGGCGAACGACATTGACAATGGCGAGCGCCCATAGCCGAGGCGTCGGAAGGGCTGCAAAAGGTCATGAGTACAAAAGGGGGCCGGATCAGTCAGAATGTTATGTCTCTGGGCTGCAGCGACGCAGACGTAGCCACGCCGAACTAGGACCAATGGATGCCCCGGGCTTAAATTGGATTGGCGTTCCGGGCCTGTGCGACCAAGCAAGGACTGCCCCTTGCAACCTGCAAGCCTGCCACCCACGTCTGCGCTTTTTCACCAATCGCCTAGCTCGCGAATTTGCTTCTGTTTATCATGTGAATTAATATCAACAGAGCGTGCATACTATGTGTTGTTCGGTCATGCCGCAGAGCCGCAATCTGGCCACTCAGAGAGGATTTAAGTATGCCGTCGGCTATGTGGCAATGATTACAATCTAGGAGCGGTGTCGGGCAACGTCGTACGTGCGCAACGTCAACTATGTCGAACGTTACCGTTGCGTGGAGCGACGAGTACCAGGCATACTTTCGACAAACGTACAACTACACCACGGGTAAGTGTAACATACGGCAAGCCTAGACTACGGTAGGCTAAAGTATGATTAGATCGATGGGAATTCCTTGACTGGAACGTGCCGTAAGTGTACAAGCGCAGATGCTGAAGTGTTTGTTGAACTGACAAGTTCCAGCGCTACGGACAACCAAGCTACGAACAACTACTCTGCGCAAGCTCAGTCCGGTGCAGAAAGTAGGCTTCCCAGGGGTGAAGGCCCAGCAATCCATGGAGACTACATCCCGGGCGGGCAAAGTCTGCACTACGAGGAATTGGACTATTCGTTCCAAGTAAGGTCTTCCAGCTTCTTCTCTGAAGGCAGAGCGTTTGCCGTCATGTGGAATGAGACCGCAGGTGCGACCTTGAAGCCAGTCGACTACAACACATCCAGGTCTCTCAGCGAAGTAAAGCACGCAGGCAATATCGTCTACACTAACGTGAGGCGCTTTGTTGTTGTTCGCAGGAAGCGAGAATTTTGTTTCGCCTGTCCAATATTCACATACTCCCAGCGCGGAACTACGAAGAACGGTGTCCGCGCCAGCGAGCATGCCATAGTTCACTCATGGGGAAAGAGTCCCCAACTCATTCAAGGAGAAATTGGGATCACGAAGCCATCTATAGCTATCGTTATGGCGGAAGGCGTTCCACCGCTTCACTTTGCGTCTCGTATCTACTTTGGCATTCATCATCCGATCCAGTACAATGTCAAAGTCAAAGACATCGGCTATGTGCCTTCTGATCAGGTACATACTTTGATTGGCAACTGGACAGAAGAGAATGAGGGCACGAACCAAGCGTCTGATGTTACTGCCAATGCGGACTGATCAGAACTTGGAAGTGTACGAGAGCATCACCCCCAAGAGGAATGCTGTTTGCTTTGTGCCTCTTTGTACAGCTTCCGTTCGATTTCACATACGTTTTGTCTCTCCTTCGTTCTTCCTTACACAAATTGCAACACACGATGTTCTCCAGCCTGGCATGAAGAGGCACTGGAAGTAATCTTTCGGCAAGATGGAATTTCGTATACAGTACTGTACACATGGAGTCCAGGCCGGAGTGGAGCCGTTGGAGGAGACCTCTGTAATTCCTTTTATACAATACGTTTCGTGTGGGGTTGTTGTCGAGTACGATCAACCCAACGATGTCAGTTTACATAGATACGAATGAATGTTTTCGCAACAATCTCCACATCGCACACCATATAACGTTGAGACTCCCAAGTCATCACAGCGAGGGACAAACGAGGTCAACGAATCTTGAATTCATCCTCACGACGGAACCTGCGCCGCTTACGTGCGAGGGTTCCTGCCATCTTCGGCTCATTCTCGAGAATTGCACCAGTCAGCGTTTACATCGTGTGCAGCCACATCTGCAGCCTGGCCAACCTCAGATGACCCCGCCTTGCCACAACCTCCTGTCTTACGACCTTATTGCAGTCGTATGTCATGGCAGCAAACGTTTCCTATCTAGTGGTTAGATCTAGCCTGTCATGTCGGTGTATTGTGTAAGTAGTTGAGCCTACACTAGTATCTCTCAACTAGCAGTTGATAAAAGCGCAGCACATATCAACGGTTCCAGCCTTGTCATTTTAGGCAGCTCAGTTTCATTAGTCTGCCATGTCAGCACTGGCATGTTCGCCGCTGCTGCTCTTCGATGAGGGCGATAGCTATCATATCATATCTGACTCACAGTTGCCTTTCGATGACCGGGGCTATTTGGGAACTGGCATTTTCGGCAGCGTCGAGAAGATCCAGGACAAAATGACCGATGCAGTCTTCGCACGCAAAACGATAAAACGCGTAGGAGGAAATACAGCAAAGACGAACAAGAAAATTGAAGAGGTTTCAACAACGAGATCGAGGTTCTTCGTCGGCTTGAAGATCGTCATCATGTTGTAAATATCTTTGCATCATACACAACGACGAAGTCCCTCGCTCTTATCCTTCAGCCGGTTACCGATGAGCAGGACTTGGAAAACTTCCTGGAAAATGTATTCGAAATGCAGTGCGACAAATACCCGGACCCACGCCTTAAAACGCTCCTACCGTCTTGGTAAGAGCATTGGGATGCTTAGCCAATGGCCTTGCATTTATACATACGCTTCCAAGGTTCCGTTGACGGAGGCTGGTACGAAACTTTGGATCCTCGTAAGTTAGCCTTGAAAAGAACCCCGCGATTGAGCCAAAACAGTTCGTCTCACCGCGAAATACAAGTTATCGAGTACGGACAGCAAAAGAGGTAGTGATGACCAATCGAGCGTCTCATTTCGTGTATGCATGGTACGTTCATCTTTGCTGCTTACTTGAACAGACAGTTGGACTGAAGAACGTTAATGCGATATCCACGTACGGAGGTCGTGGGACAGTAAAAGCTGGCTGCAGAGCATCATCGCATACTTTTGTCTACAATCAAGGTTCGCGACATGTGTGCTTCGCAGGCGAACGCGAGAGAGGGATGATAAAGGATCCAATCATGGTCGATACAACAGATCCTGACGGAATGAACGAATTTGCCTTCAGGATACGCCTGCACAATATTTACTCGATTGAATGGAGCGTCAGAGTAAGAGATATTGAGGTGCTAACAGGTCGCGACAAGACGAAACCTCTGAGATACTTCAGGGGAGAACAATGTAAGCCCTTCAGGTCCGACAGCGAGGATGAAGATCCATAGTTATAGTATCTTCAGTTGATGGCACGCCTTTGAAATTATCGGTGTAGTTTCAACGTCATGACAATGACCTCGACGTGTGGAACAAAGATCACGTCAACTTTGAAGGGAAAACGGCAAGATGCTGCAGCGTGGACGTTGTGCACATGCTTCCACAGGCAATGGCGGATCGAGAACAAAAAACGGAGGTAATCTGACCTTCTAGTCATGATTCATGGACAGTCTGGGTATTATTGACATTGAAAAGTCTACCCTAAGCGACATCTTTATTTCTTGCCCTTTCCTCTCGCGTTGAATGTCTTCAAAGGATCAACCTTGCCATTCCTACCACGAACAACCTTCCTTCCTCTACCCTTGACGAACTTTCTGCTACCAGGCTTGGGCATGTTCAGTCCAACAAAGCCAACGTCTTCTGGTTTCCTTCCGCCCGGCAGTAGATAGTCTGGAATGTGCTTGAGATGTGGTTGTATACGTGCAGGATGGTTAAGGGTCTGATCGTGGCGGAGATGCGCGAGCGCTTCGGGGTTTTCTTCGAACTGTATTGATGTCAGTTGGTGTTGATCGTTGTAGAGTATAATAGGCGATTTACATAACGGGAGAGCTTCTGTGACTTCGACAGCTCCATCCTAATCTCCTTGATTCGTGCCTCTCGAATAGCAATCCTTGTGACCGACCGCAGCGCATCCCCGAAGCGGTACCTGAAAGGCTCAAGACGTTTCATGTCAAAGTTATAATTCTCCAGCTTCTGGCCATCCTTCTGGTGCTTCTCCACCTTCTCTAGAACCTCTTCGTCGTTCTCACAGGCAGCGAATGTTGTCGGCTTGTGCTTGCGGTACTTGTCCTTGGGGATGATGAAGGAGATGGCTGTTCCAGACTTGCCAGCGCGCGCTGTTCGGCCGATTCGGTGGAAGTATGACTTGTATGACGATGGGAAATCGAAATTGAGGACGCAGGATACGTTGAGGAAGTCGATACCGCGGGAAACGCCAGAGTCGGTGTTGGCGGCCTTCTTTTCCGTCTTCGACTTCTTCTTTGGCCGCGAAGCATCTTCATCCTTCTTTCTTGACCCCAAGATCTCAGTCTCGTCTGATGCAATCAGAATGTTGTAGATATTCTTGTTGAATTCCTCGACGATGTGTAGACGTGACGCCAGCGGCAGCTCCGAGTTCAGTACACAAGACTTGATACCAAACTGCTCGAGGAACAGCTTCACACGGTACGAGCGGTCAGTGTCGCCAACGAAAACGATTGTCTTGCCCTTGATCAGCCTTAGCTTGAACATGGCGTAGATCAACAAAAACTTCTCCTCCTCCGCGCACTTGATGACATATTGCTTGACCTTCTGCGCATCCTTGTCCAGATCGTCTAGCTTTAACACGACAGGGTCGGTGCACAGCAGGCTTCCTAGCGACTCGACCTCGGTGTTGAGTGTAGCTGACATGAGGAAAATCTGAACGCCTTTAGGAATATTTTGCGCAATCTGATCGAGGTCCTCCTTGAATCCGTAACCCATGACCAGGTCTCCTTCATCGACTACCAGGTGCGCCAAATCAGCCACAGACAGCGCACCATTGTTGATGTTCGCACTCGCTCGTGCAGGTGTTGCAATAACGATGTCTGGGTTGTCTGCCAACTTGGCTTTGGTAACGACCTCTGATTCCTTGCCAGCAATGTTCTGTATCCGGATCTCTTGCCCGCAGTGTGTCGATAATACCTTGGCTACTTTGGTGATCTGTAGCGCCAGTTCCTTAGTGGGCACCAGAATCAATGAAGTTTTCCCCTTCCGCCTCAAAGCATTGTGAAGGACTGGAAGTAGGTAGGCTGCAGTCTTTCCTGTTCCTGTGCCACTACGAGCCAGGATGTCACGACCTTGCAGGGCGAGAGGGATGGCTTTAGATTGTACGGCAGTCGGCGAGCTCCACTTCTGATCTCTGATGCCTCTCAGGAGTCGTGGCTCGAGTTCGAATTCGGCGAATGACGCAGCGGGCGCGCTGAGAGGTTTGGAGGGCGTGGTAGGCTCGTCGTTCTCTGATGCGTCGCTCCCTCTGCGCTGTGCAGGTTGGGATGATGTCTCCTCTGGAATATCATGTTCGTTGAGCTTGCGCTTGTTGGCCATTATAAGGTGTGGTACAGAAATCGCTGTGTTTTGGTGAAGTATCTGACCTGCAAGCATTGCAGAGTTCATCGCAACTTTCTTAACTTTTCGAGGCGCTAACGCCCGATTTAGAATGGCAGGCCCCACTCGGCAAAACCTTCGGTCCGGTGGGCTAACATGCTGCTCATAGCCCCGCCTCCCTTACCGGCATCACCACCAGCATAACTTCGATCCAACAGGGCGCTGCGATGCCCCCTCAGGGGCAACTTTAGAATTGCCTTTGATGTCAGATGTAGCTGGCGTTCTTGCATCCTGAGGGTTGCCATCGAGATAGTCATCTTTGCTTGAAGATTGCAGCTCACAACTTGACAACACCCCGACTCAAAGACACCTTGAGTTGTTGCAGGACATGGATTTTGGTTGAGCGTTGAGAAGCTGTTGGTCGATGTGATGTCAATCATTGGATCGATCCGTCTATAGGAGTGCTCGTCGTGCACCTCCATGGTCTATCAAGTCCAGCATCCATTCACCGAGGATATTCGCTATCGAAGCATGACTCCAGCAATGCTAAAGTCAGCATGGCCTGTTGCAAGAAAGGAAATATTCAATGATCTCTTTGATTCAGATACTCGCTGATGTTGTTACAGCTTCATTCAGGCCTGCAGTGTCTGAGTTGATGCTTGCATAGTTGTTTCCTTGGCAAGGAACTTTGCCTCATCGTGCGAACAAGCTTCAAGCCAATGTTTGTGGGGAGGTGCCGCAATGCAGTTCATATCACATTCTGGAGTAGCGCGCATGGCTTCAGTGCGGAATCATCCGCGCCCCTGTCGATCACCCCACGACCCTTCACCATCACGACTCTTCGCCAAGCGCGCTTGCCTAATCCAGCAGTGTTGTCACCGCTTATCCGCTATAGCGTGGGTCTCGTTCAAGACAAATGCACATGGCCTTTGAGCTACAAGAACGACCAAAAATGATGTGATCCACTATCGCTGAGCAGATCTCGTCGATCTACCTATCACAACGGGCAAGTTTGGCAGATCATGTTTCCGTGGACAGTCTACATCGCAACCTCATTTCGCGATTCATTGCAGTTCCTCTGGAAGTTGCCGTGACGAAGATCAGGAGGGCTCAAGAGATGAGAGAGATGAGGGGCAGCAGAAGGAGGACTCTTCAGTATAAAGACGGTATGCTCGCCGTAAAAGAAGATCATCAGCCTCAGTTTTTCCAACCAGAGGCACTCATTCGACCACACTCCTTACCTTATAGTAATATCTAATTCTTATTCATATACCCACAATGAGGACTTTTGCCATCATCTCGAGCTCTCTGCTCGCCATCGCCGTCTCTGGCGCTCCCGTCGACCTTCCTAAACTTCCAGTCGGACTCGCCAGCCTGAGTCCGCCCTCGCTGCCCACCAACGACGTCGAGTTCCCTGTCAAGAACCTGCCTGTCAGGCGCGCAGATTTCCCTGTCGTCGACGACGCTGTCAAGGATGTCAAGTTTCCCGCTCTCCCTACCCTGTCTAAGCTCCCCACCGGCGATCTCAAGGTCCCTGTCAAGCGCGCCGACCTCCCAGTCGTCGACGGTCTCCTCAAGGACGTGAAGGTCCCCGCTCGTCCCAAGCTTCCTGTTGGCAATGTAGAGTTGCCCATCAAGCGTGCTGAGCTCCCAGTCGTCAACGGTGCCGCCGAAAGCGTCAAGACTCCCAACCTCGCCACACTCCATACTCTCCCCAAGCTCCCTGTCGACAACGTCAACCTCCCTGTCAGGCGCGCAGACGCGCCTATTGTCGGCGATGTCCTCAAGGACGTCACTCTCATCGACGGTGTCGACCCCAAGGTCCACCTTCCTCTCCCCATCAACACTGGCCTCAACAAGAAGGCTGTCAACTACGCTGTCAACGCCCCTGTCGGCGTTCCTGTTGATGATGTAGTTGAGATTCCCGCCGTCAACATTCCCACCGTCGCCGTCCCCAACATCGACATGCCCGACATGAATGTCCACCAGCCTAATCTTGGCGTACGCACTGTTGCTGTCCCCGCTGCCCCTGCTGTTGGTGTTCCTTCCGTCAAGGGCCTCCCTAAGGTCGATCTAACGTCCCGTGACATCAAGCAGAGCCTCCCCGTCGTTGGAGCCGCTGACGTTCCTCTCGACGCTGGCAAAATCCAGGTTGGCACTGCTGATGAGTACGTTGACAAGGTAGTCAAGGGCACCAAGGTTGAGAGCCTGCCGAAGGTTGCCCGCGAGATCAACCAGAGCCTCCCCGTTATCGGCGGTGCCGACGTCCCTCTCGATGCTGGAAAGAATCAGGTCGGCACCACTTTCAAGGACGTCCCTGTTGAGGAGGTCGTCAAGGGTACTACCGTCAAGGATCTGCTCAACGTTGGCCCCCGTCAGGTTAAGCAGAGCCCTCCTGTTGTTGGTGGTGTCGATGTTCCTCTTGACGCTAGCAAGATCCAGATCGGCACGGTTGATAAGTATGTTGGGGGTGTTAAGGGTACCACCACTGGACTCTAAAGTATTGTGTATAGCATGAGTTCTCAGTATTCGGTCAAAGATGACGAACTGTTGCATTGCTAGATATAGAGATAGATAATGTGACGAAACAAGAGCCTCTGCCTTGCAATACCCATGCTCAATACCTATTGTTTTCCTCCAATGACTTCTCGTTCTTGTCTTGACTGTTCTGCATGTCTATGTCTTCTGATTGTGCTCTGATACAGTGTCCAGACTGTCGATTATGTCATAGTTAGCAGCTCAATTGTAAAGAAGTCTCGAGAATACCGCAGCTCTTGACTGGGTGCTAGCAATCACACTTACATCGGAGATCGAAACGCCGCGCGTTGTCTCTGTGTGATGATGAGTTTGTAATCTCCAGTATGCACAGCAAAGGTCCTTCTTCGGTCTCAACCTCTGTTATTGGTATTGATCGTGTTGTTTATTGTTGTAAGTTTGCGCAAAATGTTGTTGAATTGCCAGAGCAAGGCTGGGTACGGAGCTGCAACTACTGCTTAGTGTTCCATCCGGGACGATGCGGGAGGTAATGCTTCGGGTGCGGACCGTTTCACGCGAGCATTAGCTCCTTGAGGATGAGGCCTGGATCTTTGGACGCGTTTACAGCGTCCTCACGACGTGAACAATCTTTTCGTATACTCGATGCTCGTGTTGACTAGATGTTGGGGACGTCAGACCCCAGATTTCCTTGAGCGAAGGGTATTGTCAGACAGGAAAGCTACGATCTGTACCATCCATCCATGGAAGACACAAGGGGACTCTGTTCGCAGCATTCAGGTTTGTGGTGGTGATGACATCGAGGCGTGCAAACTGTGGGGGTTCGCGCTAGCGATCCTTTAGCGTCAACGCGAAGGTGATGCGTCTCCGTCCGCAACCTCTACACCGACCTTTCTCCACTTGTACCGGTTTTCTGAATCTTCTTGTTGTGAACGACCATCGACCTGTATTAATGATGCAACCTACGAGATCGTTTCGTGCCGAGTTGTGGCAGGATCACCAGCCTTGCATTTACGCTCACAACAGTCGGATGGAACCGAAAGTTAGTGCATTATGCCCCTAGCTGTTAAGTGTGCATCAACACCATGTTGTTGATGCTTCAGGCTCGACAGGTACCAGATTGTCTACAGATCTAGTCAATCTCTACAATTGAAACGTTGGTTTCCCAATGTTCCCTCTCTGTACATACTTTGGTCATCCAATGGTAAGTTCTCTAGTCTCTCCTTCATGATATCCCTTTCCTTTACCAGCTTCTTGAGACTGTCATGGTGCATGCTTCATGTATGTTCGACCATTCTGTCGCGATGACAACCGGTTTCTATCGAAGCTGGGCCTCAGGCCTTCTTATACGCAGCGCAACCCCTGGTGTTCGTTTGCTTTTACATTCTTTTGTCAATCATCAAGGAGCAATAGTTGTCTTCATCATGACGAGCTGTTCGCTCGTCGCCAACGGCCTCGTGTCGCAGGTGAGCGGCGCGGTGCCGACGTTCAGTTACCACCGAACCGCTCACTTTGGTGACTACTTCGGTATTCAGATGACCTACCTGAATGGACAGTCGACCTGCTACCAGACTGGTGCTACGCCGAATTTCACTCCTGTCATTCAGAACGTGGCCGCGAGTTACAGCGTGCATTGCCAGTTTAGCATACAAGGACCCACGTACACCGGCATTTTTTGTCCCAACGCCCCAGTCACCAACATTCCTAACGGCGTGCTTACTGTTTCCTACATCAACTGGTATCAAAATGAACCCACACCGATCCCTTTCCTCGCTACCTTCGGCCCTTCTCCGGCTCCCAGCACAGTGACTGCGACTGTTGGTGCTGTGGCCACGGCCACCGCGACTTCAACGTCCACTGTTTCTCCCGGCATTGCTTCTACTGCTACTGTGTACGCCGCTGGCGCAACTCAGACCTACACCAACACGATCATTGTTACCCATACTCAGACTACGACCAACACCAACTACGTCAGCTCTTGCGCCGCACCTCCGGCTGCTTCAAGCTCTAGCAGATCTTCGTTCAGCTCCGCTGCACAGATTTCGTCTAGCACAGCCAGTGCATTGCCGACACTAAGTGGATTCTTCCGCAGCTGCCCGGCAGACGATGGAAAGGCCTACGTGGTGGGAGGCAAGATCTTCCAGATCGTTTGTAGCTACGATCGCGACGGCACCACCCAAACCGTGATACAGCTCGGAAACAGCCTTACTGGATGTATCACGATGTGTGCAAACACCGAAGGCTGCGTTTGGTCTACGTACTTTGCTTTATTAAATTCTTGCAACCTCAAGTTCGGTCAGGGTACTCCTAACTACAACTTGCTTGCAACTGGAGCCAATTGGATAAATCCTCCAGCAACGAGCTCGGTTGTCCCGACTCCATCGGCTTCGTCGACTCCTACATCATCGGCAGCTGCATCTTCGTCGCTCGCTCAGTCTCTATCCAGCCCCGTTGCAAGCTCTTCATCGACCCCCGTACAGAGTCCATCATCTAGCGCTACCGCATCATCAAGCCCTGCACCTGCACCTTCATCGAGCAGTGCCGCCGGTTCTTCAAGCCCAGTTGCATCCTCGAGCCCTGC